TATAGATGGCACGTTTCAACCCCAGCAACAAGCATTGCGCGATGGCATTGGCTTGTTTGCGATGGAAGTGACCTTCCAATGTCAATGTTCTGACAGTACGAATCTCCGAAAAGGTCTCAGTAAAGACATCGGCAGCGATACCGTTCGCATCGTTGCATCTTCTCTCCCATAATCCATTTATTCCCTCGAAGCCTCGAGTGATGATATAAATGACAGGCCCACAGGAAAGAGCAACGAGTGTCAACTTCCAGCAAACAATCAAGCTCCAGATAATTGCCATGACGGTGATTGCAGCAGCAACAACCACAAAACCGGCGAAACGGCCTAGCAGGTTTCGCATATCTTCTCCATTCTGATCGAGAGACGATGTGAGCCTGAGAGATCCGTTGCCATCTCTCTCAAACCAGGCCCGTGGTTGATCGAGAATGCGTTGGAAGGCATTTTTCCTAAAGGAATCCATCCAAGCCTCGCCACAAATTTCTAGGAAATAATGCATGAAAAAGGACGCGAGGCCATCTCCGAAAGACACCCCTAGTACGGCAAGTGACCATGTCATTGTCAGGTGTTCACTGTTGTTTCCAGCATAGAAGGTTCCAAACAGGTGCGATAGACAATATGAAAAGATCGGAGTAGCGCTTGCATGGGCCAGTGCTGCTGCGAATCCTAGGAAGAGGATGATTCGCTGTCTGAGCGTCAAAGTCGACAGAATGGTGCCCATAATTTGAGAGAGGGGAGTCATTCGTTCTTTCGGTGTGGGCGGTTCTTTTGATTTCTTACGGCGGCCATGTGATCTCCGGCTGTGCTTCGTCTCTGTGGGATCTTTCGGGGTGTGTTCGCTGAGCCATGGATCCGACTTCAAGCCATAATCATCAATATGAACCATTTCGACTTCTTCCGCGGGAAGTTGGATAGTTGTGTCTTTCAAATCCCGTTGGGCACCAGGTCCTTGTGCCATGAAAGAAATACGTTGGTTTCGATCTTGCAAGGGAGATCCAGGGGCCTCCCCATTTCCGACCACATATTCCGAATTCCTTCTCGTCATTAAGTTCAGTGAGCCGGAGCCAAAGTTTGCCGGGATGTGGCCTTGTGCCGAGGATTGCCTCGTCCGACGATGTCCGAGGAAAGCTGATTGAGGTCTTAATGTGTCCAAGCTCTCCGATGATGAGCTCTCCCACGGAATGTCCATATTGTCCAGACCCCTCTTATTTTGGGTCTTGGTTTCCACAGAACTGTCGATTTTCGTATGGAAATACTTTTCGCTTCCCGGACTGGCCTCGATAGCATATCGGTAGCCAGATTTCACAATTGAGCCTTGTTCGAGGATGTACAGGAAATCCTGTTCCATGATTTGTGATATATCATGAGTTATGATGATTGTAGTCTTTCCTTTCCGCCACTCACGGATTGCTTTCATTACTGCAACTCGGTTGGTGTGATCAAGAGCGCTGGTGGGTTCATCCAGGATCAGAATTGGGGTGTCACGTAATTTCGCTCTAGCAATTGCAACTCGCTGCCTTTGACCACCGCTCAAAAAGCTTCCACCGGGGCCAACACAGGTGTCGAGTCCTTTGGGGAGACCATAGATTGTAGACTCAAGCATGGCCAACTCGATGGGATCTTTGACATCTTGCTTGGTGACAGTTGCATGGTCCTGGCGACCGAAGGCGATGTTCATGAGCACAGACTCATTGAAGAGAACACTCTTTTGCTCCAGAAGAGTGATATTGTTGCGGATCCAGTTGATGTCGAGTTTTTGCATTGGATTGCGGTCAATCAGGATCTCGCCCGAGGTTGGCAAGTAGAACCGCATCAGCAGTTGGCTGAGGGTACTTTTGCCAGAACCGCTTTTCCCTATAACAAACGTCGTTTCTCCAGCGGGGAAGAAAAAGCTCGACGGGTTGAGAACACATTGATCAGGCTGACTAGGATAAGAGAATGATACCTCCATGAATGTTAGTTTGTGTGGATAAAACCTAAAGATGAATTTAAATTCACGTTTTTGACCTCGATATCACCTTCACAGTGTTCCGGATACCGAGTTCCGTTTACCTCGCTCACAATCTTGTCTTCTCTCCGGCTCTGTATTATTGCTTTCAAGGCGGCACCAGCGATCTTTCCTTTTTCCATAACAATCATCTGCGGCAAGACCTGCTCGATAGACTGAGCTGCGGTTAGACAGGCCCAGAAAGTTCTGAGAACTTCTCCCGATGTGAGTTTACCAGAACGTGCAAGCGAACTGCCATACCAAAATCCCTGGACAAACATCCCGAACATCATCCATCGGATGATAGCAATTTGCAGAGAATTCAACCAAGCTTGTCGAAGATAGTGCGTGGCAGATCTCTCAATGCGCTCAGCAAAGTTCCGATGCTCGAAGGCCTGTCCATTGAGGCATTTGACCGTATCGATATTTGTGATAGCATTGTTGGCAACCTTGGAAGCCTCAGTGAGCTCAGCCTGCTGTGCTGTAATGCTAAATCTCATCTTGGAAGAAAGATATCCGATAACTGCCGAGAATATGGGAATTCCCGCAAGAGTTACCAGAGAGAGGCTCCATGATGTATAGAAGCCCAGCCCCAGTGAAGCCAATGAACGGCACGAGTATTGCAGTACAAGTCCGAGTGGCTGCGATGTCGCCATCTGCATTTCATGGATATGTCTGAAAATCATGTCATGTTAGATATATACTTCGACGAGTATAGTGGCAAACTCACGCTTGAATTCCTGACAACAAAGCCCCGGAGCCTTCGCTTTTGGTCTCAAACCACTCAACGTCGCGTTTCAATAACTCTAGGAACACTTGGCTGCGAATAACGGAGGCCTGCATTTCCCCAAATGCCACAAACAGAGCATAGTATGCACCGTTCAAAAACCAGCCAGCTACTCCCAGTCCAATCATTCCCAAACAACTTGTGATCACTTGGCCATGAAGCCCTTTGGCATCAGTCTTATCAGCACCGAAAGAGTTGAACGAGTCGAACACATTGCCAAGGAAGATTGCAAGTGCCGGCGTAACAAGACTAGCAACCAGGGCGAAGATAGACCCGAATATGAGAGTCGGCAGGTGTCTTCGAGTCGTGAATCCGAACAGCGATTTCCAGCCCGGATTGTCCCCGGAGATATTTTCTTTGTTGGTACTGTCGGTACTGTCCTGATCAGAAGTCTTGCGTCTGAGCAACATTTTGGCGAAAAGCTTGAACGTCACATCGAAGGACTGATATGACTTGCGGAGATTTTTATTGCCACCCTATAGTAGCATAGCAGTGAAGCAAGAGGGAAGATGATAAAGATCGACATGAAATAGTCATCATGGGCTATTTTAGGGTCATTTCACAAATTTAATCAACAAAAAAAGAACAATACTAAGAAATACCCCAATGGGGTAACATTGAGAGGGGTGCAGAACAAAGACACCCATGCTCCAACATTGTTGAAAGGCACTTGGGATGAATGTAACATTCATGAGCCTCAGCCTTGAGACAGCAATCACAGTCTTGAGTCCCGATGGATGATTTCTAACAGCCAAAGAAACCTAAGGCTAGATGGTGGACTTACTGAATGTTTGATGCGCGATGGCCGCAATCACCCATAATGAGGGCCCCGCCGACATAGACAATAGCGATCGATGAGGTAGAAAAGAACCATTGGAAATGACATTTTATTCAGGGTATATTTCAGACCCAATGTTGAAAGACGGTCCAAGTCCTGGCGGACAGCCAATCTACAATTGAGTCGCGATTAACGGTTCAATGCTAAATCAGAACCATATATCTATGGGGTATGATCGCGCTTCTATCGTAACAATTAACCTCAAACCATGATACTGCGAGATCTTGTAATCAGTATCACGGAGTGGTGGCCATTCCTCATCTGCGCCGCAAGGAAACAGGCAAATGCCGTCGGCCAGATCAGCCCGGATGTGGAACTGTCCTCGATTTCAAAAACAGCAGCAATGAGACACGGTTTGTAATCAAGAGCTGGCCTTCTGGGCCTTCTCGTAGATCCAATCGTTCAGACCGGCGCGGTTTCTAGAAGACTCCATCAGTTTCCATGCGTGACTCACGTAACTCCACTCAGTACTTACCGAGCGATCTCAACAGCGTAGAACTGCATGCGCACACCGAAAATGGTGGTATCCTGGTCATACTCGGCATCGGCACGGGTACGGATCATGGTGCCAAAGTTGAAGTCCTCGATCTTATCCCACTGCAGCATCCAGTTGCGCCACTTCTCCTTGCCGGCCTTGCTCTTCATCTCATCCTCAACGAGGGTACCGGCGGGATCAAAATCGGGGAATGCCTCCATGAATGACTCGTAGATATCATCGTCCTGCTTGGTCAAGCGAAGCTGGGAGCCCTTGACCTTCTCCAAGATAGACCAGTATGTCATAAGATGTTCAACCGCTGCAATGGTGAAAGCGTATTAATATTATGATCTTGTCCGAAGGTGTAAATATGATGTAAATCGATGCGTGACTGACCTTTGACGGCGAACTGCTTCTCCATCTGTTGCGATTGTCAGCGATCAATGTTCTTTAGGCCATATGGACGCGGGGTCGTACATCCTCCAGATTCTCCGCCTCCTCGGGGTTGAATGGCTTCGACATTTTGACGGTTGGGTGTAAAGTTAATACTTTGAAATATGAACACAAGACTGCAGTGATATGAGTGTGGAGGAAATCAAGTGGGAGGTGTTCGGTGCCCCGCGCATAATTTTTTTGACGGGCGGAGAGCAGCCTCCGCCTTGCATAACGTCATTCCGCCCACAACCCGTGGACGGGTATAAATCGTATTAGCGCGATATCCAACTATATTTCATTTGCTGTTCGATTCAAAGTTCCTTTTTTAGTGTATTGAGAAAAGAATTTCCCATAGATTCTGAATTGACGCCAGCATCATCGCTACAGAGCTACTATATAGGGAGACTGTGCATGCAGCTGTAATGACCAAACCCAAAAAGCTGACATTGCCAGACTGAACAAACACGTTAAAGGGTGATGCTCAGTCACTATCAGTATCATCCGGCAGTTCTTCGAATCTTCCCTCATGGAGAGCCTGGGTCACGGGGTTCTCGACATTGATGAGACCATTTGCTTTTGCCCTGTGGTAACTGTTAGCAAGTGGACTTTATAGCTCTTGTACAATGCACATACCTCTCAAATAACACGAAGAGTCTCTCTGCTTCGCGCTCCTTCTCCTCCATGGTCATGGGCGGACCGGAATCCTGTGGCTCAGCGGCCCACCGTTGTCCAGTGATAGGATTACGTGCGGATTCGGGGTCATCTTTGGCCGATGCTTCACTTGCACTCTGTGGCATCTCAATACCTCGCGCTGCCAGGAACCCAGCAGCGAAGCCGTAGCCAATATTCTTAGTGAGTTTCTCCGCATCCTTATCCGACAGAACAAACATTAGCTCAGAAATTGTAACTTTCAGATTGGCAAAGTGGGTTGTCGAGAGCTTCAGAAGTCTTGAGGAAAGTGTTTCAGACTGTCCAATTGGCAAGCTTCGGTCAGTGTCCTCGGGCAGAAGAAGTGACTGCATATACTTGCGGGGTCCATCGGGTGCCACTTCGTGGATAGCGACGAGCGAATATAGCAATGGGACTGCGTTTGCCTCCAGCTCGTTGGGGCTGTATATGGATACGGCCTGATCCAAGATGCTGATCAACTTAGCCACGTTGCAATTGGGGTCAAATGTCGGGAACAGGGGGCTGCTCTCGAAAATTTTGCCTTTCTTTTCTTCCAAATCAAGGATAGACAATGTATTCAGCAAGCCGCCAACTAAACCATCCAGGGGCTTTGCTGGGATATCAATGCGGCATATAATCTTCAAAATATGAGGGATGGAGGGGGAGAACTCGGTAGCGAGATCTGGAAATATCTTGGAAATGTTGTATATCAACTTGAGTGTGTCTGACAATGCCAGTTCGTCCATTTGTGACAATGGCTTTCTTCCTGACTTGGGGAACTGTTTCGCATGGCGGCTCAATTGCTATACTGGTCAGCACGGCACATCTAATAAATTTCGAGTCTAACAACCCACTCACGTAGTTGACGTTATCTCCCAATTCGTGGCTCTTGATCAAGTCTTTAAAGTCCAGAGTGGTGTTATAAGTCGCGTAGAACAATATCCGACTTGTGACCATCTCATCTTCCGAGTCTTCGGTCTGTCAAATATCAGCTTTAGCACCGACGTTGTATCTGCTGTGGGCCGACCTTGAGCTTTTCTGCTAGCTTTCCACCGTATCCTGTGTCTACAAAAGCCTGGCGCATTTCGGGTTCAAGTAATAGCGCATTCGCAACACATCGCAACGCTGCTCGACGTACGTCAGGGGTCTCTCCCTCAACGCCATACCGCACCAAGGTATTAATGCCCTGGAAATGATCAGAACCAATTGTAATCCTCGAGGGGGTGCTTCATCTGTTGTGCTCATACATTTTGTGAATAGATCGGTTCCGCGTTGGTAGGGTTTGTGCCGTGTTGTCGGAGCTGGAGGAGGGTCTGGACCCGGTCTAGTAGTAGAAGGGATTAGTATTAGGCAGGTATATGGTATTGCATCCGACTCACCTGCTGTTGAGAGGTTGTGCTCTTGTAGGTCTTTCTCAAGAGACTTCAGAAGCTGTGTCACTTGTTGTAGCTTCGCTGTATGCACAAGATCGAGTCAGCCGACCTGCTTGCTAGGGTGGAGCATTTCAATCTCCACAACATACCTGTTCCTTGCATCTGAAGAAACGCCATACTGATCTGAGCTCGTACCGACTCAAGTGCTGCGAGTAGGGGGATGATGTAGGACTGGTCTCACTTTCACTGATGTCTTGTGCTGAAGTAAAATCTCCTGCACAGTATAAAAGTAAGATCAGATCAGTAGCTTGAGTAGGTAGCTATTGACAAGGTAACAAAAAGAAAAAGGAGATGGAGCCACGCGGGAAAGTCAGGCAAATCGTCATAAAGTATTTTGTGTCCCGCACCTTAAGCTGCATCTCCCAAGAACTTCACTAGAAATCTATACAATATTACATAGTACATAATTATGAGAAAAGCCTCTTCCACAATTCAGTTTAGATCTTTGGTGAAACGTGGACTTTGGTGAACTCCACCGTTTGAAGAATGTGACTTTGATAGAGTGATATCCAATAATAAATGCTGAAAGCTATTATCGATTTGCTATATACACAACAAAAACACTCTCCAATGATTATTGAAGCTATAGACAATCCCATGAAAAGTCCGCGTATTGATGCCTCGTCGCCTCAGGCGGTGACACTTTACGCGCATCGCGGCGCGTCGGAAGTTGAACTTAGTTTTCTCGGCTTGACCTGGCTTCTTGATTCTTCAATCTAAAACAGATCATGGACAGGGCCTGAACAGCATCTCATTCCGCAATGATCATTGGCTATTGCTTCTTTTTCTTTTTCACACTTTTTGTCTGATCCAAATCATGGTGGAGATGCTCTCTGCTCGTCCGCCTACACCCCCAAGGACCACTTCGCGCATCGTGATTGAGAACACCGATTCACCAATAGCCGTTCAAACGCCCAAGGAGTCATCATTTTCTGCGCTGGGATCGGTGGGAGCCGGCCCATCCAGCCGTAGTTCGAAGAAAGTGAACTTTTCGCCATGGCCCAAGTACATCAAACCGCCAACCTTTGCTAGTGCTATGAAATCGGCCCCCGACTTCAAGATCCCTCCCTCCACGGACACCAAGCCTACAAAGTCGATCCTGAAAGCAACTCAGTCACCGATTCCCGTTTGGTCACCCAATGTCGATACATTCACCACCGAATCGCTTGCCATGCTGCTCGAATCGGTCATCCAACAACTGGCAGGGGAGTCAATGAGTTCGCGACTCGACGCCTACATGCAATTCTTCGGCGCGCTACGAACATACGATGGGCTTCCGGCGGGTCAGAAGATTGCCGAAAAATTAAATCTCATCACCGAGTTTATTCAACGAGATGTGAATCGGGACCTTACGAACAGCGGCCCTCTCGACACAAACCTCGCCAATCAGGCTCTCAAATTGTCAGCTGCGTTCGTTTGGCATCCGGAAATTTCGACACAACTTTCGGACGAATTCAAAATCTTTCTGGTAGACCACTCCATCACTTGCCTCCATGAGGCTAAGGCCCCAAAATCCGTTTTGACGCACTACATGTCCATATTGTCTACTCAAAACTTCGGTCCCAAGATTATGACCGGTGCTCGTGTAGCCCGTCTTTTGACGGTGCTGCAAGAAATAACCAAGAATATCAGTGGCAACGCAATTGTTTCCCATCGATTGAACATCTACCAACGGCTGCTGGGCCAAGCCAAGTCTGCTTTCATTTCCCAGGCAAACCTGTGGATGGAACACTTAATCTTCGGGCTGCTTCACCATTTGAAGGATACGAGGTCAAAAGCGATTGCACTTGGCTTCCAGGTTGCCACAGAAGCCGGTCCGAATCCTATACTGTCGAAAAACATCCGGGATCTCTTCGACCGGCCACTAGAGCATGACCGGAAGCTTGTAACAGAAGTCCGTGAGCGCATGGCTCGGATGATGCCAACGGTGGATAGCGGTGAGCATGTTCCTCAGATTTGGAGCATCATTATCCTTCTTCTCCGGAGCAAAAGATGGAATCTAGAGCAATGGGATCATTTTAAGGAATGGGTTCTGGTACTCCAAAAATGCTTCAATTGCAGCGAGCCTGTAATCAAGGCGCAGGCTATCGTTGGTTGGAATAGATTTGTATTTGCTGTCAGCCCTAACGAATCGACAAGCCGATCTCTCCTCAAAATGCTGGGCAAACCGGTACTCTCTCAGTTCGAACGCAAGAAGACTGACAAGTCAGGAGCCCCACCCACTCAGCTTGCTTTGACCAGCTACTACAATCTGTTATACTACACTTTCCGTCCTTCGGCTTCTTATCAGCATCTGGATATCATTTGGGAGGAATATGTGGCCATTCCGTCTTCAGGCATCTTCTCATCAGTCCCAGTTCTCAGCGACTGTCTTTCACGCATATTGACGAACCTGTTGTGGAGCACACAGGCTAAAATATGGACAGAGAATCGAATCAATGACAGTACCAAAATGGAAGCAGAGGAACTTCCTGCAGCCGACAGCAGATGGGTTCGATCAAGAATTATCTCAATTCTGAAGGTTTTTGAGCATATTTTCAAAGCCTCAGTTTGGATTGATGACGCGATTGGCCAATCTCACGTGGCATTGGCCTGGAACAGTCTGTCCAGTTCTCTGGCACTTGCGTCCAGCAAAGAAATCACCCCTTCAGGGGAATCGATGCAAGCTGTTGCTAGTGTTTGGAGTCTGCTGCACCGCCTTTGGAGTGCAGGGCCGCCATCGTTGAATGCCGACACCGCAGACATTTTCTTCCAAAGATTCCGGTTCCTGTCTACAACAATGATTGTTTCTATTGGAGGCATTCCGTTTACCGAAAAGTTTCTCTTGAGAAACGCGGACGAAACCGATACTACTCCCACACATGTACACCCGAATACGACCCCAGAAAGTGCTATTCTTCATCTCCTTCGAATAATCAGCAGCACTGCAGGGGAAATATCGCCGGGCCAATCTTACACACACCTTGTCTTGGGTAACATTGAAGCAGCTTGCAATGGCAGATTCTCCCGTGGGTCTCGTCTCGAACTTCTCCAACAATGTGCAGAATTGAGCACTACGAAGACCAGTGCTATCCCCCGTACGGCTCTACTATCGGAGGTGGTTTGGAATGCCACTGCCCAGGCGGCCGCAAATGCTTTGCAGTCGTTCCCCATGGAATCCGCTCGTGGGCGCGATGGCTCCGTATCCCGTGACTACGAAAATGTCATCAAGATTCTCTCGTTCGGCCTTTCGTTTCCGTCGGCCTCTCAAGAGTGGTCTCATTTGCTTGAAACTTTTGTTCGCGTGGTTCGAACAGAAAAAGGGAACCAAGCAGTTGCCACGATGATTGTGGAACCCATGGCTGAACGCCTCATGCATCTTTCCGCTGGAGATACCTACCTACCCTCAACTTCACTGCTTGGCCATTCCTTGTCTATCCCTTTCATGCAAGGAACCGGGCTAGGGATTGATCGCAGCGGCATCCAGGCAGCTGGTCATGCTATCTTTCCTCATAAACTTCTCGAGTCAATTTCCCAAACATTACACGGTGCATACGACAATTTCAGCGCATCAAAATCCAACGGTCTTGCCGACTTCATCGAGGCATTGACTTCTTTCCTGGGGACCGGTGTACCGCAGTTCCAATGCCAAATTCTTCAATCTCTCCAGTCATCACTTAGTGTTTGGCTGAAGGACGAATCTTACAAAATCCACGTTGATCGGGGTGTTGACAGCAGAATCCTGACATCGTGTCGTGCGCTGTCGTCGGCTACTATCAATATTCTGCAAACATCAGTCTCCCATGATCTTGCTTCTTTGAAAAATTTTGAGCCTATTATTTGCGCCGGTTTGGAGTCTCTGCACATTTCAACAACCAGGAGATACGTCGAACTTTGGGGCTTGACCTTTGGTCCACAGTCTTTTGTCACTCCAGCCACCATTTTGGAAGCTGTACAAACTGCCGAGTCCAGGGTCCAGACCGCAACCTTGCCTCTGCAAAACGGTAGCCAAGATACTGAGATGCTACCTCCACCCCCTCCGCAAAACAAGATAGATCGCTCATTGCATCAGCCGTCTCAGGACACTCAGCTTTCGTCCCCTGTCATACGGACCAACGACTCCTCCCTGGTCCTCAAGCCAACTGACCAGTTCCCTGAACCCCAGTTGCCAAGTAATTTTGAGCAGCCTACGGATGCGCAAATTGTTGATGGGATTTCAGTTTCTCACAAGCGCAGAAGCCATCGTGAAATGTTTTCGATGATTGAATCCCTTCAATCATCGTCACCAGCCAGTACTCCACGGAAATTGGGCTTCGATACTCCGCCCAATCTGCACAAACTACATGGGCGGTCACTGACCGAACTTCCTTTAACGCCCACTCTCGCCCCTACTGAGAATGAGGAAGGATTCATCGGCTCGTCTCCGACACCTGGGACCAGAGACCCGACACCTGCCATGACTTCCGACGCACTGAGGTCGAGCCAGCTGCCTGCAGATTCGGGTATAGACCCTCCATCATCTCCTCCCCAGATGCAATCTCGGAGCCCAAGCCCTCGGAAGGGTCGCTCGAAAAGGGCACGGCGCAGGGCTGCAAAAGCAAGAAAGGCTCTTGTTGGTACCTCCGGAAAACAGTCAACAGTCAACAGCCCAGCTACTTCTCATCTCGCGACGGAGAGCATAGACACACCTATGGGCGATGTCCATGACTATGATAATAAAAACACCAACGCTACACCTCGAGCAAGCGAAATAACTCCCAGCCGGCGACTTCGATCTGCGCTAGGGAAAGACTCGGATACAGCAGAGCCTTCTCCGGAGCTACTAGTTGACTCTGATAAGACACCTGTCCAACAATCTGATCCCAGGAGTAACCCAAGCTCGAGCTCCAAGAAGAAACGGAAGCAAAGTCAGTCTAAGCTTGCGGACGATCAACCCCAGCAAGCCATGGCCGTGCCTCCCGATAGCCTTCCGGATACTTTCATGGACTCGAGCGAGGAGACAGACACACAAATCGCATCACAACTTGGACAGGACTTGGAACTAGCAGTGGATATGGACGATAGGGCTCAAACGGAGCGAGCAAATCTTCCCAATGAGCCATCCACCAGGAAGAGAAAGCGGGAACAGGAGGAACCTACTTCATCTGCGAGAACCGACAGGCGCCGGTCGACGCGGCTGTCCACCGTTAAAGATGTTGTCAACATCGAGTCATTGCAGTCTGATGCTTCACCTTCGCACTCTGCCATTTCTCGGTCCGCCTCTACATCCAAATCATTGTCGCCAACTGCGACTCGCCGATCCACCCGTAGTTCACAACGAAAAGAGGATAGTAACGCCCTTGCGGACTCAATCCCTCCAACACAAGACTCGGTGGCACAAGAACCAACACAAGATTCTGAGACCCCTCGGCCACCCAAAAGGTCTCGCAAATCCATTCGTCTTGAGGACAAGTCTGTTGTCGATAACACTGCCCAGAGTGTCCCTCGAGATACCCGCTCCCGCAAAACACGGTCTCAGCAACATGCATTTGAGGCGTCTCAACCTCAACTTTCAAGCATCCCATCTGAGGAACACGGCGATACTGACCATTTACCACCTCATGTCGACCTTGACATGGTCCCCGAGGGCCTCATTACAGAAGACCAAGCGGAGCAGAACATCTCTCTTGTTTCTACCGAAGAGGCAACTGCCACTCAAGTCTCTGAACCGGAGCAGTCTATTGAGCCTCCGGTGAAATCAGACATCGAGATTGACATCGATACGGATGCAGTACAACAATCCGGTGAAATGGTCGAGCAAACTACAAGTGTCACCACGGGCACCCAAACCCAAGAAACTCCCCCCGAACCCAAATCTGAGATCAGCGAACGAGCCATCGCCCAATCCCTGAAAACCCTTTTTGGTGAAATGAAAACGACGACCTTGTCCCTGAACGCCTTCCGCGAGGTCGATGATCTTCTCTTCAATCTCCGTTGCGAAGCACAAAATGCATCAACGCGACACAATACTTCAGCATAGCGAATGGCGTTTACAGCGAAACCTGTTGGATATGATTTTTTTTATATTGGACCCCGTCTCATCATTATTCCCCACCTGCATCCTATATGCCTTCATAACTTGAAGCACAGCGCCTATTTTATTGCTTGGCATGCTTGGTCCCGAATCCTTTTTCTTGTACGTTATGTTTTCCGCACTTGGGGCTTTCTGCGGGTATAATAGCATCCAAACATTGAACATTATGACTATTGATTGTCTTCAAAAAGTAAGAATCCAGAGATAGACTGTGTCTAATTCACTTACTCTATCACTTCCACACGTTCTCCCAGGACCATCTGCAGTCGCCACCACTATTATAATACCCAGATTCCATATTGGCCAGTTGGCGTTTGACGCGAAGGTGCTCAGGTACAGTTTACCTGAATATCATGATGACGCAGACCGCCACTCCTTCCTAAATAGTATATCAAACCAAGTTAAATATAGGAAGTCACGATCGAGTTGCCAACTAAAACTTCATTCAAAACCTCGGCAATTATATGTACATACTAGCTCGACTGTACTTGTCCGAACAATGGCCACCCCAGGCACTCAGTATATGATGCAAGCTGGCCTAGCAGCCGGCATGTCAGGCACACAGGGCATGTACTCCCCGCACCCCAATCCGGCGGGCCCCATGGCACCGACCCGGTCAACATGCTTCCACCCGACCCAACACCCGACTCAAAAAGCCGAATTGCCCTGCGTGGTGTGGATGGCAAGGACGTACTTGTTCACTACCTAAGTATCGGCGCATGGTCATGGGGCCCCAAAGCAACCTTTAACTACAACCCAACACGAGACCTACAGCGAATCCACGCAGCATGGACCACGCTCAAGTCTGTTGGGTTGACTTTCGTGGGTACAGCGCAGTCCTACGGCGACAGCGAGAGCCAGCGGATCTGTGGAACCCTATATCAATGTCTCAAAGAGTATTGCCGAGGAGTGGCGTGTGCCTGTTCCTGCTGTTGCGTTGAATTATTCTATCAATAAGGGTGTTCTCCCACTAGTTGGCGTGCGTGATGCTCGTCAAACGGAGCAGGATATGCAGGCACTTGGATGGCGGCTGACGGAAGATGAGATGAAACAGATTGAAGGAGTCAGTCTACAGGGTAATAGATCCTCATTTATGCAGCATGGATAGGTAATACATAGGTGACAAAAGCGCACAATGTAAACGGAGGACCTGTGGACTTGCTTTTCTGGTTAGTTTTACCTGTGTGGGTTTGGCGCCCCAATACACCGTCACGTAGCCTCCTCCCGGACCTTCTCTTTTACTGTTGCATCCTGGTTGTCTGAACTTTCCCCTTGGATCGGGATTGTTTAACCTCTAGTCTCTCGCCTGCATGGCCCTTCCGTTATGTCTACCCTAGTTGATGTGATGATCTAAAAGAGACATAGTTATAGGAGAAGGATTGAGGTTGTAATATGTAATTACAAAATCCCTAGAATTCTTCGCTGTGGGGACGAAGGTATACAAAATCGGAGGTATGTACATCTATAATTGGAATTCATAATATCCGTATATGAAGGTTCTAAGTCCCAGGCATGGTTTCTCGCCGTATTGTTGTATAGCCTCGCTAACAACAAAAGTGGCCTACCTTACAACTCTCGAGAAATGATTAGAATATTTCAGAACTACTACCTCGACCCCTGCTGGATAACAGACAAGCCGAGGGAAAGAAGCCTCCCTAGCTGGCGTTTCAAAGAACCAACAGTCCAAATCAAGACGCGACAGTTATATGTGACGACCCGTCCGGTTGTGATGCGTGAGAAATATTGCATAACATTCTGCTCGACGTTCTGACTCCTCCATAAGCTGCGATAGGGCCCTCCCCAAAAACCGAAACAACAGAACAGTCACCCGTATCTATAGCACGGCAATCGCAGCCATTTAAACTAATATGCTAATCACCCCTACTGTCAGAGAATGAGCAGTCGGACTGGTTGCAATCCGAATATCTTTCCGCACCGTCCGTCTCAGCATCGTCTGGCCAACTCTCGGTGTTGGTGTTAAGATAGATAGTGCCCTTTGAGGTAGTCTTCAATTTGTATATGCACCTTGATCATAACCCAGGTTAGCTCTAATATCAAGCGTAGCCTGGCTTGATTGAACTGCTCTGGGGAAGACAAACATGATTGCTGAGAGTGAGACTGCAGACTGGTGGTATGTCTGAATTGTTTTGACGGCCGAGACTAGTCTCTGTGGAATACTTGTATAGCAAGAGGCTGAAGCAGATGCCGGTATTAGAACGAGAACACAACTGCATAAGCACGAAATCCCCTCTACTATATATACTGTTTGTATGGTAGTGCTTCGCAACCCGGTCGCTCCGGCCGCTATCGTTGGATCCCCCTAACCTGCCAATCAGTTGGGGTTCAGGATACCTCCTGCAGGAGCTGACGTCTTAGGAAAAATATCATAAATTCGAAGCCAATTGAAAGAATGAGGCAACAAGTTACAAATCGTATACAGCACAGTCCCGAGCCTCTCTAAATGCGAATAATAGGGCTTTATGCTACCCCGCAGCATCTTCAGAATCCAATCACTACAAGAGCTCTTTGACATTTACAGTGCCGAGAGTGGTCTGATGTCCTAAAATATGTGTACGCTTGTTGATCGCCGCATCGGCTCAATATACAATTGGTCCACGACTGTACATGTGTATCAGAGGCAACAAACTACAAGGATTCTGTATGTTTGAGCAATCATATTGAGGGCTTTGATCTTCCTAGCAGCCTTGTATTACAGGGGTGCCTCTTGGGGTCTTCCGTGTGACCAAAATATATAGTTTCTCCACGGCGCTGAGGCTCTTTTACTTCAGCCTCCATGACTACCTCCTGGACTAGATACGCTTAGCTCTCTGGTGGATGTTGTTTCTATTTGGACTAGCAAGATATCCTCCGTTTTTATGATTCCATTTGCCTTCTAATCCAGTTAACAGAGTAGGATTCCTCCCGAGAAGAGGCACTTGCAGGTGGGAAAGCGGCCGTTTCTGGCCCCCAAAGCGGTCATTTTCGGTGTCAACTTTACAGGTCCTCATGTTATATTTGTAAGACGAGGATCTCTAAATTTCATTTTCCGGTTTGGTTACCTCTTGTCAAGGGTCTCCTCCCCTAGTGGGCTTTTGCAGTGTCTACACTGAAGAGCCTTGGGCTATACGTCAAGAATTAGTGAGCAAAACATGAATTTAATCATAGTACAGGATGGTGGCCTGTAGGCTGCGTCCTCGCTAAACCCTATGTAGTCGCCATACATATGACAGAAGGATAGTACCAGGTATAACTATAAGCTCAGGCCGTGGCAGTTAATGTCGCAATCGGATGGAATTCGTACGTATGCTATCCTTGCATAGATGGCCATGGATATATAGAAATCAGATGGGATTGTGCAATGCCATGCCAAGAACAGCGTCCTTGGCAACTGAAGGGATTTCGACCGGTTCCTAGACTCCGCTCGGTCATATTCCGAACCCGGCATCAGCTCTCCGTGGCCATCGATGCCTACATGAGACCTCACATGACCGAGCCAAGCTGGCTTAATATTTGCCCGTAACCTTGGAATATTAATCTAGCCAACAATACCGCGACATGGCGGACCGTTGCCGCAATGGGATGCTCCCAAGACTCTTGGCGTGACTCCCTCATCGCTCGACCCGCGAATCCAAGGATCTGGGATGAGAATGCCTCCCCAAGCCTCTTGGCATCGGTCCGGCAGCAGGATGAGATGGTTGGCAAGCTCCTTGGCATCAGTCGGAGGTTATACAAAAGCGTCCATGATCTACTACGGAGGTTCTGGGCAGGCTTTTTGCTGTTAGCCTTTTATTTGATAGCTTTCATCTCGCATCATCGCATCATTCTCCCCGAATGAAGTTACAAAGGTCTCAACCGCTGAAACCTTCCTCTTTTGATCGGTACCATCATGGTACTCGCCCGGTATCTAAAGAAGGTCGTGGGCTGGATCGCTCCTCCTCCTAAGAAATCGGAAGACGGGCGTGATCAATGGCCCTCTCGAGCAGCTTTCCTGCTGGCTGCCATGGGAGGCTGCGCCGGTCAGGGAAATTTGCTGCGATACCCCTCAGTGGTCTACAATAACTATGGGCTGCAGTGGTTTATCCCCTACCTATTGGCCGTGTTCGTCATCGCAATTCCGGCCCTTATTCTCGAGATTTCGATTGGGCAAGCCTATCGTGGCGGAACTGTGATCGCGTTCAATAATATCAATCATCGGCTGAAAGGCGTTGGCATGGGCCCGATTTTGATCAGCTTTGTCGTCGTGCAATACTTCACCGTCAACTTGGCATGGATTATGAACTATTTCCGCAACTCCTTCCGTAGCCCACTACCATGGGAGGGCAGAATCGAGGAATTCTACATGGGCAATGTCGTGGCCAATGTCGATCCAGTCGTGGGCAATCTCACTGCTGGAAATGGTGCCGTTGCCCACTATACCGTGTACCCCGGTGTTGCCCTTATTGGTGAGACGGTCGGCTGGAGCGCCTTCATCTGGTTTCTAATTTGGATTTCCATCTTCCGTGGAGTGGGCCTGACGGGTCGCGTCGTCTACTGGACGATGGGTTTGCCGATTGTAACCACCATTATTATCGTCGGTCGCTCTTGTTCACTGGAAAATGCGAGCGAGGGTATCCGACTCTTATGGGCGACATGGAGGAGCGACCAACTAGCCTCAGGAACTGTCTGGCAAACTGCTGTCGGACAGGTGTTTTTTTCTACCGGCATTGGTTTCGGTTATTTCACTTCCTATGCTTCCTACAATTCCAAACACTCCAATGCTGTCATGGATGCAATTCTCATTTGCGGAAGTAACGTCCTGTTCGAAAACATTGCTGCCTTTGCCGTGTTTGGTGTTGTAGGCTACCTCCGACGTTGGCCACAGGATGGCGAGAGATTGGGTGCATTCGTGGTCGGTTTCCTGACACTCCCCGAGGCTGTGCTTCACATGCCTGGTGCGAATTGGTGGGCTATCCTTTTATTCTTTACCCTGGTGGTTCTCGGGTTTAGTTCGGCCTTTGTGATGCTCGATGCAGTGGCTACGTTGGCCGTGGATTCGGGCGTGAAAATGTCCCGACCGATGATTGTGACGAGCCTCACAATCATATCATTCCTCATGTGTTTGCCATATTGCACTCAATTTGGATTCTACCTCCTGGATGGAATTGACCGATGGATCAACAATGTGGCTTTGATCTTTGTTGTGTGGTCGGAGCTCGTCGGTGCAACCACTGTGTATCGCTGGCACGACGTGGTCAGCCAAACAGGGCTGCCTGCTTTTGTTGTGTATAATTTCGGATACTTCGGTGGCCAGATCGTTGGAGTTGCCGTCGCGCACGGTACCTCGAATCCGTCAGCTGGCGCCGGGGCCGGGTTCGGGTTGTATATCGTTTGTTCGATTCTTTCTGTCCTCATCGCCACGACCCCGGGTATCAAAGCAGCCAGCTTCTGGGGGCGGAACCCTATTCTCAGTCGACTTTGGTATCTAGCATTCTACTCTGTATGTTCCTCGCTGTCAACAAGTCTTGCACCACGAAACTAACATGCACAGGGTAATCAATTAAGACGCGACCTGAACGGCGTTGTTGGGGGTAATGGAAACTGGAACATCCCTCGTTTCTGGCCTCTTCTACTCCGGTACATTAGCGCGCCTATTCTGGCCATTGTGTTCAGCTTTGCTTATCCTGAGTTCTACTCCCTGCGCTACGACCCAATGATGATCGCCGGTTTTATTTTGGCGCACTTTTGTTTGCTCTTAGTTCTGCTTGGTTTGGTGTTTCCACGATACTACGATATATTTATTCCACCTCACCGGAGAACCGAGGGCACCGAAGTGATGATCGCCAATCAGCCCAAGGATCATGACTTTGTGCCAGAGGTCGAGGTGTTTGAGTTAGAATCTGGCATGCCGGAGTCGTCTTCGACCCGGAAGAGTGCTGATAGGATAGATACTAAGTATCCGACGGCGCCAAAGCTGTAGGCTATATATAGTATGTTATAGTCTGTTGATTCAAGGATATGCAACTTCAATCCGTATGTGTGTTTAGTCTATTTATGCTCTTCCTGGCCCACCAAGATGTTTGCCGGCGTCCCAAAAGGGCTTAGCGTATAAAATAAGTATGAAGATCCTAGTAGAGAAAAAAAGCAGTTCGTAGTACAGCTCCTTTTTCATATTGTTTTTCTCTAAATGAGGCCAGTATGAAGTTGAAAATTTTCAACGATGTAGCTTCACCTTCGCAACGCGCGGGTGCGAATACCGGCAAAGGTTCAAGCGACTCTTTGAATGAAATGGAGCAAGACAGCGACCTGGTTTTTCCAGACGGTGGTTGGCGTGCATGGAGCGTCGTTCTAGGCTCTTGGTGCGCGATGGTGCCCTCATTTGGACTTATGAATACAATTGGTGTGTTCGAGGCTTGGTTGGCAGACCATCAATTGAGAGACTATTCGAAAGCTTCCATCGGCTGGATATTTAGCCTCTACATGTTTTTCCTTTATTTTGGAAGTGTGCAAGTTGGTAAGCTCATTCAATCTATTTGCTGTGATACGCAGGACTGATATCTAAAAGGGCCTCTATTTGATGCGCATGGTCTTGCGCCTGTGCTGATCCCGGGGTGCGTTGGGCTCGTCGCATCACTGATGATCTTCAGCGTCGCACAGGGTACGATTTTTTCTAATACCCAAGCTGCCTCCGCCAGAACTGATAAGCATTCGCATAGAATATTACCAATTCATGCTAGGATTCAGTGTCCTCGGCGGTATCTCCTCGTCAATGGTGTTCACCCCTAGCGTGGCTTGCATAGCCCATTGGTTTCTTAGGCGTCGTGCCCTAGCCACCGGTATAGCCGCGACTGCTGGGGGTATTGGGGGAATCGTATTTCCTGTGTTGATCTCCAACCTCGCGGATAATCTAGGCTTCCCTTGGGCTATACGAATTATTGGATTTATAAGTGCAGCATTCTGCTGTCTGAGTGTCGCGCTTTTGAGAACGAGACTACCTTTAGATTCGGCACAAAAAGGAACAGTCGACATCAGAGCTTTGAAGGAACTACGCTTCTCATTGTTGACGGTGGCCATCGTTTTGATCGATTTTGCCCTCCTGATTCCGTTGACTTATCTACCATCCTATGCCCAATCTCGCGGCATGGGAGATAATCTCGCATACAACCTATCGTCTATCTTGAACGCCGCATCCATCGTTGGGCGGGTTGTCCCTGGTTATTTTGCTGACCGATTTGGCCGTTTCAATATAATGATCATTACATCGTTCATCTGCTCAGTGGTGACTTTCGCCATATGGCTTCCGTCCCAGTCGAATCAGGCAGTCATCTTGGCTTTCGCTGTGCTTTTTGGATTTTGGAGCGGCACTGCAATTAGTCTCGCGCCTGTTTGTGTTGCGCAAATCTCCAAAACTGAAGGGTTTGGAAAGCGTTATGGTACAACCTATTGCTTGGTCAGTATAGGTACACTCATCGCCATTCCAATTGCCGGCGAGCTTTTGAAAGTCCAGACATCCACGGGTCAAGATGACTATACTGGTGTGATAATTCTTTGTGGGCTTGTATATTTTTGTGCGTGTGTGTTTTTTATCTTATCCAGGGGTGTGAGCGTTGGTTGGGGGTTGAAAGTGTTCTAGTTACGGTCTCCAATAGTACTTTACATGGCACTTTATATACTAGGTCAGGTAAACAGCTGTAAATGGAGAGACCATTTTATATGCAAAGCACATAGGAAATATTAACTTGACGAAATATTTTCATGTACGTTTCAAGGTAGAGAGAGCTCTGAAGTCCAGTCAAAAACAAAACAGGCGGGAGCCGATAAGAACCCCCGCGCTTCAAACGTGAAACATCAAGCACCTCTTCTCCCTCTCGACACAATTCTATTTTCTAAAACCTCTAACATGGACCGATCAAACAAACCCTCAGCAATTGGACTGGGAGCTTCCCTTCCGCAGCCCACCCTCTCCATCAAGGACAACATCATTGAAGCTTCGTTGCCCACTGGCCAGTCAGTGACTGTGAACCTGTATGGCGCTACCGTGACCTCCTGGAAGACCGGCGGCCAGGAGCAGCTGTTTGTCAGTGAGAAGGCTCATCTCGATGGCTCCAAGCCTATCCGTGGTGGCATTCCGCTGGTGTTCCCGGTGTGTGAACTCTACCATCTCCCCGCTTGAGAGCTACAGCTAACCGCCCTGCTTATTGTCCAGGTCTTCGGCCCCCCTCCCCAAAACCATGCTACCTCGCCCCTACCACAACATGGCTTCGCTCGGAACTCCAACTGGGAGTTCTTGGGCAAGTCCTCTTCGGAAGCGCCCGGAAGGGATAGCGACCAAACCGATCTCACCGTGAAGTTAGATTTCGGGCTGTCGCACTCGATGCTGACCGATGAGTTCCGCCAGTCTTGGCCATATGAGTTCGGTCTGGTGTACAGTGTTACCCTCACCACGGACTCACTGGAGACAGCGCTGCAGGTTCGCAATGAGGGCCAGCAGAACTTTGAGTTCCAGGTGTTGATGCACACGTATCTGAACATTGCGGTATGATAAACTACGCCTGGTTCAATTTTCGCAATTCCCTGCTAATCTGAAATTTGACGAATAGGATATTTCCGATATCCGTGTTAAGGGCCTCGAATCCAAGACCTACCTCGATAAGACCCTCGAAGGGACTTCTCACACCGAATCGTCCCCCGCATTGGCGATCACCCAAGAAACCGATCGCATTTACCAACAACTTGACCCCGCCGTTCCTATTGTCGTTGCATCTGCGAAGGATGACCAGCCTTTGTTCTCGATCACTCGGGAAGCCTTGACTGATGTTGTGGTCTGGAACCCGTGGATTGAAAAGGCCAAGGGCATGGCCGATTTCGGCCCAGACGAGGCTTACAAGAACATGATCTGTGTGGAGGCTGGCTCGGTGTCTGGTTGGCAAACCCTTGAAGCTGGAGAGGCCTGGGAAGGTGGACAGAGCATTAAGTCGCGACTATGAAGATGAGAGGATACCTTGTCTCCTACTAGTGATCTCTCTGCATGATCGTTATGACCTAAAGACGCCTATTCCCAATTCCAAATTGAAGGTCCGCTAATCATGCGGCCATTTTGGTCTCTAGCCTCGCTTTGTTTGACGATAGCGTTTTGATCTAAATCTTTATTATATTCATCCAAAATTGGTCCAAGGTACAGATATACATGCTTTGACAAATTCATCCACAAGCAACAATAGTCACAATTCGCGCCGCACCCATTTTCATTGTTTTCGGTGTCAATTTCTCGTTTATCATGAAGCATTCCCGCGTTCAGTACTAACAGGCGAAACACCCCCAAGATCAATAAAAGATCGACGACCCTCCTTGCCTTCTTGGAAAGCAGCCAACCGCTCAGCAGCCTCAAAGCTATAATGCGGGCCACAGTATTGGCGTCTGCCACGGAACACCCACCAGAAGGCAGTAAGAACCATCAAGCCGACGACGATCACGCTGGTATAGTTCATATTTTGAACTGTCGCCGGCAACACCAAGGGGAAACAGAAGAAAATAACAGTAACAGAAATATACAACAAAGAAACAATATTAACCGCCATCCCAAGTTTCTGTCCCATATAAAATGGCCCGGGAACCATGTTCCCACGACCAGACAAAACATGCGGAAAGATAGCTCCGAAGTAGGACAGCGAGCTTAGTACAATAAAGGACGAGATCAACGCTTGGAATGCTGTCGTGCTACCGATATATATACACCCCAGACAAGTGACGAGCGCGCTCATAGCAACTGTCGCACGCACGGGGCAGTTCAGTGTCGGGTGAACTTGAGCGAAATAGTTCGAAAAGGGTGTTGCGTTATCGCGTGCTAGACTCCACCACATTCGACCGCCTGTCACGAATGTCCCGATTAGAGTTGGGAAGGTCGCGAGAAATAGCACCGCAATCAGACCGATGGCGCCTGCGTTAGAGCCTGTCGCTTGTCGATAAATTTCCGCTGTTGGGAAAAAGCCGATGTTACTTGCAAAGACGGCGTCCAGATCTTGAATGGAGTAGAATAGGGCGATCAGATACACAAATGATGTGACGAACGCTGTGAGCATTTGCAACATTATTCCTTGGGGGACTTTGGTCTCAGGTTTGGGGACTAGAACGCGTTGTTAGTTGGTGGCTTCCGTTTCTCACATGTCCGACGTACCCTCTTCTGATAAATGGCTAATACAGTCTGGGACTCCAACTGCAAACGCAGCATTCAACAGACCAGTCATGAAACAGACTCCGTCCGACCATCCGCCCGTGTTGTTGTGGTATTCAGTCCACACCTGGGCGCTGCTAGCATGCTTTTTCGGCATTACCGTGAGAACTACCACAGTTGTAACGAGGCCACACATCGAAAGAGTAAGGGCAACGCGGTTAAGGAGAGGAATAAACCGATTTCCTAAACAGACAATGGCGCAACACGTCCAATTGACAATCTGGAATACAATAAATACTTGCCAGGCTTGCCACTTCACAGTCGGATATTTGAGCAGATACATGGCCACGCCCTCGTTCCCTAACATGGAGCTCATCGATGACGCTGACAGCAACCACGCGCAAGCATTTAGATATCCAGTGAAGAACCCTGCTGTGCGGCCTCGACTCCGGCTCAAGACTGACGACCAATAGTATACTCCACCGGCAGAAGGCATGGAGGAGGCGAGTTCGGCTAGAGAAGCTGAGATGGTCGCGTAGAAGACGCTGACTAGAATCAATCCGTATAGAACAGCCATCGGACCGCCATTCTGGAGCGCAGCGACGATTGTACCCCCTGTTGAAGCCCAAGAGCTTGGTCGCGTTAGTCGATCGAAGTTTGATCAGTGCAATTTCCGCTTTATGGAGGCCTTACTTTGCAATCACAATCCCCAAGCTGGTCAGACTCCACAGTCCAAAATTCCGCGCCAACTCTTGCTTATGTCCAAGTGTAGATTCTAGCCGTACCTCGTCGATTCCGGCATGGCCCTTGTGGGATTTTTCGGTGTCCTGGGAGGCTTGCCTTGAGAATACCACCATTTTGCCGTGCGTCGTGCGGTGTTGGAGCGAATATTCAAAAAAAAAAAAAAAAGGACTCAATGCATGGCAGCTACAAGATGAGAAAAGAGGAAAGGAGGTACGGAGTACACCATATCCACTAGGTTTGACAGAACGTACAGGGCGCACAGGAACAATCGGGCGTGTCGCAATAGGAATGTAAGATGTGAGGGCCAATGCCCTCATGGCTGCCACATGTTTTCCACAATGTCCAAGCATTCATGCAAGGATACTAGTCGATAATTTTCTCCGAAGGAATGCACATGTTTCTATTGTTACCCTAGATGAAATATGGAGCTAGATGTGTTATTGGCAATAGTATCACTGTTTTTTTTACAGAGTACTCCCGTAGAACAAGAGTATTACTGTGTGAATATATCTATTTCAATCCTGCTTTTAATTAGACTTGTACAAATTCCTTCTCTTGTGACCTCCCCAAATCGAAATGGAGTTGATACATCCCAGGCTAAGCAAGGGGGGTTCGTGGCGAATGCGGCATTTGAGGCGTCGATCCGATGGGCTTAACCACATACAACGTACGAAGGACGTAGCTGGGTGTGGACTTCATTCAACCTCTAGGGCAACGATTGCAATATGGTGCTAAGGTCCAAATTTTGAGATTTCGCAAGTTTCAGTTGTTCGCCAGCTGAATATATTCTACATTCCAGCATTGTGAGGGGTCTGCGCAACATTCAATTGGTCTGCGCCCTGCATACGATCGCGATCCCCATGATGGGGCGCCCACATGGCCTCGTGTGATTAATCATTTGCATCGTGAATATGTGAAGAGCAAGATTACCAGAGTGCTCCATAGTGCTTCGCTGCTTGAATGAACAAGATATCCTCATTTCTTCGTTTGGAGAATGTATTTTTTGACTAGTGCAAGTATTTTGGAAATAAACAAAGCATATCAATTTGATTCCCCGAGAGAGCCGAATAGCATGGAAATAAGATTGAATATAATCCAACGCTATCGACTGATAATCAATATCACAACACGAAGTAGTTTGGGAACCACCAGTTCTATCTGCATCCATTTGAGGATACAAGAGCCTCCAAATTATTGAACCCATCTAATTTGAGTAGCCTTCTTACGGTGTCTTGCCCAATATGATGGCAATTATCCCGCCACCGACGCCCTCTAGATACCCTTCGATTGTCCCATCAAGCGCACCCCTTTTCAATAGATGTATGTGGATGATGAATATTATTAAGCGGAATACGACCACCTCTAAGTTCATCAACAGTATGCGTACTACCGTGTTGCAGTATGAAAGGCTGACTAGTAACTTGCTTTCAGCAGCCATAGCCTGTTAGCGTACGTAGAAAGTTAATAACCGGATATAGGGGTGTTCAAATACGCCATCAAAGACCAATAGAGGGCATAGAGCTATGATAACATCCTAAAAGTTGACATCCCGAGGCCGGTCTTAGAAGACATATGTCCCACGAGTAGGCAAGGCGTGTTGAAAGTCTTAAAGAGAGTATCTGTGGCGTTTAAAGTCGCTCATTCAATGACGCAGCTCGTAACTGTCGCCCATGTGTTTGTGGATGGGCTTTACATCAATGAAGGGTGGATGCTGTGGATCTGGCGCGTGTACGTATGCATGGTATTTTGCCTGGGGTAGCTTGATATCTCTAATCTCCAACAATCTTCATACTGACGAGCTCCGGATTGGCTACACTGTATATCTTTGCATTATAAAATCATCACATATTCATGCAGGATAGGGGTAATGCCGTTAGACTTATCGTATTCGATACTGCGCCAGGGGACCTAGGTTTTTCTGGCTTTTCGCGTGGCTAGGTACGGAGTACTCCGTAGTTTCAACTGGGCTGATAATAAGCAATTGTATCCATATCATTGCATTAGTTCTGTCATTAAGTGGAGTATATCACACGCCAAAGTTGCAATGACGTCTCTGCATGCTTCCTCCTTGCCGAGTACGGGGTGCGGAATACTCTGTATATTGTAGTAAAATCCTGCTCCTTTCTACATGTGCAATCATCAGTCCTTCTGCCACCTTCATATATTGGCTATGGACTTATTTCTATTAAACTACGATAGATCGGATACAAAAAATCTTTGGGTTACCCTCTTCTCTATAATGATACCTTAAACGCCGAGTCGCCGTTCTCGATTAAAAAAACCTGCCCATTGGCTACTCAATTTGGCGAGCTGTTGCCCCCTAAGTGCCGGGTAAATGGACCGGTCCGATAGTAGCGAAGGTTGACCCTGTCGTCCCTCTCTAGAACTCCTAAGGAGCACTAGATCGTCGCATTCATACAACAGGGCATAGCCAAACAGAATGGAGATACTTCGTACAAGCTCACATATAAACACTAGCGGCTTTTCGGCTTCCGAAATGACCAAATTACCTGCAAAACTTGATATTGTGAACACCATTTAGGAAACAAGGTTCCCTAGGGATAAAATAGAGAAGGTTAAACATTCATATTAGGCATGATCTTCGGTCACGATTGGTCTACCATGTGAGTTTTTATTCACCCTTTCTTTAGCTCGCATATCGCGCAAGTCTATTTTGTATGGATCACTCTGCCCAAGAGCTATTGAATATCGCTTGGATCGCCATGCAGATCAACGTCCCGAACTCCCCAATAATATCAGCCGCTCGGCTACTAAGTATCCACTCTGTAATATGACCTGTCAAGGGTTTGTTTGCACTCGAGGCAAAGCTATCGGCAACGTGCATACGGGGAACTTTATCCCCAAAATAAGAATACCAATTGAATGATGAAAGGATGCGATTAAATATTGTGTGACACCAATCTCGCCAAACCTATCCTATTACAGATATCGCGCACAGCTGCGGCGCAGTTTGCACAACATTGGGCATTTATTGGAAGACTCGTCCGGGATGTCACAAGCAGCTTTATCAGCCTCTTGGCCTGGCCAGCAGAAGGACTCCAAGCACAAGCGAGGAATGTGATGCGTAAAAGCTTCTTCCCCTATCACTATTCCGTACTTCGTGTCTACCTACTTTGTACATTCCAAACCTGACTGCCATCGATTGGATTGGCACTTGGAGGGAAGCAATCCCTTGCATTTGCGCCCCATTCTTCCTTGCTTGTCAGCCAAGTCTACCCCAGCACTGACATATCACGGACCAAGACGCATGATGCGACAGCCCTGTCCTCGGTTGGTACCTTTAAAATCCATCCCCGGGCCTTAGCTTAGCCACTTTCACCGAATCGCTCTCCTCGGCCCAGTAGCCTGTTCCGAATACATCATTCATAGATTAACCCGGGCTGCCGGTCAACAAGCCATGGCACGATTTCAAACTTTTCACTGATGCTCCTCATCAAAACGCTTGGATAAATTGCCATCTCTCATGTATGGCAGACTCGTGCTATAATCTCTTGGCATTTTGAGGTTCAGTTCAGGGCGGAGACCGCTCTATCCATCAAGATGGGGAATGAGTCGCCCACTCCACGCCAGCTTATTACAGAAGCCATAGTCTTCTGGGCTATAGGACTTGTTATTTATGTCGGGAGGATGTAAGTTTGAGAAGCAGTTACCGAATTAGAGCAATGCTAACTGCAATAAAGCTTGGCTCGTATCATTGGCAATGGAAATGGAGTCAAACGGTTGTTTTGTAAGACATCTAGGCTCTAATCCTTTGATTCTGCTAACGAGTACCTCTTTAGTGGACGACTATGTAATGACGGCGACCTTCGTGAGTATTACCATCGATAATCAGGTTACTTCGTTCCGCTGACCCGACGGCTCTTCAAAAGGCAATATATACTACAATGCTAGTCTTGATTCAAATATCTGCCCGCTACGCAACGAACCTCATGGACCCGAAGGACTACGACAAGGTGTTGGCAGACCCAAAGCAAGTCAGCGATCGGGTCTATGGAAGCAAAATTGTCATTGGGCTAGAGCAATGCATGCTGGTCTCAACCTGGGGCGTCAAGACATGCATGCTGATGCTTTATTGGCGAATCACGCAGAATCTGAAATCGAACCTTTATATCAAGATCCTTTCCGTCTACGTCGCTATCGGATTTGTCGTCATAATGGTCACATACTATGCAGTCTACTGTCGGCCGTTCTCACAATACTGGGCCATGCCCGTGGATAACATGCAGTGTGCGACATACCAATACTACTCGATAACCCAAGCCGTCTTCAATATTTCGTCCGATGCCGCCATGTTCGCCGTCCCGATTCCCCTCCTTATCAAAGCCCAACTCAAAATGCGCAGAAAGGTCGTCCTCATCGGTGTCATGAGTCTGGGGTTGTTCACTATCATTGCCGCTATCCTGAACAAATATTTCAATTTTGCCTCCCCGCTCACAACTACCTACCAAATCTGGTACATCCGTGAAGCCAGCACAGCAATCTATGTTGCCAACCTCATGTGCTGGTGGCCCCTCCTGCGCAAGTTGTTTGGCGTCAAGGCATTCCAATATAACAGCAACCGAGGCAAGCGACCTGGAAACTCCGACAACCAGAACAACGAATACTCCAACAAATCACATTCTCATCCTTCATTCACATTCTCTCGCTTATGGAACCACCGAGGAAACAAAAACACAACGCCTGGCAAGTACAGAGGAGCCAAGCGCTCGAGTACCGAACCCATCAACAGGTCCAATACAGAATTCATCAACGATATGCATCACGTCGAAGCCGTCCCCCTTGAGGTCTGGACTAAAAAGGAGGATATTGGAAACGAGACTTCGATAACCCAAGCGTCACCAAACTCGTTTGAGAAAGAATGTGACGTTGAATTTGACCAAAGGCAGCAGACACGCTCGCCTTGTTGAAATCAAAATGTTCCTATCTGTTTGCAATTGCTGTTTAGCTTGTACATTTTACGACACCACGCCTTGGTGATTTTTAGGTATCTTTTATAGCGGTTCTTTTCAGCAGTCTTCCCAGATATTGCTTTTAGTAGACATTTTCCCCGCCTTCTCAATTTTATAGCTAAATGGCGGGAGAAGGCCGTATAGAGGATCTTCTAGGAATACCTAGGGGCAATGAAATAGATCAAATATAGGTTAAAAGTCATGATCCTTTGTTGGAGATGGGGTACTTGGGAACCCACGAATACACACTCGGGCACCTTCCAACCTTGGAAGGTTCCGTTGAGACTCTGCCTCGGTGCCTGACTCGTCAGGTTCCAGTTTTCCACCAAGCATTCAGAGAGCTTCCATTTGTCGTGGACATAACCTTCTCTCACTCTCATCTTTGATCTCGCGTCTCTCTTGGCACGGTCTCTTCCTTTTATCCACTTAACCATCATGGATGTTATTACTGTTTTTGTTGCCCGGGCCAGTGTTGAAGAAGCAACTGACCAAAGCCTTACGCGAGACAGGCTGCATGAATTCCTAAATCCAGTTGTTCAGAGCTACGAGACGACGTCTGGTCGCGCCTGTCTGTACCCTCGATTTTACACCTTCATCCACGATTCCGATCGGCCACTGCGCTCTGGGGGATCTGCCTTGCAATACTTCGCCAACCTCCTGAGTGAAGGTCAAGACAAATGCTGTGATGTGATTATTGTTTTGAACGGTTGGGACGCCCTGACCGTGGATAAGATGACATTTGTCCGGCTGTTTGGCCGTGTTTCGATTTTCGACATCGATGTGAAGGTCAAGGTCTTCGCCAGTCACACTAAATCGACCACCCGTTCTCAATTCTTCGACATCAATCCTAGTGCAGCCTGCGCCATTCTTACTGGCGAACTTGATCCGACAACCGAAATTGCTCCCAATGATGACACACAACTTTTTATTTCTACCATGGAAACCATCAGCGCTGATATGTACCTGCGGTGTCACCCTAAAGAGGACATCCGACGGCTGGCAAGTTGATGTTCTATCGGTCGCTGTCTCAAAGGTCACGATTCACATATTTTTCAGGTGATCGACGATGAAACACGCAACGACCATCCTGGCTGGTCTGGGTCCCGCAAATATTTCATTCAGGAACGTTGGGGGTGGATAAGATGTGGTCATTAGGGCTGGGTCATGGGCCGTGTCTAAGCTGTTTGAGAACGTGCTCAAAATTTGCATACATCACCCAAAAGATTTCCAACTTTTTCGCGCGGTCAATGATCAACCATCTATCTTTGATCTTCTTCTTCTTTTTCCTCGTCTCCGCAGGGCCCCAAGAAGCCAGATATTCTCACTTGTCTGGTTTGATATAGTACGTGTTGCATATCAGCATGGCAACTGCAACTACTCAGAGTCCATTGCTCGTGTTTGTCGCCTGAGAAAGCGCTGTGACAGGATGGACACGAGCAGAGTACATTAAATGGCTTTCCTGGGAGTCTGAAATATGTATCAGCCCAACAAGGCGCCTCATACGACACTATTGGATGACAGTTGCCGAAATCCTTTGCATTTATCCACGGTGCCAATGGCCCCTGGAATTGAATGACTACTTGAGAGTCTGAAGCATGTATCGGCCCAGCATACTTTAACTGCAACACCATTAGATGGCAGCAAGGAAAGTTCTTTGCCTTCATCCACGGCCCAAATGAGGCCTGGTGTCCTCGCGCTAGGCATACGATGTATATGATGGATCTCGTGGCTGAGGCCACGAGCCTCAGCTGCCCCGTGCTTCTTATCATTTCCGGATGGAGTGGGCTCACAAATTGTCCGCTAATGTGCGGCAAGATCTTTGGTTGGTTTGGGGATGCTGGCGCCCCGGTGATGGTACGGGTTTACGCTGATACACCACGCCGGTTCTTTGACGTGGACCCGCAACAAGTGAAGGCCGTGTTGCGTGGAGACATCACCCCTGGCGAGAGTGGAGAATTTGACAAGCTTATTTGTTGAAAATTTCAGGCTCCCGCACTTTGCTAGGGTCAAAAAGTACGAAGCACAACAGGCTGTAAGTATATAGAATTATCTATCGTTTCTACAGATGACCGATGTTGACTACCATCGCAATTGCTATCTTGAGAAATTGTTTTTCGTTGCTTGTACATTTTAAGGAAACGGTTTGTAGGTATAAGGAGAGACCAAAAATATCATCACCGTTTTACTATGTATGATGCGCACCACAGTACAATAGCCGTGAAATAAAATCCCTTGGGTTTGACAATGAAAAGGTCGAAAGGGAATAGTAATATATCGAAGAAATCCTGTCTATCGTATGTCTTAGTTTTCGAATGTATTAAAATAAAAAGATACTAAAAGAATAGGCTGTCATAAATCTGTGGAGACAAGAAAGTTGTATCTCCTCAATCATACTCCCCACAAAAGTAAAAAATAGACAGTTTACCCCGGACTTACAATTTAACCATGGTTTGTGTCGATCTTATACCTAGTGAGTGCAGGTGAGTCCGGTGAATTTCACTTCGGCAAAATAATCTTGAAATAAAGCGCCGATAGTGTAGCGGTTAACACTCCGCTTTCCCAAAATGGAAATTTTGATCAAGCGGCAGCCCGGGTTCGAACCCCGGTCGGCGCATATATTCCTTTTTTAAAAAAATTTGTCTCTCCTACAGACAGCTCTTTCTCTTTTTGCATCTCCCTTTCTTTCTCTTGTATTTTTTATATATCTTTTGAGTTTATCGCACCTTCTCTTTTCAAGTCTATTTATTGTTCTTGACTTGTATCAAACTGCAGCACGCGCTCAAACCAGCCCAGCCCCCAACCAACACCTACATACCCTGCCAACCACCCAAGCTTCCTTGATGAGGCAGGCTCGTCAACGAACACGAGAGATGCAGATCTACTGGAAGTAGGACGCCAATATGCGAGACTATGAAGCACAACCGGTCTGAAAACCAGGCGACCATCGCCTTCCGCTTGCAGAATGCTCTGGCAAACGCAACAGACCCCGTAGCCACCATGGTCCAGTTCCACAAGAACGGTAACTTGATCCCCCTGTCCGCAATGCGTGCGTCTTTGACGAGCTAGCTTGCATGGCGGTCAAAAGGCTTACGAACAGGTTGTTCCACATACTGTACCCGCCCGACTTTGACCGACTTTGACCGAGAGGGCAACATCGCGGGACCCGATGGACGCTATCCGCTCGACGCGTTCCCTTGTAGGCACACGGTTCGCCTTTGATTCCGATGTCCCGGGATGTGGTGCTTTCGCACAGCCGGTCTTTTGACGTGAACCCCCAGCAAGTGAGAGCAGGGTTGCGTGGTGATATCACCCCTGGCGAGGACAGAGTCGGGTTAGAGGACTCGACATGGGTTTTCGTAGAGAACTTCCGGCTACTTCATTATGCCAGAGTGAAGATGTCACGGGCACAAACAGTAAGTATCCATGTACGACTATATGTGATGTCAAGAGAATGCGACTGGACTGAGACACGATCCTGCCAATTGCGCAAGCGCGCGGCTAACAATATCGCCTCCGAGAATAAGGAGGACGGAGAAAATGTTGGCAGGTGTCCTCCATTACGCTGAGAATTCACTGGCGGAAACATTCTCACTGAAGGTACGTTGTATCTTGGATATCATAGGCGGCACGGTGCTCGGTCCAGTGTATTTGGCGCTGCTTAGATGGAGTTCGAAGCTGGCTTTATCACTTGAGACTGGCGTTTCAACGCATCGATGTCTGTTAATTGCGGAAATGTCGTGAAGGGCGTTGGCAACTCTCAATATGCGGCAAAGAAGTGATTTTTTGTTTCAGCCCAAGACCGCTGTGGCCTACATATACGGGGGGCAGAGAATAAGCTAGTCTAACACACCCTAAATGTATTTGTCTTATTTGCATATATATTTCGAAGTTCTCAGGTATATGCTATTCTAGTAGCAATCCTGTTGATCCTATAAGCTCCGTAGCGTGTCAGAATGTCGCAATTGTTCAGGGTATGTTAGGCTTGTTAATACTTTGTCGGTTTTATAGCTAGAAGGCGGAAAAAAAGGAAATAGTGTAAACCGTACAGACGTACATAATTTTGGCCTCGCGGTTAACTCGGCAACATCTCCATCGTATCGACCCCACGCAAATGTGGGGTGAAATGGTGTCATAACTCATTTTCCACTCCTATTTTCTCTTTCTCTCTGAGTAACAAGATTCACTGCTATACGGAGTGCGAATATAAAGCTGTGCCAAGGTAAGATCACGTACGGCAGTGTCCTCCCCGGTATTTACGCCCGTCGCGTGGCTTCCCGAGCCGGCTCCGTTGATGGGGTCTTCTCCGCAAACTCAGAATGGCCACCAGGACCGAGATGTTCATCTTGCCTCTCAGGATGCTTCTGACTTGATCGGTCCTCATGCAGAATTGTCGAGTACTGAAAGCGACACAGATCTCGAGAGCGATGACACCGCAGTTTTTGAAAGTGACTCCCAAGCGACGAGGAGATTGGAGTCCGCGCCGCTGATAACCAATCACCGACGATTGCGTTCCACAGATGAAGGTGATGATGATCATGACGGTGTGCTCGGGCCGGTCGAGGACGAAGAGAAACCAGTGACTTGGAGTTCGCTACCGAAGAAGGGCCAATTAGCGATCTTGACCTTAGCGCGACTTTCAGAGCCGTTGACGCAGACCTCTCTGCAGGCATACATGTTTTATCAGCTCAAATCGTTTGATCCATCATTACCTGACTCAAAGATCTCCGCGCAGGCGGGTATCCTTCAGGGTAGCTTTACAGCCGCGCAATTTATCACCGCTATTTGGTGGGGACGTCTTGCTGATGCTGAATGGATGGGAAGGAAGAGAGTGCTGTTGATCGGATTGATGGGCACTTGTCTGTCTTGTGTAGGCTTTGGCTTCTCTCGATCTTTTGCGACGGCCATGGTCTTTCGGACACTGGGCGGGATATTGAATAGCAATGTTGGAGTGATGCGGACGCTCATTGCAGAGATCATTTCTGAGAAGAAGTAAGTCGATATGATCACACAATACGCCAAATTGCCTTAGGCTAACCATTTAGATATCAATCCCGCGCATTTTTACTCCTACCCATGTGCTTCAATATCGGTGTAATCATAGGTCCAATCTTGGGAGGCTCTTTGGCCGATCCGATCCACAGCTTTCCACAATTCTTTGGCCCGGGATCTACCCTTGGAGGTAAAGAAGGTGTCTGGTGGATGCAGCATTGGCCCTATGCATTGCCGAATCTTTTGAGCGCAGTCTTCATATTCGCATCATTTCTTGCAATCTTCCTTGGGCTCGATGAGGTAAGATCATCACTGTCCGAATCCATACGGCCACTAACAACGAACCCGTTTAGACCCATGAAATTGCACGTTATAGAAGGGACTGGGGTCGCAAACTGGGCAAGCGGCTCACAAGAGCTTGGAATAGACGACCCCGGCACTATCATCCACTGACACGCTCCAGAGATGATGACTCCATTTACACGGACGGCAGCGTCGGTACTTGGTCCACTCCTTCAAGTCCAGCCCGCTCTCGCGTGCATCCACAGCCACATAAAAAGATAGGGTTCCGCCAGATCTGGACACGCAACGTTATCTTGACTTTAGTGGCTCACTTCCTGCTCGCTTTCCACACAAGTGCCTTCAACTCTATGACATTTGTATTCTTACCCGCACCCCGTGCGCCAGAGAACTCCCAGCAAGGTCTTTTCCATTTCGGCGGTGGACTAGGTCTTCCATCATCCCGAGTTGGACTTGCTACTGCTATCATTGGATTCATCGGCCTGCCACTGCAGATCTTCCTCTATCCACGGATACAGACAAAGCTTGGCACACTCACGTCATTCCGAACGTTCCTTCCCTTTTCGCCTATCGCATACGTGCTGATGCCCTTCCTTGTGATTCTTCCACGCATACCATGGATTGTTTGGCCTTCCTTCACGTTCGTTGTTAGCTTGCAGGTCATCTCGCGGACATTCATCCTGCCCGCTGCTATTATCCTGGTGAACAACTGTGTCACGGATCCATCTGTCCTGGGCACAGTCCATGGAGTGGCACAGAGTATCTCTAGTGGAGCTCGGACACTAGGGCCATTTTTGGGTGGCTGGGGGCTAGGGTTGGGCCTCGAGAATAATATGATTGGGGCTGTCTGGTGGGCACTGGCTGTTGAGTCATTGTTTGGTTGGGTTATGCTGTGGAGCATTTCCGAGGGCAAGGGAATCGAACGGAAGAAAGATGAGACAGAGGATGAGGAGTGATCTGATTTTATTTGACATGTTGCAAAACGTCATTTTCTAGACTCCTTAAACGTGGCAATCCAGACCTAGCATAAAGAGCGACCCTTTATATGTGGAAATGAAGTTTTATTCATATCTGTTTTGTTCAGACACAATTCATCAAATTTGGAAAAACTAGCAGTCAATAGGCTATGTGATCAAGTCCGAATAGACGGGGCAATGAATGCCTTCATTGCCTTGGTGGCATCCCCATCATGAGCCTTGAGCAACTCCGTGGCCTTGATCTTATTCAAATCCAGCTGCTCAACCTAGATTCGCATTAGTAAAGCCACAGAAAGATGGGCATCAAAGACATAGACATGGCAAACATACCAGCAGTGTAACATCAGCCGGAGCAACCTTGACTATCTTCTTTTTCACCACACCATCAGTCTTCGGTCCCTCGGCCGTTTTCTTGTTACCCACGTCTTTCCCAGCAGCTATCTCGAGCCGACTCATGGCCCTTCCCAAAGCCTCTTGGTTTGCACTAAGCGGTGCCCCAGCGGAGGTACCCTCTGTTGCGATCTCATTTGTGTTGAGGGAGGAGAGAGCGGCGGCGGCTTTGCGGTCTTCGGCGTTTGAAGGGAGGGTTTTTTCGACATTCTCTGGGTCAGCAGTTGCGGAGGGAATCAGATCAGACATATTGTCTTTGTTCAAGGGGTGTTGGATGTGAATTTAGTCTTGACTTGAGCTGTGTTTTGACAACACGACGTCATTGATAAGCCCCGAGTTTCAGATAAGTGCTGACATAATTGTTTGTTCGGAGGTCCCGAGGTCTCGACGACAAGTCAATTTTATTTCTCTATTATCAGTCCTCTCTTTTCTTTCAACGTTTTGATCCTCATATTCAAATTAATACCATATGTTTCTAGATGCTTTGGAACCATTCGCAGCTAAGACCACTTTCGGGTGACTTCACAGCTTATTATCTCCACTTTGAGGCTCCGCTTTTGAACACTCCGAAGAACCTCGGGATGCTAGTTGCTATAATCTGTCCCATAACACTACAAGAAAAAGGAAGTGCACAACAAGATCAATCCGATATACTCACAGCATGGTGGAGACCTGGCTGAATGGGTTCAAGATGAGAAGACAGCCAAGTTTTAGGCCTGGGGTATGGCTCCAGTCTAATGAATCGATCATCCTTAGGCTCCAACTTGCACCACTCTTGACAGAAGTTCAAAGCCCTATAGCGAGTACTTCTGTTAGGATACAGGCTAGAACTCCTAGACACCTAGAGCATACATGTAGTGATTAGCGTCTCCAACTCTTGCCGGCTGGGATAGATAAACACTGGGACAAAAGGCTTGAACAACTGCCTTTGTCTGCTTTTATCGCTTTGAATTTAGACCATATCAGTCTCGGTTCAGACAACTAAGCCCTTGTCATGTCCCTAATCATTTCCAAGTGCCTCCGCGTAAAAGATAATACGCACAATCGCATTCATAAATGTCATTGTCAGCTCTTGACCTATGCGATACAGTCGATTTTAATTGTCAAGCCTATAAAAAGCTTTGCTCCAACCACCACCACCACCTCGAGTTATTCTCTCCGTCTATCTCTCATCTGATCCTTTAATCGACTAACAGGTTACATCGTTATCTTCTCTTTTGACCTCCGTGGTCCTTTTTGGAGCATTGATACACCTACAGTCACATATCACACAACAAGTGCACCATGAGCCCCATCCTTCACGATGCCTCCAGCCACGGAAAACCCCTCTGCTGACAGTGTGTCGATCTGGGAACAGGCCTATCACAACGCGTGGCGTCACTTCCAAACCTGCATTGTGGAGGTACTCAACAGGCTACGCTGGCGCAACCCATCCCCCGAGAATCGCCAAACGACCATTGAAAAGCTAGGTCGACTTCCAATTAAGGTGGAAAATATCCAAAGCACAGGACAGGCCATGTTTGAGCATGATCCAGGCTCTCAGACTGTGCGAGAGAAGGCTCTTACTTACTTCGCCACCGATTTCATCCGGGACTGCCTCGAGCTCCATTTCAAGCTGAATATGTTGGCATGGAGGCTCATGAATCACCCGGGGAGTGTTAGGACAGTTTATAATCGTCTTCTCAGGCTGCTGGACTCTATCAAGGATCGGGTGCCGGACTGATAGCTGGATGGCTTGGTTTGTCGGGATCTTGGATTATGAATATCGAATGGTTCCAACGCCTAATTTGACGGGCTCCATGGTTTGATCCTTTACATTGCGTCCCTTCCTTGATTGACTTTGAAAATGCTAACATCTTATCTTTTACACAGCCCACGAACTGAACGAGCGATACGAGCGATTTACCATTTATTTCAGAATCTCAGAGGCACTTGGAATCGAACAAAGACAGTGAGAGTCATACTAGATGCATAAATTTTGGATAGTAGACAAGCAATATGATCGGTTTACATCGTGCAATACAAAGAGGGGATGTAGGCTATAATTTATCCCATCCTGTATCTGTTATGAAATCAAGTAGTTACAGATTAATGAAATAAGTATTATAAAGACGGATTTCTTTTGCACAGGGAGAGTTCATTATAAACTGCCAAGCAGGCAAATGAATTATGTAGAAAGGCTCTAGAGGGCAAGAGCCAAAGCCAAAAGACCAGCTGCACCAGCAACACCCATGGCAACGGCCCCGGTAGGAGCAGGAGCACCGCCAGTAGACTGCGAAGAAGAGGGAGAAGACGATGCAGAGCTGGAGGTCGAGTCAGAGCTGGAGCCCGAGGTAGAAGAAGCCAAAGTGGTCTCGGCGGCGTTGGAGGAGGTTTGGGTGGCAGTGATGCTGTAGCCAACGAGGCTGGAGCCAGTTTCGATAGCGCTGCTACCAGCAGACTTAGTTTGAGTGGCAGTTGCCGAGGCACCACCCATGAGGTCGGCACCGAAGTGTCCAGTGGCCCAAGACTTAACGTCGCTAGGCAACGCGTTGTACCAGGCTGGGTAGGTGCCAGCAGAAGCAGCGCTATCGATCGCGGAGAGGGAGGCCGGGTCCAGGAGGTCATTGTACCATGACTCCGGAATGGCTGTTGCCAGAACACTCATAATGGAGCTGGGAACATCCTCGAGATCGAAAGTGTCATCGCTGCCGGTAGTCTCAGTGCCTGATGTGGCAGTAGAATCCGCAGGGGCAGCCAGGGCCGTGGCGGCGAAGAAAAGAGTGGCAAGGACCTTGTACTGCATGATTAAAAGAGCGTGGGGGTATAGAGGGAGAATAAAGAAAAACAAAAGCAAAAGATTTAAATACCCTCAGAGCTAGGCGAAGAAACGGGGCAACTGGGGCTCTTCTGCCTGAAGGGCCCACGTTTTACTTCTATGGTCACGCTAGTGTCAAGTAAGCAAAAGCCAACCTCTTGGAATCGATATGGCCTCGCAGCCTGACCAATCACAGCTGGAATATCCCTTGCGCTCGGCCCGATTAGACTAAATTGTCTCTACGCTAGTCCATTCTCGACCCGAAAGTTGCCTGTTCAAATTATATAAGACAAGATTAGACACAGAGGACGCCATGGCGTATAATTCATTTCGCAGCATTTACTCCATTTTTGCCCCTTTTTATTGTTTCCGTGCTCCGTGTTTCCAAATTTAGCTGGTTTTCTATGCCAAGTCTGGGGTAGTGAGAAATCTTCACATCTGAGTTTCTATCCTACAGTGGGAAAATATACCGATAAAAATTATGTTGCCAACATTATTAGTCTATGAGATACTCCATATAACGGCCTTGGGATTATATTTATTCCCAAGGTCTTACTTCTGCCGATCTTATAGCCAATAATATACCACAAGGGTTTTAGATTCACAGCCTGGAACTGGTACGTATTCCTACCGCTAATCTCCCAATATCTGTGTTATGGCTAAGTAGGGTTAGCTCGTCGACTATCTATTAGCTGCCGTTGATGCTAGAAAAATACTTTAATCCTCGCATCATATATCTGTCACGCTTAATAACAATATTGAAAAAACTTCGAACTGAGCATATCTTAACCAAGATGTTTATCCTCTATACTACCCAGTCTTATTGCACTCAGGGTTCAAACCCCCTTTTTAGGGGGATTCTTGATGCCTGAATGCCTTATTTTAGCACCGCTCTCCACACCGCTCTATACGTCGTATTGTAATCATTCATACACGATATGAAGGGTTTGATCTCTATACAAATGGAGATATCTCCATGTTTTTGAACGGTTTGCAAGTGTCAAAAATGAAGCTTTTCATCTCATACAAATGCAGATATCTCCACTTTCTTGGACGGTTTGCAAGTCAAAAAAAGAGAGGAAATGATTACTCAGTAAAAAGGCTTCAACGCCGAGAAATGGCTGCATACGTGGATTTGTACGCAGATGAAAAGCTTCATTTTTGACACTGGTCAACGCCAGCAGAATCAGGCTACTTTGATTACTAAGGCATATACAATAATAATTCAGGTATCTTGATTTTCTGCCGTTCTAAAAAAACGTATTCAGGCACCAAATCCCGGTTTTGAACCCTGAGCGCTATCAGACTGGGTACTCTATATAATTGATCCCGCTCATATCGTCCAAAATCAAGATTTTAAGAAGATTACGGTATCTTTTATGCTCAACGTATGTTATACTCTTCCTATTGTCGAACACAGCTCTATAACTATTTCGCCTCTTTTCGAATTCGATAATCTTACATGCTGCAGATGTGATATATCACACTACCCTGCAGACTGTATGTTGTGTGTGGTGCTGTAAAAAAGGCCCGTATGGAGTACCCCGTACTTCACAGACCATTTATAAGGTTCGGGCACCAAATGAGAGATCTCTGAAACTACCAGAGACATCTCGAGACATTCAGATGATACTTTACGTACCACCTACGAGGAGCTGTTCATCATTCCCAGTCCTATCCCGCATAGTTATCGAGTCAACTGTGAGAACTTCGCTGTTGTTTGCAATAAGGCAAATTGCGTCACTCGATGCATCATATAGGCCAAATTCGAGAACAGACACTCATCCAAATTATCATAGAGTCCAGTTCCCGAATCCACAGCCTTTCAAAGTCGTTCAGATCCCAAACCAAGAGCAGAACACACCTGGGTCATGACAGCTTCTCCATCCAATATTGCACATGTCAAGGATATCACTTATTAACATTGAACATTTTTGTTTTATTTGGGCCCTGAGGAATGGAGGTCAGGAGGTTGCTGAGAGTTCAATTGGGCCAGTGGTGCATACTCAATGGGATTGCCCTTGTTTCCGGTCAAATAACACTGTTTGATTTTGAAATCCGCTGTATGGAACTCTCAGCCGCAAACCTCATGACCTGTATTCACACCGAGGGAGGTCACACAATGAGGAATGTGGGATGGAAATTATGCCCGATGGCTAAGGCATCAGAATGAGTCATCCGAGTCCCGGGGATAAGCGGCGTATCACGTCGCAATGTTTTTCTTTTGTTACATGCCCTTGATATCTGTTCACTCAGTCCTTTGTTGCCAATTCCCACTATTCCACTGCTTATTCCGACCAATTCCTCATTGAATTTTTTTGGTTACTGCTGGTCAAACGGAAGACTCTTAACTCATATCATCCCCCCACCTTTCGGGATCAATTGCCCGCACCATGGCCGAATGGAGCCCTAGTTGTAAGAGCAAAAATCTATAAAATCTCTTTGATCTAGCATCACTAACTATATCTAGCTTGGACACAAAAGCCCATCAAGCAAGATGTCATCTACGAGGATCTTCAAGGGTTGAAAGACTCACTACAGAAATTACAGAAGCTTCCTCCACTTGTGACCACACAAGAAGTATGTCTTGTCTCTAGACTGGATCCTAGCTATTATATTGACCTGTTCTACAGATCAACAATCTCAAGAAAAACCTACGAAATGTCGCTTTGGGCAAGGCATTCGTTCTACAGGGTGGTATGTTGCACAGGAAAATATCCGCGAAACATAACTAACCATTTTGTTCAGGTGACTGTGCGGAGCTTTTCGACTATTGCAGCCAAGAAATGATCGAAGCCAAGGTGAAGCTCTTGTTGCAAATGAGTTTGGTTCTCATCTGGGGTATGTCAGACCCCCACAAAAAGCAAAGAAACTGGCAACTAATCCAACCAATAGGTGCTAACAAGCCGGTCATCCGTATTGCTCGCATTGCAGGCCAGTTCGCAAAGTAAGTTCCTCACTCATTAATCCATAGACACGAAATTAACAACAGAACTAGGCCACGCTCAAGTCCAACAGAGGTCATCAATGGAGTGGAAATGCCCTCTTTCCGCGGTGACAACATCAATGGCTTCCCAGCAGACCTTAAATCCCGTCAACCAGACCCATCACGTCTAGTCTCCGCCTACTTCCACTCCGCGGCAACTCTGAATTATCTCCGTGCCTCCCTCTCCTCAGGCCTGGCAGACCTCCACTCCCCACTAGACTGGGGCCTGGGCCATGTAATCACGCCCTCGATCAAAGAGCAATACGCCAAGACCGTAGGCGCGGTAAAGGATGCCCTACGCTTCATGCACACAGTAGGAATCGATAAAGACCGCGGCTTCGAGACAGCCGACATCTACACCAGTCACGAAGGCCTCTCACTGGAATACGAGCAGAGTCTTACCCGACTCCTTCGCCACCCAGCGTACCCAGGAAGCACCACCTCCCACGAAACAGGCTACTACGCGACATCCGGCCACTTCATCTGGATCGGCGACCGGACACGTCAACTCGGCGGTGCGCATGTCGAGTTCTTCCGCGGTATCGCTAACCCCGTCGGAATCAAGATCGGACCTAGCATGGCGGCGGATGAGCTGGTGCAGCTGCTGGATGTTGTTAACCCAGATCGCGAGGTCGGTAAGGTGACTCTGATTTCCCGGTACGGCGCTTCCAAGATCGCAGATTTCCTCCCTGGTCATATTGCCGCTGTGCAGGCCTCTGGTCATATCCCCGTCTGGCAATGCGATCCTATGCATGGCAATACCCAGAGCACATCATCTGGTGTGAAGACCCGTCACTTCACAGACATCTTGTCTGAGTTGAAACAGGCGTTGGAAATCCACCGCGCTGCTGGCTCATTCCTTGGTGGTATGCATCTTGAACTTACTGGAGAGGCTGTCACTGAGTGTGTGGGTGGTGCTGCTGGACTGACAGCAGATGGGCTTGGGGAGCGTTATACGACATTCTGTGATCCACGATTGAATGAGAAGCAGGCTTTGGAGCTCGCTTTCTTGGTCGCTGGATTCTATCGTGAAGAATCTCAGGAGTAATATCATCGTTTTGGTAAACTGGATACGACGTATGTGAATGTTGAAGCGGGACAGCGAAAATATTCCGGGTATTACTATCATCGAGTTTCTGAATCAAAAGTCATGTGTTGCAAGTTTACCACAGACATAAGTAATATTTAAATCATCTGGGATTGATTTATTTTAATTGAGATTCGAACGAAAAGTAAGGCCATTAACCTCGCACAAAAACAGTCCAACCTGTCCACCTCGCCGTCGTGGGGCAAAATTAGAAAAACGCCAAAACAAAGTGTCCCCATATTTACAGTGACTGGGTATGAATTCACAAAAAACCGGCAATGCAATGAATAAAATCAAGGAACAAGAGGGCTACCGACAGCAGGCTTGTATACGAGACTCTTGCGCCTGGCAGCCTCCATACGGAAGCGGCGCTGTCTCCTGGATTCTTCGTCTTGTCCCTCGTCCAGCAGGATACTAGAAGGCTTAGCACTCGGGAACAAACCTCGGTTGCTCTGCTTTGGGGGGCAAGATTGCTGAACAAGCTTGGAGCGATTTCCAAGGAATCCTGGTGTAGCGGGTGACATGCCAATGGCATCAAGGTTGGCAAAGTTGTATCCCGGAGTAGCAGGGAATTGGTAGCTATCAGTAGAAGATTGTTGTGGGGGTGTGGACGGCATCTTCTGCTGGTGGGTCGGGGGTGTGATCTTGCGGAAACCCTCAACGGCACCGGGATTGACACCACTGCGACGACCGCCGGGAGATGGCGCGGGAGATTCGGAAATGCGCACGAGTGTTCCGTTCACATTGCTGAGTGCGCGAGGCTCCATACTCTTGCGGCGCTTGGCACCTCCACGTGGGATAATAGAGCTGTCGACCGCATACGGGGTTTCATCGAGCCATTGGTTTTCCCGTTCACAATCGAGAACCCAGCCAACTCCAACACACTTGACGAGACCCGCGGCCTTCTTGACTTTCTCCAGAGTCCGTAGGCCACCATCCTTGTACACAACATGGGTGATGCCAACTCTCAAGTCCTTGGGCTCTACACCATCAACTGGCGAGAGACTGGAATGAGGGTTCCAGGACCAGGACTTCACACACCGGGCGCCCATTTGGTGCAAAAGTTCCACAAAAATACCAGAGGCATCCTCGCCCTCGGTGGTATGAACATCCACATGCACGACGGCGCCGTGGAGAGCCTTCTGTTCAGTGCTGATGTTACGACGCGGCTTCTTGGAAGGACTGGCGGTTGCGGTAGGAGTACTGGGCGCAGCCATCACTGGTACCTTTACGCTGCTGCGTCTACCAATGATAGACCGGCGTTTGGGTGTCGGACTTCTGCTCACCCGTGGAGATTTCCGGGAGGGAGACAAAATCGGTGCACTATCATTGAGTGCCATCAAGGTTGGCTTGCGAACACGCGGAGAAGACCGAGTGGGGGATGTGCTCGAGAGGGACAGACCTCTCTTGCGGGACAGCTTAAGAGGTGATACCTCGCCTTCGGCTTTCAAAGGCACTTTTGACACTGTATGAACAGTGCGTAATTCGTCGGGTTGGACTTGAGCCTTCATTGGAGTTGACGGGAAGACCGGACCACAGTTCTCTTTGTCATCGAGTAGATCTAACTCTTGACCCTGATCTTGCGGGACTTCAGCAGCAGGATTATGCTCCGGTTCAATCTCCAAGTCAAGATCCTCGAAGATATCCGTGGTTGACCTTGGGGAGTCAATTATTCGGTGGTCTTCATATATGGAAGATGGCCGTGGAGTCCGCTCATACTCGGGGCTCATGCAAGTAGCATCGCTTTGAGGCTGAAGTGGCAATTCGGCAAACAAAGAGGGAGTTTGTGTCAAAGGGCTCTTTGGCAAATTAGGATACGACACACTATCAGAATTTGTCGGAGTTTCCGTGTTGGTGCGGTCCAAGGGGCCTACTAACGAGAAAACTCCGCGGCGACGCGGTCGGAGTGATCTAGCTTGGGAAGGGGTATCTTGTTCCCAACGGCCAAACTTTTGTGCCAATGGCGTAAAACCTAAGCTAGCCTCCGCACGGGATTGGTGCTGGTCAAGAACGCTTGGTGTGTTGAAGAGACTTGGTGCCATTAAAGCAGGACTATCAACCTGAGTGTTTGGCGCCAAGCTATTTTCTTCATGCAGGGGCGTGTCAATGATCACATTCTTGGCATTCTTGGAATCGAGGGTGGAGCCATGATCATTCTCTGAGTTGTCTGGGCGATTCAAGGACAAGGGAGTAGATTCACCGCCTGTGGACTTCGGCTGTGGTGAAGTAATCGCTTGAGTTCTTTGAAGCGGTGTTGCAATATCCTCAAGGTCGTTGCTCTCATGTGGTGAAGCAGGCTTTGGCGAGATTGTAGCAAACTCAGACCCGGCCAGGATAGACTCAGTATCTTCCACCTCGCTCTCCTGGTCCATCACTTGTTCCTCTTCCTCGGGAATATGAATGGCCTCTTCTTGCCATTCACGGTCACTGTCCAAAGGATATTCCATGTCGAGCGTTGACTGGGCTTCGTCTCCATGGATTGAGTTCAATGGTGACCTGGAGGGCAGATGAAGTTCATTCTGCTGCTCAACCATGTCTAATTCTTTCATATCCGTAGTTTGCGAGGGTTCCGGGGTCAATTCCTGGGCCTGGGATCCCGTATCAAAAGTTTGAGTCTCTTCCTCCTCAATCTCAAGCTCCAGTGCCGCCAGCTCTTCGTCAGGATAATTCGTGTCTTCCATGACTGAGTCTGCCACCTGATCTTCTTCGTCAAGCTGGTTATTCTCTCTGGAGTGTGCATCTTCCATGGCGTCAAAGCAAATTGTTTCAATCTCCTCATACTCAGATTCAGTGTCGTTGAGATCTTCACCGTCTTCTATGTCTGAGGCTTCGTCGGTTTGTTGGTCGTGAAGGTCATGAGCTGCCAGTTGGGCGTCTTCCATGGCGTCAAAGCATATTGTGTCAAGCTCCTCGTACTCAAATTCGCTCTCGTCTTGGACATCACCGCCTTCTTCTTGGTCTGAGGCTTCCTGGACTTCTTCGTCATGAATATCATGCAATGCCACATTGGCCTCTTCCATGGCGTCGAAGCAAATAGTATCGGCTTCTTCGCGGTCAAATTGGCCCTGGTCTTCGGGTTGCTTGCGAGCTCCGGGGCCTAAGTCTTCCTGAGGCTCTTGATCATAAAACTCCTCTGTTGCCATATTGGCCTCTTCCATGGTGTCGAAACAAATCGTTTCAGGCTCTTCGTACTCGAGTTGAGCCTTATCTTGAACATCTTCAGTCTGGTCTTCTTCCAGGTCAGATTCTCCCTCGGCCTCCATTTCCGCGGGGAGAGAGTCAGTGTTTCCATGATCGAATGAGTCCTGCGCTACTTCCGAGGCAGCAATATTTTTCTGTGTGGGAGAAATTGATGATGACTTTCCATCAGAAGATAGCTCAATGCCAAAAATGTCTCGAGCCACATCCTCGACCATTTCAGAATCCCTTTCAAAAGCCGTATCGTCGTATTGGCTTTCCCTTGGCGATGATTTGGGGGTGGTGGATTGTAGGAATTCAACTCCCTTGGAAGGGGTTCCATCATTTTCCGTAGGCATGCATGTGCCCACAGATGCATGAGCAGAGAATATCGAGTTTTTGAATGGAGAGGCTATTCTCTTTGCGGGACTTTGAAACAAGGGAGTTCGAGCAGGGGCTGCTGATGTAGAAGCCTTGGATGGCGATTGCGAGAGAGAAGCACCCAAATAACCACCCTTCTTAGGTGACATCTTGAGTGGAGAAGTGCGTCCGGGTGTGAAATCAGGTGCGGAGATCGCATTCACACTGTCCCGGAAGAGGGAACCCCCACGATTCGGGGTCTCTCTCATGGAGAACTGGAAGGGAGATGATGGCGCTGGCCGTCTCGCAGGACTCGACATGAACATAGAATCACTAAACTCAATTGAATTGCCAGGTGGAAGAGCGAGATGACCATTATCTGTGACTGCGTTCTGGCTGCGGTTCGGCGCAAAGTTGATTTTCCTGACTGGTGAGCTAAGCCCGATGCCGTCTGATCCGTGTTTTGGTGTCGGTAGTTTCGGTTCGCCATTCTCGTCCACGAAGCTGGACGCCTTCTTGGGAGTAAAGTTGATCCTCCGTACAGGAGAGCTCAGTCCAGTATTCTCCAAGCCATGCTTAACAGGTGAGTGAACAACAAGTTTGAGCGGATCATTATTTTTGTCCTTGATGGTGTTCAATTCATCCTCTTCTCCGTCGGAGCTTGCGTATGCTGATAGAGACTTGGCTACCTGCTTGGCCTTTTTGGGAGATAATGGTTGAGTCGCATCTTTCTTCGCTGCAGCTGGCTTCCTTCCGCGAGTACCGGTTGTCGCAGGCTTCCGAACTGCGGACGCTCCGAGGCCGGTCTTTCCAACGCTCGCTCCCTTGGTCGCTACTCGTCGACGGCCGACAGCAGGAACCTCGGGCACAGATTCCTCGGCTTCAGAATCCGAGACATCCTGGAATTTCACGGTCTTCTTCCTAGCGGGTCCACGCAGAAGATTTGAGCGCATGGTTGTCGAGTTGGTCGCAATTCTAATATGGTTCGGTTTCGTCTCATTCACTACGTCAGGTACCGCTCGCGTCCGCCTGCTCGTGGCCGCCGTTTGGATCTGAGGGGCCTTCACTGTTGTTCCCGCTCTTGGTCGTCCCCTGGCTTTGGGTGCTGCCTCAGGCTTGGCCGCAACAGCTTCTGCGGGCAGCGGAGTTTTTCTCGGTCTTCCAACGCGCTTCTTTGGCGCCTCAATTTGTTGTCCTAGTCCATCTTCGCCGGCGTTGTTTTGGGGTTTTGACTTGTCGGTGAGAGACTCCGAGGCCTTCTTTCCTCGGGCAGTCGCAGTTGTAGTCACTCTTGGTTTGGTAGCTGGGCGACCAGGAGGGCGTCCACTGGGTTTCGCTGGTTTACTTGTGATACATCCCAGCTCATCATCGGACTCAACATCGAGAGCCGGGGGCGCAGTCCGTGGTACTGGTGTTGCTTTTCGAGGGGCTTTCTTCTTCGCGTCGGCAGCAGCTGTCGATTTGGTTGAAGATCGTACCCGTTTTGTAGGGGATTGTGGGATTACCGCAGCGCGCGCCATGTTGATATTGCCGGTTGTCGTTGATCGCAGTTAGTGTTGGCACGCGACGCTCATGGCGGGTTTGGGCGGTCAAATGTGATATCGGCCCAATGTCGTTAGGTCGCAGGTTACCGAGAGTGTCGAATTAGGTGCATGGAAAAGGAAGCAAGGCAAAGCAAATAACCCACTGTGGAGGTGGCGGTCGATCCGAGGTTGCTTGTTGTGGCGTTTCCCATAGCAACACAGGCACGTGATATGATCGACGCCTCATTCGGAAAACACATCAACAAGGATCCTACATCGGATTCAAGGGCAGATTAGATACAAATCATGAGAAGGCAACAGGTTCAAAACCTATTCGTACATGCATCTAGCTTATGACATAGACTCCATAATTAAAATTTTCAAAATTGCACCATAATTTGTACGCCGTGCGATATATATATCTACTAGATATTTGTATAGTTTAGTTCTAAATAATTTCCAACCCGCTCTAAATGTTCTTTCCCTGGTGGTAAATATTGAATTGATCAATGACCCAAACCAGTTGTGAGCACTTTGCCCTTCTTATAATGTAATATAGCACAAATTCAAATTGTAGAGTATAGCATGCTTATTGAGGGACATAAGACTTCCAACGGTTTATTTGCGATTGAGAGCAGGGAGGGACAATACTGCATTGAAGTGCAAACATGTTTCTTAAATGGGAAAATATGTGCATTACTATTGAATTGGATCTCATGAGATCTGAAGAAAGTTAGGCAAATACCAGAAAAATGAAAATGACACGAGGATGGCTCAATGGCACATCACCCGTGCCTGAAAAGAAGTGTATCAAATGGCGAAAATACAAGTTTCGAATGTGAAGAGCTGCAACATGGCAGCGGAAAGAAGGAGAATTCATAATGCTCTGTTACACCAGGATGAGCATTGCCAGGCCGGCTGCGACAACCGTCGACAGCACGGTGGGCAAATTCACCGAGGCCATACTATCAGCCACCTGCAGGTAATAAGCTGGATCGTAAGATGTCGGTCTGGTGGAGTTCACAGTGCCGTTCCAGCAGTATCGGTCAAAGCATTGGTTACAGATATCTGGGAGAGTGGTACCCGTGCGCTCGAACGAGCGGCTGAGGATAGCACAGCCAACACAGGACGTCCAGTCGGCGTCCAGGGTGCTGTTGCCCATAGTGGCAACCTCGTAGCCATTGAGGATGATCTTGTCACGCTCGGAGTCGTCGGTGCTGAGTTGGAAGGTTGAGATGTTGGAATGGTAGGAGTAAGGGGCATTGGGGATGTACACGACAAGAGGCGTGGGTCCGGTCTGGTTGGCACTATCACAGCCAAAGAAAGATGGACGGGTGCTGAGGCCCAGGTTGATGAAGGTGTTCTGATCTGGAACCGCAGGGAAGGCAGTTCCATTGCCGATACCGCTGGAGTTCAGACTACGCTGGTAGGTTGTAACCAGCGATGTGCCGTTTGGCCAGAAATAATCAGTATCGGCCGAGGAGTCGACGGCGAAGATGACATCGACATGGCGCTCGGGCTGGATAAGCGGATGCAAAGGAACGTTCTGTCCATCCTCGCCACCGTCGACGACGTCCAGCATTTCTTGCGCAGCATACGGCGACGAGTGCGGGTTGTATTTGTAAAAGGGGTTGGGATCGTACGAAGCGATGTCGTTTTGATCTTTGTCTAGCCCGTGCAAGATGCTGTTGAACACATTCTTCACGAAGTCGGGGAGCGAAGTGGTGTTGATCTGGAGAAGGAACTGGTTGAAGAGTGTGGAGGAGGTTCCGATCACAAAACCAGCGTTGTCGAAACCGCTGATGCAGCTCTCGTTTTTCGGGAGCAAGCCAGCCTCGAACTTGGAGCCCAGGTACTTGAGGGGAACGAAACCAAAGATAGTAGGATCAAAGGTGCCAAACTCCCACGGGTTGAACTCATAGACGGTCGCATTGCCGCCAACGACCAGCTCACCGGGGTTACGGCCATCGGCGACAACAAACGGCATGGGGTAATCTCCATCCTGGAACGCGGGGGTGTCGGCAATGGAAGACCAGGTATAGCTGATTCCACCATTGGTAGCATTGAACATTTGATAGGAGAGTGCGCGGCCCCTGTACCCAAGTTAGCAAACAGTCACATGCATTCCGAAACAGCAATAACATACCAGATATCAGTCAGAGAAGTATCAAAGCCAGCCTTCTTCTTCGAGTCGACAGCGTCAGCAAGTTCCTTGTAATAACTGGCGGAATCCAAAAGCTGGATACCACCAGTATCAGGACCCTCGAGGATCGAGTTGCCAAACTGCCAGACGGCACCATCCTTGTGCGTCTGGAGCTTGTCGACCGTAGTGAAGTTATTGATATAGATCGAACCCAGCAACCAGCTGCCTCCACTGAGACCAGAAATATAGGTAGCAGACTGCAGCAGACCACCCAGATGCCCAGTGGCCGACGAATTGTACGTCCGGCTGTCGAAAGCCTTGACCGCACCAGCGCCGTTCATCAACGCACGCCATCCACCACCCGAGACGGCAATGCCGATATTGGGAAGACTCGACGAGTTCCCAGAGTGTTTATCGAGGTAGCCGGCGACGTCATAATCACCGACCTTCACATGTCCGAAGAAATCCTTCATCGCCGACAGGGTCTTACCGCGGCGGATTTTAAGCCATAATGTCTCGTTCGAGGACAGCTTCTCTGCGCTGCGAACTGTCGGTCGGTCCGCTGGGCAGCTGACAGATGTCGGCACGTACCCGTCGGGCGCATTGGGGAGGGCTCGTTGCACACCCGCGAATGTGATATCATCGGAATTAAACCCACCAGCAGCGATCGCGCCTGCGGGAAGATGGTGATTAGTGTGGAACACATATTTTACGCGTGTAAAGGTCCAATTATGCCAAGAATGGTCCCGTGAAAAATAAACGCGAGAAGCACTTACCGGGCAAGCCCAGGGCAATCGAGATCAGCGCAAAAGTCTTCATGACTAAATCACGATGATAGATCGTTGAAGAAGAGAAAGGAATGAATTCCTATCTTCTAGGGGGTCTTATGCACCAGGGGGGAATACTTATGCGCCGGGCCCGCCGGAAGGTTAGCCAAGCCCCCTCATTGTTCCAGAGTAGTTCTCTTGGTACGGTGAGTATGTTCGTTGGAATCACGAATCATAGCTGCCTAGTGGAGTGGATGTGATGTAAAAGATTGCCGGTGGCTCCGTCTTACATAGCAAAACATTAAATATAGACGAAATATTTTGAGGCGCAGACTTCAGCCCCAGATAGTACAACCATAGGTAAGGCTACCCAAATGGGCTGAAGGCTGATCCTGAGGTTGTCATGTGACGCACTGTGCTTAAATTGTAAATGTAATATGTATCAGTTTGATAGGCATCCGCATTTTAGAAGTCATTATTGGAGGGTTCATGAATACCTAAAAGTGGATTTCAAAATTCTCCAATTAATGATTCTGCAGGATCGGGCAAAACGGGGATAACTTAGGTTCCGAGGTGGATATGGCATAAAAAAATCAAGAGAGACCGTAATTGGATCAGATCAAAATTATACAGTACAATTTAATTACATTCCAAGGTTTCAGGTACAATGTTGTACTAGGCGTTTGTGGCGTGTAAGCCTATATGGATGTTGGTCACGGATCAAGGCACTATTACAGTGTGGAGTTCAGTATAACTACTATGACAAGAGAGAACCTGTGAAATTATCAGTTGAATTGAAATATTCGATAAGAGTGTTGGGCTTAAAAGGCGTCACCCCAATACACAGTACCAAGCCAAAGCAAGGTAAAGATTTCTTTCGCACTCCATCTCAGCCACAACCATGGCCAATCTCGGCAATCTCAAACTGTGCCTGTGTCTGGCCGTCTCGGTTCTCAGTAGCCTGCACATGACCCTCGGGCAAGTTGTTCAACTCGTCCTCCTCCTTATCCAAACTCCAGAACTGGATAATGAATATGAATCCACCGACAAAGGTCAAGATAGCGAAGACGGCGTAGTTCCAGATCAACAGAGGGTCCTTGGAAAGCGGTATCAAAGCCTCAGCAATGGCAGCGGAGATAGCGTTGGTGAACATGTTGATAGCTTGGATGAGGGAACGCATATTGCGAGGCGCCTTGGAATAGGCATACTCCATCGAGGTAATCAAGGCAAAGATCTCCGAGAAAGCTACGAGCACGTACGAACCAGTCTGAGCCCAGACAATGATAGGAGTCGGGTTAATGCTGCCGTCGTCGTTGTAGCAGTTGTTAGCTCGATACCCGCAGGGCGAAGTCTCGTAGATGTAGTACTGGATGATAGCAGCCCAGATCATGGAGAGCGATGCCAGCCAGAAACCAAGGGTAATCTTCTTGATCGCCGTGAAACGAATGCCCATCCTGCGCAATCCGGAATACAGGAACGTGTCGCAAAGCGGGACGAAGATGAGCAGCGCCAAGGGGTCAAGATTGTTCACAACGTCGTTCGGAACACCGTTCAAGGTCATCGTACCAGCCTGTGCGGTGAGGTTACTTGTCAATTGGTTGTAGGCTAGCCAGTAGATCGGGAACCAGCAAAAAACGGCACAAGCGGCAAATCCACGGCGCACTTCGTCCACCCACGCATCGTCAAAGGTCATCCACTTAGGCCGGGATTGCGGCTCGATGTTAGAGGGCTTCGCGGTGTCCCAGAGAGTTCCATCGTGAGTTCGCTTCCAGAGGATGTATGGGTTGTAGTGCCAGCGACCACGCATACAATAAAAGAATGTCTTGATGGCCTTGCAAGTTACCGAACCGGCTGGGGGAGACTGACGATAGCGGTTACGGCCCCACCACATGACGAATGGGGTAGTCAGGAACATAACCGTGGGCAGCAGGAATGCCAACCAGAAGCCGATATACTTCTCCGCATATGCCATGCCGATCTGACCCATCAATGCGCCAAGGTTGATAAACACGTAGAAATAGTGGTAGATACGGCTCTGGGTGATAGTAGGGTCGATGATAACACGCTCACCGGATTCGAGCGTACGTACCTTGAGGTTGACAATAGGTATCTGTTCGACAACCAGGGCGGATATGTTAGGTTTAAAGCCACCAGTGCCCAAACCCATGATTATCACACCCAGAACGAACACACCGAAGGAAGCGTCAGTGCTTGTGATCACTGGTGGGATGGCAGAGATAACTAGAATGATGTGACCTAGAATGGCGGCCGCAATAGACCAGGAGATAGTCTTGTATCGTCCCCAGTACTCGTCGGCGATGTAGGCACTCACGAGAGGAAGGCAGTAGCACCAGAAAGTGTTGAAGGTATTGATAGCGCTCGCAGTTTCGACACCCTGGCCCAAAGCACCCGATACACCCTGAGAGCTAGGCCCACCAGCTCCGGTCGCATGGTTTGATCCGGGAGGGCCATCCGGGGCAGGACGGGGAAGTGCATGGTTCACGAAGTTAGAGTCTATGTTGCAGTGTTAGCATCATTTCTCACGTGGTTCCACATGGGGGCGTGGTCGTCTTACAAAGGACTTGGCTTCCGTAGTAGGAGAAACGCTCGCACAGTTCGACAAAGGCGACGGTGTAGACAGCCCAGGGAATTGGGGCTGACACGCGACGCAAGGCGTTGGGGCCGTGAAGTTCATCTGTGGTTGGGTCCTCATCACCAGCACCAAGGTTGTAGGACTCGGAGACGATACTTTTCTGGGGCTTCTTCTCATCGGAAACTGGCTCACTTTGCCCAGTGGGCTTGATGGGCTCGATATCATGAATATCGAGCTCGTCCGAGCCCAGGGCTGTGGCCTTAGTCTCCATCTTGGATAAAATAGGGACCAGTGCAAGATATGGGAGGGGAAAAAATGGGAGGAACGCGAGTGAAAGAGAGGAAAAAAGATGAGAAGAGAAAAGTAAACAAGCGAGATAGAAATTCACATGTTGGGACTGAACTCGGGATGCTGATGAAAATGGGGCAACAACCTACAGATTCCCTCACTTCAATTGCCCATAGAAAAGCAATGGCTCTAATAGTAGTCATGTATTTTATTTTTATCCCCTGATGCCATTACGACAAGACAAGGCTGGCCTTGACCAGGTCGATACGGCTCAATATCAGGTGAAGTAATGAACCAAAACAGCAATTCAAGACTGTGATAGATGCAACATGTGCGGTACTATGTAACCTGCCGTGCTATGTAACCTCGCCAGGCAATAGCATAGTTCATTCCTTTTTCTCACTACAGAGAAGGGGAAATGACCACTAAACTCAGTGGCGCGAGCATTTTATACTACACAATATTCTCCTGAGGTCAAATTGGGCCCGATACAGTTCGGATATGAGATACCAGGAAGTAGTCAATCATACGACCCTATTTTGAGCAATTGAGAAGAAATAGATCTACCAAGATTGAAGTGTAGGGGAAGTTGAGCCGAAGAGAAAGCAAGTCTACCGGCAAATGCATAGCCCTCGGCAGGCGTCTTTGCGCAAAGCTTGTAAAAAGCTTGATACATGCTTCCGATGTGTCATTGGCATGGCCTTTTAAGATAGCACTATTTGTTCCTTGTGTTCGGGTTAGAATAATGCCATTTACCTCAAATTAGCCAGCTCTGATTGTTTGATGATACGTTGCTCATGTCCACGGGTGTACTACTTTTAAAGCAATCCCGTTCCAATTTGAAACCTCAATAAAGCAAAGCTAGGGTCACAGGGTTGCAGGATGGACACTTTAGGAGTATCCGGGGTTTACCAGCAAGGTCTATAATACTAAAAATAAAGTTTGGGGTCGCAGGGTTGCAGGGTGAATACTATTCTATGTACTATACGGAACAAGAGAAGACGGCCGCGCATGCGGCCTTGTGATGTCTTTTTCCATAGTCTTTTAGTAGACTTTTTAGGTGGTCTCGGATATTCTGTTTACAACATAGGTATCTTTAAGATATTTTCTCTCCCTTCTCAGTTTTATAGGTCGAGGGCAGGAAAAGGGGGTGGAAGCATACTTCGTGTAAGAGACTCTTCTATGTGTAACCTTTGATCAGGTGTTTTGGGATCTTAATAGTAAGTATTAGATCGAAATCACTCCGTGGCCTTTCGAGTGAGGCCCCTCGAAAAAAGTGCACGGACTTTAGGGGGTGCCCGGTATAACAGTACACAGAAAGGGAAGAGAACCATGATTGTGGCAACGGGGCTACGCATGTGATACCAATAAACCAATGAGATATCTTATATTTCAGCAAAGAAACCCCGAAGAACAAAGCTAGAATGCCAAGTCAAGATGGCAATTGCGTTATGCCACAGAGTGTGCTCATCTTCTCGGCCCTGCCTTGGCCTATAGTTTGTACATAGTCTTGGGACGGATTCAGCGGCCTAAGTTTACACAATATCAACTATACAACTATTTCTTCCGCTCCTCTAGTACCTAGCAAAGCAATCACATTTGAGGCTACTTACCTATTTGGGCTAAGCCGTCGCCGTTAGACAAACCAGGGCATCAACCCAGCACCTCTCCATATTCATCCATGTTCCAGAAGTCCAGCACATACCACCTCAGGTGACTGCTTGCTGTAAATACACGGGCATAAGTCCGGGGCGTTTGGGTACCCAACAGGTAATTAAGGCATCCCATCAGTAAGCGAAAATACCCGCGCATACAATGCACTACAACATAGAATCTACCAAAGTGAGCATGACTACATAGTACATGTAGGTAGTTGCTCATAGAAGCCCAACATTCCGCTCATGACTAACTGCAACATGATTGGATATCAACTCTATTCCTATTGGATCCCAAACAATCAACATCCCGGCTCGATCAACTCTGATTGGTCCCAGTTCTCCGCATCTTCCCCAGACTTGAAGTTTCCATGGCGGCTGAAAAAGATAATGACATTTGTATTATTTTTGACTACGTTAATGACGATTACAACGGCCACGTAGTTATCACGCGGTACTACTGGTTTCGGGTTACTAGATTTAGCAACGACATCCTTTTTCAATGTGTATCCCTAGGATTTGATCTTTGGATTGAACCTTAAGTATGTTGATCAGCCTTATTGGGAGGTCAGGTGCTGAATTCTCTCGGTGATTTGGATATGTGGTACGCTCCGACTGGATGGCTGTACGCGGTTATTTTTTTGGTGGGGTGGAAGTGTTGAGACGGTTCTTGGTGCCGGTTGGGTAATCTATACAAGGCTACGCATGACAGTGAATATATGTCATTGTACAACAATGAGATGCGAATGCCGATCTTCAACGAAGTGGGTCAAGATTTACATGCAGCTAAACTCTACGGAGATGAAACAGTTGAACAGTTGAAACAATTATTATTCGAGCGATTTGTAGTCTAATATCATAGCATCCAACTTTGGAACCCGCGGACTTCAATCCGCAAAAGCAAATGATCGCTGTCAATGAAAATCAAAATCGCAAAAGCCAAAGCCAAAGCCCATACGCTATTTCCGGCCCATAACCCAAAAGAAAAAGACGCAGAACGCCATGCAATGAGAAACCAAAGAAGATGGTCACGCGGAGTGATTGAAAAGGCAAAATCGAACAAGGACCATAATCAATCTACCATGCAGCGTGGCCACCATCCATGCGCAGGTCGCTTCCAGTCATGAAGCTGCTAGCATCGCTGAGCAAGAATACAGCGGCACCACGGTACTCTTCCGGTCGGGAGAGACGGCCAAGCATGTTCTCTTTGGGCCACTGGTCGCGACGCTCGGGGAACTCAATGAACAACTTCTCAACCATAGCGGTGACAATGTAGCCAGGGGAGATGGTATTGACGCGGATGTTGTAGGTGCCCCATTCGGCAGCGAGGTTACGGGCGAGCTGGAGGACAGCAGCCTTGCTAGCGTTATATGCGGGGCAAATAAGACCCTGTAGGGAAAATAGGTTAGATCGTTGGCCAACTAGAAGAGCGAGATGTGACATAAAAGCGGGGAAGTAATCCATAGAAAGAAATAAAGTCTGGGCAGGGAGACACTAGGCCTATACCGATACTTTTAAATGCCAAATGGGGTGGAAATGATAAAGGGTAAGACGAGAGAGGGGAGTGGGAACGTACTCGATTGGCAACGGTGCCGCTCATAGAGGCGATCATAGCGATGCTACCTCCATTTCCAAAGCGAATCATTTGCTTAGCAACAGCCTGGGAGGTCATGAACACTCCCGTGACGTTCACCTCGAACATTGTGTTGCTGTCCTTGGCTGAGTATTCGAGCGCTGGGGTCTCCTGCTGGATACCTGCCGCAGCAACGAGACCATCCATACGGCCCTCCTCATTGGCGATGGTCTCGATGACACTGTTGAGAAGTTCTGTGTCACGCACGTCAATACGACGGTAGTGCAACTCGGTGCCAAGCTCCTTTGCACGCTGCTGGATCTGCTCGAACTCGGGAGCCTGGTAGTTGAGTGATGTTAGTTGAGTGCATACTATGGAACGAGCTGGTGATTGTATAAACCAGACCCGAGAGATGTAGAAACTTACTGGCTCTTCCAGACGGTCAAGTGCGTACACCTTCGCTCCGGCTTCTAGGAGTGCCTCTGCTTGGACCAATCCTAGACCCCGGGCAGCACCTGAGACGAGAACTACCTTTCCAGCGAGACTGAACTCGGGCATTCTGGATTTCTGGCCCATCAAGACGGGCTGGGCGGTCATAGGAGCAGTAGGAGCTGCAGTGGTTTCGATAGATACAGACATTGCGATGTGATGTAGTCTGTGAAAGATGAGAGTAGTGAGGATAGAAGGGATATTAAAAGACGTCAAATATGATTAGACTGATTGTTTTGTGTACAAATAAAGAAGAGTGAAGATGATTCAGTAGATGGAGTACCATGGACCAGAGAATCAACTCCCTTTAAATATCTTTTGACCGACAAACCCAACGACAAACTCAAGCCGGACCAAGACCAAAGCGCCCCAGAGGTGTCTCGTGAGCAGAAAGAAACTAGAGGATGGCCCAAAGAGGAAATCCAGACATGGGCCAAGGGTACTGCAGAGCGAATTGAGTCCAGACCTCCTGGAATGTGGGCTAAACGGCTGTGGCGAGGCATACGCAACCCTACAAACAGACTCGATTAGCGCATAGAATAATAATCTACGTAGTATAGTACTAGGATGTATCAATTGATCAAAGGATTTTGACACACTTGTGTTTCCTTGTCAGTATCCTTGTTTAAATTTGCCTCATCTACTCCGTACTTTCTAATAATATTAAATGATTTACGTTGAATTCAGGGATAGTTTAGAAGTAATAATCACCAGACAAGAAATTCACGATAGTTCGGAACCTAAGGGATGGGGCCGGATTTCTCTTTTGGGAAACCCGTCTGGGAACAGAGAACCCGGGGAACCCCCAACGCCACTCTAATTTTTGACCACATTATTTTTTCTTTGCTTTAAACCTATCCAGGTGACCAAAGAACTACACGTCCTCCACTGCCGAGCTTCGAGCCGGGTCTTCTAGAAATCTTTCCAAGCCTCAAAAGTACTAGGGTCAGGTGGTTATTTGCAGATTGACTGAATCTCTACCAATCATATCTGTACATCTGGCGTGTGATATCTGTTCCTGTCTCGTTCCTGTCCGATCGCCCCGGCTCCAAGGTGGCGGCCCGGGCGAAGATAAATTCATTGGTCAATTCCTATATTAGGATCTGAAGATTTTTCTTTCTAAAATCTAAAATTTCAAATCTTAGATCATATATTAGGATATGGTGAAAAGTATTGTATGTGTTCGCAGAGTAAACCTGGGTACTCCGGATCTCTATGCGGGGGGAAGTACTACATGAACTAAAATTAGGACTCAAACATTGAATTTCAGAGTCCAGGCTCACTAAGGATTAAAGTCATATAGCTTATCTGACTCTAATGCAATATTCAATAAGCCACACCTTGTGACCATCAGAATCTTCCATTCCCAACTCCTTACTCAATGGGGAGATTCCGAGGTTTCCACTTTTCTGTTCTCGTGATATCTTTATTTCTCCCCCTGGATCTAGCCTTAGCTCTACCGGTGTGCACTTTGCATACTCCGCCTTTCCAGGGCTCCGATTATTGCTTGTTCCGGGTCCCAGTACTGACGAAACCCCCACACTCTAGATTCCGGGTAAACACTGCAGCCAGAAAAAAGGAATAGATCGGTGAATTTATGGTCTGTGCATTCATATTTTTCTTTGTTTGTCAGAATCTGGTCTGGCCGGTTCTTCCTTCCCCTGTCGTGCACTTTTCGGGCTCGCCCCGAGTGGCTCGGGGGTGAACCCACAGGAGCTGTTCGTGGGATATGCGCGGGTCAATGTTGTCGGTGTAAAAATGGTTGGCTAAGAAATGAACATCTCATCAGTTGGGGGTTTCTCAATTGCCGCCGGACCCTTTCTTTTTTGTCGTGATGGGCCAAGTACTTATGTATTTTCTGCCTAAACATGTAGTATTATGAAGTGATCTGTGTAGCATTGGGTTGCCCTGGTCCACCCGCTGCATTTCTTGTTCTCCTCTTCTTTCGCTTTTTTATTCTTGCTATATACGGCCATCTCTCAAAATTGGCATTCTTACTATAACAAGTTACTATTTCAGGACATAACTTGCTTCTTTACCATTCAACTATGAGTGTTGAATCATCTGATCATCTATACATGTATCTAGTTGGAAACAAAATACCTAAGTAGTAGATTTCCTCTGCCACTTCTCATTTGATAGTATGACAGGCTCTTGGCTGGGTTGGAGATATATGAAGAAAATGGAAGGGTCGAGACTAAATTTATAAATGAATCACAATTGGGTAGGAAAATGGCTATCTTCATGACTGATTTATGGAATTGCATATCCCTCCTCGGCCCTGGTACTCCAATTCCGCAGAATGGAGCTCAGAAATCCTCTCCGGATGGAAGGCAGAATGGCACTAGAATATCTACCATGTACCATGTGGGTGGAATATAATAATCCTCCCAACGGTCGGGCTCAGCATCTTTGAAAGTATCAATAGTACCTTCTACTGCGCTGCCATAAATCCAGACGAGTTAGCCGGGGAGCGATATAGCGGAGCTGAGGCTGCCTCGCGCGCGTTAGAACCGAACGCGTAAAGGAAGGATTAGGCACCGAAGTAGCGTCTAGGACACTTGATATAACTAGCGGCTCTGAATTATCCGTATTAGTCCCGGTTAGTGGTGGGTTTGACGGCTGCGAGATACGCGCCTTAATGGCCTGACATAGCCGATCCCACTCGGCGACACGCGTAGTAACCTGGGCGTCGCTATAAGGCCGCCACTCCTAGGGCCCGATCTTCTCGAAGTCGAATAGGGCTGGCTCTTTATAAGGCGAAGCCACAACTTTTCCAATATGAATAAGGTCGATCCAGTTAGTGAGTAGTGTCTCTAGCGGGCTCTCAATGTGTTTACTACCCTCCGCTGGAAACCTAATGTCATATTCATCAAGATATATGAAGCTCGCGACTCGGTGGAGGCCTTGGTGGTAAATAACACCGCCATCACTGTCCACAGCCGATAAGCCCCCGTCGATAGCGTATAAGCGCACCAAGCCGTCAACGGGCTGGTCTTGAAGATCAGCTGGAAAATTCCTTAAAAAGCCTTGATGGCCCATCGATACCCCATGCAAAAACTGAGAATGGGAGGTATTCGTGAGGATTCTCAAGAGGAAAAGGGGACATGGTAGCGGTGTCAAGGAATGCCGCTAGTGACGGATGAAGCCTTAGAAGATAAGCCTCGGCTTCATCTTTATCACCGGAGCCCGTGAAAAAGTTGTTGTTGGCATCCAGAGTTTCCAGTGGGCGGCCTTCAGCGAGCCAGGCATATTGGATCAGATAGTTGTGCAGAGCTGCACATCGTGTGTAGTCCATTCCTTCGAGATCATCTCGTGGAGGGTTATCTGGCCTGACAAGCAGGCTGGTGATGTCCAGAAGTTGAGAAAAATCCACTGAATTAAAAATGGTGTGTTTGTCGAAGGGGTACAACTAAAGAGGAATGAATCGCAAACAGCAAGCCCCGCAAAGGCCCACTTTGAAAGCGGTAATTGGGCGGTCAAGACAGGTAATAAATTAGCCATTGTTTCCAACCATCTCTCTAACTGTCTTGCGACGTTACTAAGTTAAACCAATTATTCCTCTTCTCTTGGGCTTACCTGTAAGAGCGATATATACGTACCTTGAGTGTGTTCCGCAATCTTACCGTTACCCAAGGCCTCCAGGGCTTACACGGGCTTGGATCTATAGGCGTACTTGTAAACATCACGAGGATTTTGCCATGCTTAGGATTGTAGAACCGGAAGAGGAGACGGAGAACCGTAGATTTACCACCACCAGACTCTCCCACGAGGGCTGTAGTTTTTCCTGGTGTTCGAGTCTACGAGAGTAGATAAGATCATGCAGGATGATATGAATTAAGCAGGTTGGTGTTGACCAAGCATGATATTTAGACCTCCGCAAAGCCCACAAAGCCCAAGGCCCAACCCAACCCAACCCCACGAATGGGCTAGGCTTTGGGCCTATCTTCGGGCCCACCGGTGGGCTATGGGCCCCGGGTGAAAGCCCATGATATTCCGAAAAACGTGACTTTTTAATTACCTTATGTTTAGATCCCGTTTTTAGCCCTTAGATCAGGGTAATATCTTATTAGTTTAATTAATAAACTACGTTTAAACATGCGAAAAAACGCGTTCTTTAGATAAGTCTTGAATCATAGAGGTTCACTTGGAAGTGGTGGTACTCCCGTATAAATCTCAAATATGTATATATATCATAACTTTAGTATTAACCTTTTTTTTCAACATCCACAAGTCGTATTTTGTTTAAAAATAGAGCATATACTTATACAGCTATTATAATTCTAACTTCTAAGTTTAAACCCATCAAAGCCCATTGGGTTGGGTTGGGCTTCGAAGGTTAGGCCCATTTATGGGCTTTGCGGAGGTCTAATGATATTGATCAAGCAAGATGGTGTTGAGGGTCGTTACTGCAGGTGGAACTACTGAGTTAATTAAGAAAGGAAGTAGGGAGAGGCTATGCTCAAATACTATAGGGAGGTCAGGTGACTATGAGAGATCTCAACAGCGATGATCATAATCAAGTTGGGAAAGGGAACCAGAACATCAGATCCAGTTGCACTAATGACCGCCATGCTCTTACATCCCCAATACCCTACAACACCGTTCCAGGGAAGCTGAAATAAAATCAAATGGATTATGTAGATTATACATATTAGGTAAAATACCTAGCCAATCCTCGCCCATCCAAGATGCCACCCCAAAATACCGAAGAGTCCTTCGGTGCTATGTACAATGATCTCTTCTTGCTGTTTCCATACAAGTACAGTTGCCGAAATCCAGTACCGAGTAACATCAAGGGACAGAAAAGAAAAAGTAAGACATAAAAGTGATATCGCATCACATGCAAATTCACATGAGAAGCATAAAAGGAAAAGGGCTGTCCAGCCATAGTAGGATAATGTCTTCAAGGAAATAAGGGAGTTCAAGCATTCACGCATAGATAGATGAGAACCAAACAACTCCATGTTAACGCCGGTCCCAAGGCAAATGTAGTAGATATCATGAGATGTAAAAGGGGCACAAAGCCAAAAGAAAAGGGAAGTAATGCAATGTGAAATAAACCAGAACAATCACCAAAGTCGGGTTTATGTTTGATTTTTGAGTTGAGTTGGGTTGGTTTGTTTTTGGTGAGTCCCCGAAGCTAGCATATGACTATGCTTCACGGTAGCCCCAAATTCGCTTTTGTTCACTCACCCACCACTTGGCAACTAGTTCAGCATCCGTGAGCCACTCGGCGGACTCTGCACCAAATTTAGGCTTAACCTCTGCGATAAGTTCCTCAAGAGTCCATGCCTTGGTGAGGTGGGTTTCACCCGGGTCCTCGCCTAGGTGGGTGAATGTGTACTCAAAGCCATCCTTCAGGGGAAGGATGAGACGGTAGGGGACATCGGCTGCCATGACGGAGAGCATTGAGCCACCAGCATTGATCAGTCCTATGTTCCAGACGAGACGCTTGGCTGGGTCTTCTGGGTGGGACCGGGCTGCGGGCTGGGTGTTTTCTCGCTCGTGCTCCGGCTGCTCATCTGGTGGGGAGTCACGGCGGTGGTGTGGTTCCTCCATAGAAGATAGGAAGGGACGGATGAGAGACTGGCCTTGATACTCTGGGAGGAGTGAAGAGGCGATCTCGGAGTCACGCTCGTCCAGAGAGTTGGACTGGACGAGAAGATCCAGAATAGTGGGGACGATGGAGAGAGCGGTTGCGTTGGCAGTGATGTCCACTCGAGGCATGTGCGGGTGATGGAAGACCAAGGGTACACGGAAGTTGCTAATGTGGCCATTCTCATACGTGCCGGTCATCTCCTTGTTATCTTCGCCAAAGGCTTGGCCATGGTCTCCGACGACAACGACTAGAGTCTCGTTGGCGATTCCAGTTTGTTCTAGCAGGGTCATGATATCTCCAAGCCAATTATCCACGAAGCGGGCGGCATTCAGGTAGTTGTTCATCAGGTCGTGGTTGATGTTTCCCTGGTCGCTCATGTATGGTTCTTTCTTGAAATCGTCTGGCGTGCTCCAGGGGTGGTGGGTTGTGCTGGTCACATGTGAAAGGAACATGCGGGTTTTGTTGTTTGCAGCTTCCTCGAATAGATCTAGGACGTAGGGTCGGAGCTCAGTTTCCGCATAACCAAAATAGTTGATCTCTTCACCCTGAACTTTGTGTTTCGCGTGGGGGGATTCGAGATTACTCTTCACGACCTTGTGCTTAAAGCCCATGTTTTCATTCAGTATGTCTTGACGGTCATAGTCATCCGTAATTGACTGCATGAAGACAGACTTCCAGGGGTTCTTTATAGCCGTGGATGTATCCTTAGAGGAAGAGTTCTGCCGGCGCTCCTCCGATTGTGCCTTGTTTTGATTGAACAGATCGAAAATCTGTGGCAAGCATGGCTGATAAATTTCGAGCATAGACTCCTCCAGCAGATCCACTGGCAAAGGGTTCACACCGCAGTGACTCCCCAAAACACTCTTGAAAGTCAAAGAGCTACCCGTCATGGCGCCACGGACATTAAGTCCACCCATACCTTCTTGTGGCGGGGTCTGCCACGGAGAGTGGCTCAAGTCGACCTTGTTCCCCTTGCTATCGGTTGCGTACTCGCCGGTCAACTGTTGAGCGACCGGGGTCATATTGACCAGACGATCGATTGCCTTGTCCAGGTTCAGCTTCTTATGAGATGCGAGCAGACCATCGAACAAGGGGGTGCCCTGCTGTGCGGGGAAAAGTTCCTTGCGGCCACTCTCGAGCGTTAATAGCACTATGTGGTTGACCTCAACAGAGTGCTCTTTGAAAGCCTTTTGCAGGGGCTCATAAATTTCACCGCCCAGATTCGTGACCATTAGCGGATCATTTTTCGGGTCGTAGAATCCCTCATCCCCAGTGCAAACAAAAGAATAATGATTATCCTTCTCTGCACGATCGCTCGGGCTGAGATCCCAGCGGCTAAATCCTCGGGGTGGGTTTTCGGGAAGCCATGTAGCTCGTGACCATTGTTCCACAAACGTGGAGTCCGGTTGGAACTGAGGACGGGACACCCCATTCTCGTCCGTGATCAACAAAGGGAATGGCATGGCGGGCTCGCGGCATCCCTCCACCGTCACCGTCTTTTTCTGGAATGCCTCGAGCAGCGTCAGAGGCAGAGCCCCGGATATATGGTCATACGGTATAGCGGGCCTAGTTAGTTCCAAGAAAACAAGCGAGACACAAATCGCGACTGCAGGAATAATGCGACGGAGCGACCGGAGGTTTATTGAGGCCATGCACGATTTGCTGGGGGCGTTAATCAATGTATAACGCGATTTGAATCCCCCCACGCACAGGTCTCGGATTGCCTGCAATCCGAGACCGGTGATGTTGTACAAATGCGAATGAAGCAACCAGGCGACCAGTCCGAGGACGGTGGCCGCAGCGGATACAGTTGAGATACCGCTGAGGAGAATTTTCATGGCCGCCGGATCGCTCAGGAAGCTACCGCCAGCTGCCCAGGCGACCTCGGCACCGGTCTGCAGAAAGAACCCGAACTGGATTGAGGAAGCACCCCATGTGACCAAGCTAGTACTAGTGTTAGATTATGTTGCACAAATGTCCTCTTGTCCTCCATTTCGGTATTCGGGGTAATACGTACGACAGTGCTCCTCCCAGCCCAGTCGAGAGCCATTGCCATCGACTATCCGGCGTATGGAAGCGTAACAAGACTCGCGCGAAAATGATAACGAACACATCAGGTAGAATGAGGGTGGGCGAGTAGAGGACGAAGTAAAGGAACGGTAATGACCGAAAATGTAGCGCAATATGTAAGGCCTTGGAGGCGAGGCCACTCACGACGAGTGCAGAGAAAAGGAAGGGCGGCAGAGGTGGTAAGAGGGCGAAGATGGACATGTTGGAATCATTTCATTTGTACACTGGAATCGCGCAATTGGCAAGGGAGAAGGAAAAAGGAATCAAGGAAAGTCGAAATAGTAAATGAGAGAGGCAACAAGAGAGAGAAGAGAGCTCGGGAGGAAAGGGAAGGGTTATTCTTAGTAGAATAACAGAACAAGACCAATTAGGCGATAGGAAATTGTGCACGCGACTAAGACTAAGCGGCTCCAAATTACCCCAAATGCTTGTTTTCTCGCTTTCTTTTCTTTTTTTTTCCATCTTTCCATCTTTTTTCCATTTCCACTTCTCTTTTTATTACGTTAGATCCTCTATTCTCCATATTAAAATGGCATCATCTCAAACCTCTTTCGGATATAAGTGGGCCTAGTGAGAGACACGAAGAGGCTGTACAAGTTAATTATGTCCCTTGTGTGGTGACTAAGTGGACCCTGAATTGCACTATTCCAAAATGATTCGCTCCTTCGGTGAAACAGGAAATACAATAAAATACAAAAGATCGAAAAAGGAAATTGGGTTAGAAATTAAACCCCAATTGAATCGAACCATGGAAACGCCCGGGACTGTTCTAATCTTAGGCTCCAAGATTCCCAGGGTTCCTTTCAAAAAGGGGGTTCTTAGGGGTTCTAAGGGTTCTAACGTTGTGCGCATAAAATCCGGGGAAAGATTTGCGTTGATTTCCCGTTTTCTCGCCCCCACTTCCATTTATATTAGCCCTGATATCTGATCTTGAAGATCCCAGAGATCTAATTGTGGATAGTACCAGTTGCATACACACTTTGGATATCTACAATCCTCCGTACGGAGTATACATAACACACATTCAACCATAATCCAGGGGTGTTGGGGGTTGGAGATTCTGCAGGCATTTGCCTAGAAATGCTTGGCGATACATCCCGCAGGAGACTTGTAGGAAGACCTGTACGTCAGACCTGTACGTCAGACCTGTATTTTATGTGGTGGCTCGTATGTTGACCTTGACATGTGTGATCTCGGTAAAATCAAACTCATCGTATGTTGTATCGGTTTTAGAGTTGACACCTGGTCCTCCAGACCTTACGAATCAAATATAATGCCGAAAGCCTTCGTTTTTTACTTCTCATTGAGGAAAGAGTCATTTCTGCTCGGCATGTTGGACGTATGCATGATTTATAGGCTTTAGTTGCCAAAATTCGACTCCGAACCCCCTGTCTGCCTTGGGAAGAACCCATGTAACCTAAGGTATGATCAAGGTGATTAGTAGAGAAATTAAAAAAGTTTAAAGTGAAACATATTAGAACCGTGCGTATGTACTTATGTAGTCTTGAAAGCTTGGACATTTCCGTATGTGTTCTATATCATCTATGTATGCTTCTCATCCCTCGTGATCACATTAGGTCTATAGTGCAACGGTAACCGCCAGATTATATACATATCGTCTCCAATGACTCACTTACAATGACTTCTGCTGATCCTTCAAGGCAGCACGCTCCCTAACAGAATGAGCAATACCCCTCCCAACCTCCGACCCCAACTCCTCAAACCCCTTCACAACCCCCTCCCGATCTCCCTCGCCCATTTCCTGACTCATCTTAAATTTCCCTTGCAACCGCTCAATCCGAATCTCAATGCCAATGATATTCTTCTTCAAAAGCTCCACATAGTTAACCGGTGCTTCAGAGACATTCCACGCGCTCTTCTTATCACCCCCAGTATACCCCATAATGCCCGTCTCAGACTGTCGCGACAGATCTTCAATCTGTTTCTGCAAAAACGCACCCGTTTCCTCTGCCTTAGAATTGCAGTACACACTGATCTTGCCGTACGCCTGCACGGCGGAGTAGTTCCACGTCGGGACGACCTTGCCAGAGACCGGTTTGGTTTCGGTGTAGAATTTGGGCGTCACATAGTGGTGGTGTGGGCCGTTGAAAAGGATGAGGACTTCATCCGTGAGCTCGAGTTTATTATTTCCCGCTGCATTTTGCTCAGCGAGCGCTTCCATCAGGGCTTTTGCTTGAGGGTTCTGCTTGGCCATGTGGCCGCGTAGGATGCCGGTCGGGATTGTGTCATCGTCCTTGGCCGAGGGAGGTACATCGAGGACGAAGGGGATGTGGCTTGATTGGATAAATGAGTGGATTGGGGATTTGATCGCCGTTGTTAGAATACCGAGTGGGTTGTCGCGGACGAATTGCTGGAGGACAGGGATTTGTCCCTCGGCGTGGACGGCGCGGAGATACATTATCGCTGTCACTCTTCAGAGAAGATCGAGAGGTCGATATGTTCAATTTCAGAGTCTGTATAAGAGAGAAAGGAACACAATGTAGTTTATCACTATCATAAATGGGGTAATTTAGATCTTGACTCACTGCGTATCTCTGTTGTGTGATTGGTAGTCGGTGCCGAAGCATCAGTTCTATCAAAGTATTTTGAATATACAATTTTTTAAGGTTCTAACTCAAAATTATTACCTGTTCTGTTGGAAATTTCATTGCAAAGTTAGGACATTCTATTTGACTAAATTCCAAATTAACAACCTGCTCAAGTTACGAACCCAATTCCCTAATAAAACACGACTAGACGCGTCAGAAGCACCCGCCAGTCACAACTCAAGCGGCAACGTAAAGATGGTCCGCCATGCTTGCCAAATACTGGAATGTGTTAGGGTTAGACATGAGTTGAACGTTGATCTGCAATCCGAACTCCTTGACTAGCTTTGCAGCTCTACACCGATCATAGAGTTTACCCCATGCCGCGCGATGGATACGCCGTCAAGGCGGAACCTGTCAGGCTGCATTCCCAAGATCCGTACAAGGCCACGAGCATCTCGCGCTCATCTATGCCAGACAGACAGATTCTTTCATGTGAGGGAGTCCGCGGTAGCTATATTCTCTGTCACAACGGCTATATCCTTGACCGTAAAAAAGCGACAGGGCAGCATGCAAAGCATCGCCTGTGACGACAAAGAGCCAGGAAATTTAGGTAGCTGTGGCCGGTACAGTACTTAGCCTGACTGGGTTTGCCGAGGACTGCAAACAGACTGCTCGTCATTATGAGAAAAAGGCCAACGGTGATGGTATCAATAACTCTATCTAGAGCCAAAACTATCGAGGTACTGGGCTGCGTGATACCTCATACTCTTATACAACGCGTTCTGCGGAGGGATCTACAGGGAAAGTCGCCAAACAGCCCAACAAAAACATTAAATGGCGCAATATCTTTAGACATGGATAGAGATAAGACACAGAAAACGTCCCGATGTTTTTTTCCGGTTTAAAGCATGTTGCTATGGAGGGACAACATCGGGGGGGGGGGGGGGGGGGGGGGGGGAGCCGACTCGTCAGTTGGCTGCTTTCTGCAGCAAATCGGCAAACAGTGGAAAGTGAGGAAGTCAAACTCCGACTATGTATATGTCTATGGGAAGTAGATATGTACACTCAGAGTATTTCAATTTAATGGTGCCTATCGATGATAGAAAAGTGCAAGATCATACATATACTCGAATATTAAGCTTCTCTCGATCAGTTGGATTGGTCACGCGACTGTTAACAGCCAGTAAAGTTGATCAGACATGTAAACACATTCGCTGTGACAATACCTTTTTAATGGTCCTGAGGTCCGTCGGGTATTTTGTAATTATCCGTCCATTGAGCCAGAAATTGGAAAGGGCCAAAGAAGATACATTTTATAGCCATTCTAACTAAAGAATTTGATATTATCATGAGCAGGGATGACTGAACCACGTTACTATACAAATTGTGCACGAAACCAGGAAGAATGACGCCAACCAATAATCCAAAATGCACCAAAGATACCGAATGATATTTTGGGGGAAAGACCGCTAAAAAAAACAGATCATCTGGGTAGACGAAGATCATGTAATACGCGACACAATCTCATCCTTCCCTAACCGCTCCAAGACTCCCTTCTTCAATCCAAGGAACCGTTCGATATCTCCGCGACGCATACCCTGCTTGTCCCGCATTGTCAACACTTGCTGAATAGTTAGGGCATCCAGGAACGATCTCCCGGGGTGACCTGCACGACCAAAGTGCTCGGCTTCTGTGTCCGCGGCCTCAGTAAGACGTTGTCTAGCAGTGACAACTAGCAATGCCGGGTTGGAGGCTTGTGGGAAGACAGTTTGCATTGAGGCGGGGCGGTTGACGGTGCTTGAGTTTGAGAATGTAGGTGATGGGTTGACGGGGCCTATTGACCGGAGGGAGGCAGCGAAGTCGGGGTCCCGACCGTCCATATCAATGGCTATCAAGTCATTAGTAAGTGTTTCTTTGCTGTTCTTTTATTCGTTGCATTGAAGAGTCTTGAAAGAATGCACGGCGAGCATACGTACCATCAGACTTTACGCCGGATGCTTTCTCCTTTGAGTGGTATGTTGGACCTTGAGAGGGAGGTGCAGGTGCTCGAGGAGGCGAGGGACTAGCCTTGGGCGTAGGTGCGGACGCTGCTTTGCTTTCTTTCGGAGCTTTGCGCGGCCCCCTCGGCGGAGGAGCCGGCTGCTTGGGGTATTGGCGCCGTGAGGCTGCGCCAGCCGCTGACTTGACGGGTTTTGAAGCAGCAGAACCCATTAAGAATGATGAGCTGTGGATTCGGAAGTGTTGGTGAAATGCGTTGCAGCTTTTTGCGGAGCTTTGAGCGGAGGTCCCGAAGTCGCCTTGGCGTTCGATCTTATCGTACGGCCTGTTTTTGCGACCGTTCCGGTGTTTTGCCAGCAGAACAGTCGAGAATCCTTGGCTGATCTATGAGCCAGAGTATACGAGTTATACGATCTAATGCCTTTTTAAAGTTTAAAAAATTGCAAAAATGGTACAAATGCTCAAGGATATTGAATAAGCCCTCATTTCATATGGTGTCGGTCGAGAGCAAGGCCTGATCTCCAAGGTAGGCTTGCATACACATACCATCCTGAGTAGGCGGTAAAGAAAGCGGTAAGACATCTAGATATATCAGCGTTTGTGCCGCTAAAACATGCCCAGGTGCCCTGCCTTGTGACGTCAAAGGAATATGTACATAGTCAACAAACAGCTTCCTTGGGAATATGGATCTATAGAGACTGCCTGAGGCAGAGCAACTAAGTGCTGGTCTAATAAATGTCATGCTGAATGTTAAACTGGGTTTCGCGGAGGGGGAGCATATGTCGGCGCGGCTGCGTGTCTGGGACCTCCAACCCAACGGACGATTTTGTAGGGAGATGATTACGTTTGAAAATCAGCGAGACTTTTGTGAAGTTTCAGTGGGAAATCTATAATTTTGCAACAAGATACTGGGTATAACCGCAGCTAAGATATAATACCACTGGAACCTAAGACCACACAGCAGTTTGGAAGCACCGTGAGAGGACCACCAGGACCACGGCAGATAAATTTACCTATGTTCCAGAAGTTTACCGGAGACCAGCAAGGCGCCGGCCCTGCACTTCACCCAGCGCACGGCTTCCACTAACAAATGCGATCGCACCGACAGCAGCCATCGCGGGGAGAACCTGGAACAAGTTCCACGAGGTATAGTAAAGGAAGAAGATTCCTTCAAATGCGAACAAGGATCCGAGGAAGACGGCGTGTGAGAGAGGGGCAGACTTGAGTGCGGTGGGTAGGTGGTTGATGTTGGCGCCGAGGAAGAGCCACTAGAGACAATCTATAAGCAACGTTGTTGTCACAAAAATTAGATTGACTTACCAAGCCAGCAAGAACGGGAATAGCAGCGCCGACCATGGCGACAAATGCCAGGGTGATGGCAATTGGGGGGCTAGACGCAGAATCCTTGAAGATATGGTGGATCTCGGGCTTCTTGCCGTATCGCTCAGTTTCAACGGTCGGCACAGCCTCTTCGGGGTTACGATCAATCGACAACTTGAACACAGAGCTGTCGTAGGCAGCGGAGCTTCCGAATCCGCCAATGACAATATGCGCATCAACTGGATCGGATAGGGAAAGGAATTGAATCGGCAGGTCTTTCTGGGTCTGGAGGGCATGTGTTAGTTGCGCCACGGAAAGTCGTTTTCGGAGGTTGCATACCAATTCCACCCTTGACTTGCCATTATCCTTGACATTAAAAGGGTAAGAGATATCCAATCCAGTCTGAGCATCCTTGAGCAAAAGGAAAGCTTGATCTGGCCGCTTTGGAGAGCTGTCTTCCTGGGCTGTCAAGGTGACGCGTAGGGTATCGGTACCGAAAAGGGAGATGGGCTTGGAGAGCGGCTTGGATGCAACAAATCTATTTTGAATATGTTGATTAGGTTCATGTACCTCTATTTTGGTCAAAATGCATACTGTTCCTTGAAACCTCCATTGATACCAGCACCTTTTGCTTGAACGGCCACGGTGGCATCAGTAAACCCCCAAGCTGTGGCGGCGGCGCCGGGGATGGCAGCCGCAGCCAATAGGCAAAATGGAACGGTGGCCTGCCACATATGCATTGTGAAAAAAAGAACTAAAAGAAAACAGAACAGAAAACAGCTGTAGAGAGCTCGGGGAGATGATGTGAGGATAGAGGAGTTGCAGAATAAGGCGGACAAGTGAAGCCGATAAGCGCCGATCAACCGTAGCCCTAATTTCTTTTCTGCTCGACCTCAACATCTTCCATCACTTTGTTTCGCAGTATCTGCCACAAATACAACTTCAACACCCGCCTAGTCCTTGCCAGGTTGTTTATGAACCCTTTAGAAATTAACTGCGGATGGGTGTACTTCTGATTCCGTGAGTTCTGCGCCTATACGTCGGGCCCTAATTCCCAACTTCTCCCTTTCCGCGCACCGCGGTCTTCTGACGTCGACCGTACCCTTTACCTGATGATCCCCATATATCCTTATTCCCACACCCTAGTTGCCTATTATTGGAGGTATTATCTAGTCTTCCATTTGTACAGTTCAGTCGCTCTATTTACCGCCTATTGTATTTGCATGAATAGATTATACTGACAAATTCCGGACCATTTAGCTTTAATTCACGATGCCTCCCAAGAAGGGCCAGCGTAAGTCGATGCCTGCGCGCATCAATAAGGCACCTACATTGACACCTTCTCGGCGCTCGCCCCGAGTACCTCCCCCGTCAAAAAGTACAAATGAGAGCGTTCAGCCCGCCAAAACGTTGAACCTTACATCCGCCTCTCCTCCAGACAATTCTATCAATATTCGTTTCTACACTCCAACCCCACCTGTTCCAAGTCCTGCTTCACGGGGCACATCCCCAGAAACACCATCTTCACGTCGGCGAGCCTTTCAGTCTCGTCCGTCACGTCTTTCAACTGTTCACACTCCAGCCCTAGAAGCCCCGGCCACCAACCCGGGGAGTCGACGGACGAGACGAACAGCTGCACTTGAAACGCCGAAGCCAGCAGTCTCGGATATTGATTTTCCAGATAGCACTGGCAACCCCAGCTGGACGTTTGACCAGTACATGGGTAGCTTTGAATCAGAAGGAACAGTTGACGGACCCTCGAGCCCCACCAGTGCTTCCGACATGCGTAACTCATCCCGGGTTCGCAAGCCCACCATGAGGGCCATTGAATCTTTTGAATCATGTAAGAAGAAACCTCGCCGCAAGAATACGATTATGTCAACCCCGACCGAGGAAACTCCTGCCCCCGTGGCTACCGTGGTGACCAAGGTTGTGAAGAACAATGTGTCCAAGAAACCCATGAAGACAACCAGAAAGTCAAAGAGAATGTCCAATTTGAACATGCGAAAGAACGCAATCTTGATTGGTTTCGATATTGACGCAAAGGTGGCTGGCAAGAAGCTCTATGACTTGACTGTGCAGGCTCTCAGCCCTGAGTTTACCCTCCCTTTGAATTTCCCTGTGTTCTGGGAGCAGCAGCGAAGTGAATACTTCCGCCTCCAAGATGAAGAGAAATATGGCGTCGACACGCCAGCCACCAAACCCACCTCATCGAGTGATGTTGATGTTGATGTTGATGTTGATATCGATATGATCAACCAAGAACTCCCGGCACCTGCAATCTCTCCTTCTCCTCCAACTCCACCCACCGCAGTCACCGACGGCTCAAGCATCTTGAGCTACAAAAAGCAGTCTGACACCAAGGTCAGCAGCGATGGCTGGATTCAGACTGGCTACGTCAACTCCAGCGGCGAAGAGGTTGCTTTGATTCCCGACAAATGCCACCCTTATTATCCAGCCCATACTTACGGCTACGAGGGTCTTCCTTTCCCCCCGGTGCGCGCCAGATCCAGCCAGCAAGCTGAGGCCGATATCTCTCACAGCTTCGCTCCACTCATGGGAGACCGTAATCTCCCATCCGACGCGATGTTCCCCTTCGTCACTGAAAATGTCGAGGAGGAGAAGGCCAGGGCCCTTGCTCGGGCCCCTGCGCCAGCCCCTGCGACTAAGAAGCCCCGCGCCCGAAAGCGCCGTCAGACCGCGGCCGCAGATGCCGCCGACGAGCCCGCTGCAGCTGCTCCCGCCACTACTACCGAGACCGGTGGACGCAAGTCACAGCGTCGCCGTCGCCAGACCGCTCCTGCTGTTGCTGCTGCCCTTTCTGCTACCTCTCCCACTTCTCCTACTTCTCCTACTTCTCATTCGACTACTGCGACAAAAGTCCAGTCTTCGGGCCCGGCCGCCTCCGTCGCCCCCGCTGCCACCGAAGGCGATAAGCCTAAGGTGCAGCGGCTCCGGTTGACCTTGAAGCCGGAACCCAAGACTGAGACCTCCGGGAATGAGGCCTCTGCTTCCAAGCAAGCCCCCGCCGTGCAGTCCCCTTCCTCCCCCGCCCCCTCACGTGCGCCATCCCCCGCACCGACCAACAAGCGCCGCCGCCGCCGGGGCGTGTGAAGCCCCAATGAGGGCAGAATGAGGTGTTTCCTGCCCGGCGTAGGCCGGGCGATGATTCAGAATTCGGTCGCTTTTGTTTTGCTTTTTTTTTTTGTATGATTACCAGCGGGCGTTTCAAGCGTGTATGATTAGCACCGCGGGAGCATTCCATGGAGTTCACCATGGTGAATTGTGAAATTTTCAGTTGTCTTTGTTGTCCATTCGTATTGCTTCACTTTGTAACTTCTTTTCTCTCGTAGTCTCCTTAAAGGGTAGCCCTGGTAAATTTGTTATATCACGCAGATAGCCCTCATATCTCACTGAATTCCGCTCACTCTTGGCTTACATCTCAGTTAGATTTGCTTTGAGCGACGATACTAACATTCTATACTGGTGACAATTGTGATAGCTATAATGTACACACTTTGGTCGGACTTCACTCTCAGATAGGGCGGTGTCAACTAAACTAGAGAACGACCGAAGCTACACGAGGTTTTATCACACTTGGTTTTAAAATAAAACATTATACTATGTCTTCCTTGCCATTTGATCTACGATATGGCATCTTTGTTTTGGAAAAAACACAAAGACCTAACGACACGTCGAGTCGGAAAGATCCTAGATGAAATGTCAACTTGAACTCATACTTAGAAGATAAATCCTGATGGTCAAACTGACAGTCGATTAAATCTGTTTAGTTAGACAGTCAGGATCAATAGGTGCTAATGATCCGAGGTCAGGCACGATGATTGTTCAGCAAGACTATAGATGAACACCAAAGATGCCCATTACAAACAACACGCATAAAGAATAGTACATAGTATACTGCATACCCAACCCTATCATTCCAAAAATCTAATGGCAGGCAAATCAAGGCTTCGTTGTATGCATTGTAGTTTGCTTGGAAATTGGTGTGTAGTTAAATGTGATAACAACTATTTATTCACAAATCATTGACCTCCTTTCTATACTAGTAATTATTGTAATTGCTCAGATATTCTTCCACCTATATAATATATCCAATCATCTTCTCAATTAATCAGAAAACTAAGAATCCTAGCCACCTAAAAGACGACTGTAAAAAGATCAGGCATTTCTTCTTAAATCTAGAAACTCACACTTCAATATGTCCCCTAGTGACACTGACTGCCTAGATACCATGGGTATAGTATGGATATTAAGCGAGTTTCATGAACCTGGATAGTAGTTCGTAGATAATATGAGCTTAACGGGATTGTGGTAGAGATCTATACCTCGGTGTAGAGATCTATACCTCGGTAGAAAAAGAACAGAAAAAAGATGTCTCTACATCATTTCTTGGTGCTTTGCAGATGGCTTTGCTCTTAATTGCCATTTAGTTTACATTATCTATCTACTTCATAATAAATGGTTGTAGCACAGTCTATTTTATGAACTACTCCCCCTAATGGAGATGGATAGTTAACTAGTTATAGTGATGCCTCAGGCGCCAACACCTCCCCGAATCTTCCGCCACAGAATTCACATCCTCCAATACACTAATCAAAACACGTAACCACGCCCCTACAATTTCATTTATGCTCAAATATATCTAACAAACGCCAAGAATAATGGCAGCTCCCAAGGACCAGCACAGATACCGATCCGTGGACCCCCAAACCCGGCCTCCACGCCCAGTCCGGCAACCCGCTTCTCCGCGGCTCCCCAAAGGGGTGGATGATATTCGGCAGACGAAGGAGTACAAGGCTGCTGCACGGAGGTAGGTGCCATTATTCTCTGTCTTCAATTCCAATTCAGTGTTTTGCTTTTGCTTCTGGTTGGCGAATGATACCTGCCAACAATGAGAAAGCTAATCATTTCTGTTTCTAGATGGACAACGACTATTGTCGGACTACCCATTCTAATGTACACATCGTGGATCCTTTATGAGCGAAGTGAGTTCTTTAATGCCCAGGCAATCCTAATCTTCTCTTTGATTGTATATACACTAACTTATTTCCCCTTTAGTCTATGGTGGCAAGAGTCCCAAGCGGCTTGGAGATCAGGTAAAGAAGGACTGACTGATGTACTTCTCTCTCTTTTTGTCCTTCCGAAAGCGGAAACATATGTACGATCTAAACCAAAATGGTGTTTGAGAGGGTTTTCAACTGTAAATGAGACGTCCCAAAAGAATCGGTCTCTTCTCATCTCTAGCCAAAGCAGTCTCTTTAGGAAAAAGAAAGTCATAAATCCGGTTTTAATGCATTTCATTGCATTCATTGTAAACCCCAAAGCCCAGAGTCTCAGTATATATCCATGGCTGTGCGTAGGCGAGAACAACCTACCCAGCCCAAATAACAAACAGAAGAAAGGTACAACATCCAGATGCATCCCAATTTTGGAAGCTCTCCTAATCCATCCCACATTGCCAGCCTGCTGGGGTGAAAAGCAAGAAGAAAAGAAATATGTATAATCCAAATACGGTATCTGGAAGAGATCATCTAAAAAAAAACTAAGTCCAGAAGGATAAGGCAGAGAAAAATAGATCGTATAGGTGTCACAGCAAGCCAAATTAGCTCCAGGCAACCATCAAGTGGCGACGCCTTGGAAAGGAATGTGGTGTTCGCCCGAGCCAGCCGACGGCGGCATAGATATCGAGCCACTGCCAGTGCTGGCGGGCTTCGAACTACGCTCGCGCATGCGACGGCCCTCCATGAGACCACGCAAGCCGCGCTTCTGGAGACCGATAACGCTGCTTAGATCACCGGTCCAGAGCTCACGTTGGGGGCGACGCAACTCGGCGTCTGTGTCTCGGCGGTGATGGGTAGAGCGTGACTGCGAGCGGGACTGTGAGCGGGACTGTGAGCGGCTTTCGTCGCCACTGACCCATTCGGAGTCGGACTGGCTGAAACTAGCACTGGACGCGGATGTCGCTGTGCTTGGGTTACTAATGGAATCCTCGCGGTCGCGGTGGGCGCCGCGCTGGCGCGAATGTTGGGAGACACTGGTGTCGATGCGGAGAGATGGAATACCGCGAGCGAAGTTGGTGAGATCGCCCGTGCTGCTTGCTGCTGACGCGGAGGCAGCACCGTGCTCGGTGTCGGACGAGTCTGATGTGAGTGCGCCGTGTTGGGAGTTGCTGTTCTCGCCAATTGTGGGTGCAGCGCCGTTGTTGCCAGTATAAGCTCCGTTCAGAGCCTCGAGTGTACCTCCTGGCCCACCATTGAATCCAGTGCCACGGCCACCTCCAGCAGCCATAGCAGCGGCGTTGAATACAGCAGCGGCGTTGCGCCCATCGAGGACTTGGTGGAGTCTTTCGACGGTGGCTTCTAGTAGTCCGTCGATCTGGTACGGGCGTGCAAGCTGTAGAAGCGAGCAGAGAATTTGTGGTGTGCAAAGCGAGGTGCCTGCAGATGGAAGCGCTGAGGTGTAGAGGTATTGAACCAGTACTTGGAGAGTCAAAATAGTATGGGGGAGGTACAGCACACGCGGTCGGGAGGTTGGGGCGAGGCTGTGAGCAGACGGAGCTTCGAGGTTCTCGAGCAGAGATTTCGAAGGTACAGAGTGGTTGACAAGAGTTGTTGCATCGGAACCTATTGAGGGAGTGATGGTGATACTCGAATTGCGGCTCGGGTGCATCTGGGCTGGACGAAGAGTTCCGATGTCTGCAATACCTCCATCCGACGACTCACGGAGTAGTTGGATAAAGTAAGGACCCCAGCGGCGAGTCAAGACGCGGGAGTTGACGGAGATACGTTCTCCCCCCACAGCCTGCAACTCCATGTCGGCCATCTCTGGCAAAGATTGCGCGAGCTTGCCTAGCTCATCAGATGCGGCCGACAATGGCCGGCCACCTGATGTCAACTGCACTAACTTCTTCTGCAAAGATGCTGGAACAGAAGATGAGCTATAAGACTTATATCCCGAGGTTGGAGAAGTGCGACAAGGATTGTTGTAGAGTCCAAATGCCTCCAGCTCGACCAGACAGACGTGCGAGAAGTTGATTCGCCGGTGGTTGTAGTCATCGACAAGGCTTCGCTTCCGGTGTCCAAGAATCACAAAAGAATTACGGCGAGGCCAAAGTACTCCTCGGTTCCAACTACCTTGTCCAAATACTGATCCTCCGGCATCAATACGGCCCCAAGTCAATGTCTTCAGGTCGAGGGCCCACAGCGCATATTCTTGCTTTGATGAAGTCAGGTAAGTACCACTTACAACGAAGTGGCCGTTGATAATGCCACCGTTTGGGAAACGCAGTCCCGGAGGGGATGCTTGGCTCTGCATCGGTCGTTCGACAAGGCGTCCGTCCGGCAGGCGTACCTGCAGCTCCAGCTTGACATCAAGGAAATTGTAGTTGGAGTATATCAGCATAGGGCAACCTGGCGATTCAGTGCTATCTTGAATCGGCTCGTGTTGATCGCGATCTGGGGCTGAGGATCCAATTTCGGACACATCCATTCCCACCAGAGGAGCTACAACACTGCGATAAGCGCCGCAGCTCCTTCCCAGGGGGCTAGTGTTGGTCCATTTGAGACTGCGCAGGTTAAAGACACTGATTTGTTCGATATAGTGATTGGAACTATCCTGGCCTCCGACCACCACCATCTCTGCACCTCCGAAGCCGTCAATATCCACGCCAAGCGTACCTTGATGAGTGGATGATTCGGGATTATTGTGGATAGCGGATAGTGGTGCACTGGCAGATGTGAAGCAAGCACTCGATGGCAATATTGTAGCACAGTGTGCATAGCGCCCCTGAGGAGATTCATGGGCAGCAACACGAGTCCATGCCCGCGATGGTACATCGAAGATGTGAATATCCGACATAACCACGACTTCCGATTGTGACTGCGTTTGCGGTTCCGCGGGGTTCTCGGGATCCTTTGGCGTACTCGGTGCGGGTGACATGCCTCCATAACAGACCAACTTGTTATCTCCCAAAGCACATACACTGTGGAAGTACCGCGGGGGTGGAACCTCTCCAGCCGGCTCGATTCTCGTCCAATGTCGTCGAATCAAATCCAATTCATAAAGGTCGGAGGTTAGTTGAGGGCGGCTGCGCGAGAGGATCCGGCCTCCGAACACGTATAGCTTATCCCCCAGTATTGTCGTAGTGGCACCGACAAGAGGACGGGGTTCCTTGCCGGTCGTTCGCCGCACATTGCACACCAGACCGGAGAGGTTGATAGGGCCAGAGGTAGACTGCTGGTTCAGAGACGGAGAGGCCCCCGGCGCAGAATCCTCTCGCCCTGTATCCATATACCCCAAACTCGACTGACTTCGCGACATCATGGTGGGCGAATTTCCTGTCCGCTTTCAACGGAGACGATCGTGTCGGTAGCCGTTGACCCCCTGTTTCAGTTCACCCAGTATCCCTCGCATGCGACGAGGCGTCTGGTCTCGAATGCGTTATTCTCGGAGAATATCCCCGGCGCTGATCGTAGGTGTGTCCGGTACGGCTCGAAAGGGTCGTTTGTGGGGGGCCGAAAAAGGGGTGGTTCCCCGCGACGCCGCAACTTCGGATTGATGAACAAAAACTGGACAGTGCAAACTACTGCCGTTCGTATCTTGGATGAGCGCACAGTCCTGTCCGAAGTGTCAGCCGTCGAGTTTGGAGATCGGCACAAAAAATGTTTACCGCTTTTCTTTTAATACATGTGGCCCCTCCAATAGCCTTCAAATCATCAGGTTGAATTTTATATCTATTTTATAGAAATGAGAAAACACTCGATCCTGTCTATAGCTTTTTGAAACAGGATTCTGTTTAAGGCACTCTTCAATGAGATGCACTTCAATACTGTAGAATATATATAGTTGGGTCTAATCTCTATTTGCTCGCTGGAAAAACAGACCTCGGCCTCCATTTAAGGTAAAAAGAAGGAAAGGAACCAAGTCCTGGAAGCAACTAAGCCGTCATCTGAAAGTCCGCTCGCGTCAACTTGTTGCGCGGCTTTCCGGGGGACAAACATGACGAAGGGAGTGGTTGTGGCCAAGGTAATACGAGACACCTGACATGCGAAACCAGCCAAGAGTGTATATGTGACTGCTTGGGATTGAAGCATGTGAAACCCACTTATCGTTGTACGTACTAACCGTTTGTTGTGCCTCGGACATCTTCACTCTGGCATAATGAAGGTGCTAGAAGTTGTCAGCAAACAACCGTCTGGTTACTCTGGCTCGACACATTTCTCGCCAGGGGTGATATAACCACGTAACACTATCCTCCCTTGCTGAGGGTTGATCTCAAAAGATCGGCATAGTCTATCGGCAAACACGCAAACTTTCACATGCACGCCGGCATCCTCGAACCAGCCGAATATCTTGTCATGCATAAGAGGGCAGGTTGTGAGTCTACTACACCCGGAAAGAACAAGGATAACTGAACAACCGAGGCGTTTAGCCTCGGCCACGAGGCTCAACGTATACGTTGTATGCCTAGCGCGAGGACACCATGCCTCATTGGCACCGTGAATAAACGCAAAGAATATAGGAAACTGCCCCCAATTGTGTTTTACTAGGCGACGTGTTAGGCTAACATGTATTGCGCACTCTCAAGGAAGCTAGTCACCGCAGCTATAGAGTTGGATTTATGCTAGTCCATTTATCATAGGAGAGAGCCTGGGGTGCACAAGGTATATGGCAAGATTTATCGGAGGAGTGAAAGGCTCTGGGGCTTGAGGTGTGAATTCATGGTGCATGTGCGCATACCAAGGTCTGTTGTAAGACGATAGTGTGATGTGGTTCAATATTCCGTTGGACACTACGGTCAAAGGATTGAAAACGAACACGGTGTGCATGAGGTGTATGATATGACGGATTTCATGGCAGAATAACGGCGTCACAAGGTGGAGAAGTGATCAGGGAGAATATATAGATGTACATACCATGGGATCGAGGTCCATGACATCCTCGGGGGCCGCATGCTGTTTGGTATTATCTATTTCATTTATATGTTAATAAGCAGGCGCGAAGAGGGAATTGCGACAGGATACATAAGCATAGGCAGATGAAAGCTTCGTGCAATTCCCATCCATTGGAAAATGCAGATCAGGCAACTGGAAACCGACCGGTAGGGCTTCTGGACAGGGGGATAAGAGACAAGGCGGTATTGGTTTACGTACTGGACTCCTTCTTGTTGCCTCCATTTCCGGAGCGCTTCAATGTTGCGAAGCATACATAATAAGTCCAGCGTAGTCGGGATCTGAAGTTGCTGGGCAGACCCATATATTGGCAGCCTGGAAAGCATTGTAAGAGAGTCAGAGAGCGAGGCCCAAAGGTAATAAGCAGATCAAAAAAATCGATCACATAACAAATAATTGTCCGACTAGGAAACTTACGTGGTTGGCCTTGGCCCGTTGCCGGGTCTGTGGGCATTTTCTTGGTATTCCCATTATGGCTAGGTGGGAGTGGTGGACAGGAGGTGGCTTCGACGATGGGCATTTTCACCAAGTATTTCAAACAGGATATCCCTTGTGGCGAAGCCCTAGGCGGGAAGTACTTCTTCCCCGAATCCTCGCTTTCGCCAGATGTAGCATCGCTACGTTGGAAAAGTGCAGATTGCTTGACTGAGCTGGGAACTTCGACTTTTGAACACGGGGTTCCATCGCGGAGGATATAATCTGTACTCTTATTGAATTGCGATGGCAATCCGAGATTTAGAACGAAGAGAAGAGAGAAAATGGGAAATGGGAGGGAAAGGCGAAGGGATTTGGAAGGCACTTGACAAAAGATGCTCTACAGAATACTTTGAATATTGCTATCAAATTGCGCCTTCCAAATAACTCGCATACATAACCCCTTTTCCCTCTTCCCTCTTCCCTCATCTCAAATTTCCATCGCAATTCTGATTTGCTGGTATGTTAAAAAGCTGTCGAGTAAAGTTATATACTTGGATTTCTCCGAGTTAAACCAAGGTTTCTTTTTGTATCATCGAGTGCTTTTTTTTGTATCATCCTTTACCAACAAGACATGCCAAGCCGCATAATCGGGTGCATATTCACAATCCCTAATAAAAGGCATATTTTGTGTTGAGCAAGAGTTTGTATTTGGGCGTGGTAACCCTACATCCGAATGGAGGCAAGGTTACTTAGGGAGAGCTGGGTATCTCATTTAGATTGACTGAATGTCAATTGATTTGATTTGAGTACAACTCTGAACTGCACGTTGCTTCAAATGAATAATTACAAAATTTGCCCAAGCTGTCACCGAGAACTATCATACGCTACGGACTTTCCATGACATATTGCGATTCCAAGCAAGTTCCTACGAGAGCACATAATGAAAAGCAAAGGAATAACGTGAGTAGGTTTCATTAGAAATGTTTTATCTTTATTGCATCACATTATGAGACCCCGTTTAGTCCTTAAGAGTGGTGAAGCGAAGATAACTATATCATGTTAGTATCATCTGTTTCATATTCAGGTTGGACAAGTAAACTCACGGCTTCACTTCACGAATCTCGCCGAACTTCTTCTTAGCATCCTCGGTGCTAACAGTTGGTGGCACAATAACGTCGTCGCCCGCCTGTGATTGAGTCAATATGATACTTCGCATAGTTTCAGGGCCTGGATGAGGACGGGAACCATACCAGCCAGTTAACAGGTGTGGTTACACCTTTCTTATCACCAGTCTGCAAAGAGTCGACCACACGCAAAATTTCGGCGGTGTTACGGCCGGTCGAGGCAGGGTAGGCCATGATCAGGCGGATCCTCTTGGCAGGGTCGATGATGAAAACGGAGCGGATGGTGAAGGCAATGCCCTTGCTGTCGACATTTTCCAAATCAAGTTGGTCTATCATCTGGTAAAGGAAAGCGACTTTGCGGTCGGCGTCGGCGATGATTGGGAACTTGACCTGAGTGGAGCCGACTTCATTGATGTCCTTGATCCACTCGTCGTGGGAACTGAGGTCATTGGCACTCTGTAAGAGAAGGAGAATGTTAGCTAACGCTTATGATTACCTATGGGCAGATGGTAGGAACTTACCAATCCGATCATCTTCACTCCGCGCTGATCAAACTCATCCTGCAGGCGGGCGAAGGCACCCAACTCGGTGGTACACACCTAATAACGGTTAGTTGGAATATATCAAGATTATTTGAGATTTAGCATACCGGTGTGAAATCGGCCGGGTGTGAGAACAGAATGGTCCAGTTATCACCAATGAAGTTGTGGAAGTCAATCTCGCCCTGGGTAGTAAGAGCTTTGAAGTTGGGGGCAATGGAGCCCAGACGGAGGCTGAAGGACGGGTTAGCAGTAAACAAGAAAGTGGGGTTGCACAGCGTACGCAGGAGCGTTGTCAGCCATTATGGATAGGGGAAGATATGAAAGAATTGAGGAGAAATGGAGAAGAAGTCAGGACACAGCTTCAAATATATATCTACAACAATGGATGTGATCACGCCATCGTATATAGAGTATTGAATTTGGACTGTAAATTGGTACATGTGGTCATGTGGGGGGTTTGAGGGGTACCTAGCCCTGGAGGTACTCTCCGTATTATATAACCCCCCTTGGCTATAACATATACACGCGTAGATTCCTTGTGTTTCCTTACTTTGTTCACATCATTTTTTTTTCTCTATTCCTATTGAATTCCACAGTCTAAAGAACCTTCTGATAGTATTTATATAGTATGTCGACAGGTTATCATAGCCAAGACCTGGATGACGCAATCTATACCATTTTATACGAATATCCCTATCAGGAACAACGGCAGATTTCCAAACTCACTTGAATAGGTCCATGCACGCTTATATCTGCCCCTCTGATTGTCAATAATCCAACAATCCGAAATATTTATATAGATTTGAATTGGGCTTAGATGAGCATAGAAAACCGAATAAATGTTAATTACAATTACCTAAATTAGTAATCTACAAGGCATGACTACCTAGGTAGCAAATGGGCATAGTTAACTAATTGATTAACATGAAGATCCTGGAGTGGGGACTGACCTGTGCATGATTTATGCCTGATTCTAAACCGGCCGAAATTGGAACTGAATCAGGCATAATTGAGGCATCAACCCTGGAAGATCAGGCACCCAACCCTTGGCCGCTAACTCACTAACTATACACCTTCACAGACTGAGCTTCGTTCCTTCCCACCACTTCTCTCTTTCCAACTTAGTTTGATTTGATGAAGCAGTCTTTCAGTGTCATGAGATCCAGCGATCAACACTTGCACCTTCTCCGTGAATTGATGTATCGGGGCATGTAGGCCTGGGAGGGTATGTCGGGGCCTTCGAAGGGCCCTCTAAACAAGGGGACTGATCTATATGGCTTCTACCAGTATTCTGTATTTGAATAGCTGATTATTAAATGCTCCCTATCATTCTGGTTGGTCCTGGTCATATTGATAGAGTATCTGCTTGGGATAGGAGCCAAGCTTCGCCAGATAATTATGAACTCAAGTCTAGCATTGTTCTCCTATCCTGAGCATTGTTCGGCACTGAGTGTTTATGTTTGATTTCGTGATGTAATTCAGCTGACTTCGTATATAAACTGCTGATAAAAAATAAGTCACACCTATCACCCCACTCCGTAAGATTCGGTCTAACATTCTGGTTAACTGCTATCCATATAAAATCGGCTATATGAACTACATACTAGACCAAGCGGGATACTATATAGTAACAATGCATCCTCCGCTTACATTGCTACTGATATCTATATATCTCCAGCTTTGTGTCGAGCGCAACCGCAGACTCCCTGTCAAAAACTGACAATCTGAGAACGCTGCGAGTCACTGAACGCAAATCCCAGGAAACTGGGTGAGCCAACTGACAGCAACCGGCAACAACCGACACCATTCATCATCGCCTCCGCATCTCCTCCACTATAGTGCAATCTCATCCATCACCGAAACGAACGACAAGAAAATGCTCGACGCCAACTTCACCTACTCTAGGGATCTCTTCCAGGGGTGCAAAAGCCAAGATGTTCGCTTCATCTACGCATCGTCCGCCGCCGTCTACGGAAACAAACCTACCTTCACAGGGGGAACGCCAAGCGAGCTATTATGGACGTCTATGGATACTCAAAGACGTTGTTCGATGGGTATGTCGTCAATAACGCTGACGCCCTTTATCTTATTAGCAGGAATTTTTTGACGACTTCAGCTGCCTGTGGTTGTGAGAAATATTCCTTAAAATACACCATTGCTGCAGGCGAGCGGTATGTCCATTTCCAAAGAATAACATAATTCAACATGGCACAGTTCACTAACAAGGAACGTAAGGCCCTCCCGACTCATAAATAGCTTTCCCAACACAATTCCCCACCTGCAATGGCAACTTAAACCATACAATATAGCCTTTTTCAGTCTGGTTGTAGTCCTTATCCACAGACCGCCTGGCCTCCCATTCAGTGAGAACACCACACTTGGAAGCAGCCTCGCGAAGAGCGATTCCACCATCTGTGATCCAGTCATCGCTAATGATTGTGAATTTATGTGACCAACCTTTGTACGCTTTCTGGCAGATGCGCGCGTAAGGGTTTGGAACAGCATCGGTTGTGGGCTGAGTGCAGCATTGGTTGTTGATGATATTGTCTGGACGATGTCAGTACGAAATCCGTGCGTTAGGGATAGAACGTATGGATATGGAGTGGATACTTTGACCGTCATAGAGGCAGTCGTCCCCCTTAAAGTAAACATCGCCATAGTGGGACGGCCAGCTGGCAGTGAGCTCACAGCCAGGTTGTAAATTAAAGTGGTAGGGATCGTTGCCTTCGACCTTCGCGTATATCTTTACTGTAGTGATGTCCGAATCGGAGCGTATGGCGGCTTTTCCGATAGATTAGCTTTCTTTTCCGGTTATAAAGGTCGAAATATAAGCGGAAACTCACTCTGAGTCCAGTCACGACAGAGCGGTTGATTATTGACAGAGATGCAACCAACCTCATTGTGCTGCAGTTTGTGTCAGCTTTCTATACTGGTATACGGTAAAATTTGGGGAGACACCCACGATAGTGGTTCCTTCCCCTCTAGGGGCCACTGTATTAAGGGACGTGGGCACTGCTGGGCTTGTGCTAATTGCTGAACTGGAAGTGCGCGCTGGTGGAGTGACACTCCACGCTGGGCCGGAGCCGGTGGTGGGTTGAAATCTTGGGTTAAAGATAACTGTGAATTTAGCAACGTCTGTCGTGACCGTCATGGAAGTGGAAAGAGAAATGTGCCCAGATACCGCGGAGCTCGTCGTGCTCGAGGAAGAGGCATAGGATGTGCTAACATCCACTATATCTTGGATATCACTAGATGCCGGGTACATTTCTGGAGTCAACCACGAAGGTAAGGAGCCAAGAGGTATAATCATCATGCCAGCAGCATCAATAATAACGGGAGTGGCAACACCGCCCACCATTACCGTGGCAGCCAGACCTGCAGCAGGGATTATTGGCAATAGAGCGAGTAAATCATCAGAGGCTTTCTCCTTAACGAAAGTCACACTCTCGGCAGGATTCGATGGATTGGTGACGATGGCCTTGGCGGACTCGGAGGTGGGAATAGGAATAGGAATGGCAATCACCGCGATAGCGCTTGTTGCAGATGTACTAGACGGCTGCGTCGAAGATGAAGCAGAACTCGAAGAAATTTTAGAGGTTATTGGAGCAGCAATAGGGAGGAACGGGACTGCGATAGAGCTGGAGCTTCTGATACCCGATGTGCTAGCTGACGACAGGGGGGCAATGGAGCCGGAGCTCGAGCTGCTGATGCCCGATGTGCTAGCTGACGACAGGGGTGTAATGGAGCTGGAGCTGGAGCCGGAGCTCGAGCTTCTGATACCCGATGTGCTAGCTGACGACAGGGGGGCAATGGAGCCGGAGCTCGAGCTGCTGATGCCCGATGTGCTAGCTGACGACAGGGGTGTAATGGAGCTGGAGCTGGAGCCGGAGCTCGAGCTTCTGATACCCGATGTGCTAGCTGATGACAGGGGGCCAATGGAGCCGGAGCGGCTAGCATCCCGTGTGCTTGATGTTGATGATGCCTGGCTGGGAGCACTTGCGATTGTAGATGAAGTGCTCAGTGAAGTGGTTGACGAGGTGCTTGACGAAGCGCTTCGACTCCAATGGTAAGACGATGAAATAAATCCAGACGGATGTTCCCCTCGCCTATGCTCATACCCACAGACGCCCTGCAGGAAGAGACTACAAATAAATAGCCACACAGACACTTGCATCTTTTATGATTTTCTTTTATGATTTTGAACCAGACAAGAATGATGATATTGCAAGAATAAATACGTCTCCAATATCTATACTATGTAGTCTTTTACTTCGTACATGCTTCTATTGGGAACCCTGAATTAGTCTAATTTAGAGGCGTTCTTAGGTCAATGCAACCTCATCCCAATTAAGGTATTGGCCCTATACATACACGGCTCGGACCTCTGCCAATTTTCTTTAAAGCAAATCTGAACTCGAAAGTGCACATACTTGGCGCATAAACCAGATCGACGGGGGGTGATGTCAAACATCAGATATGGTGTAGACTCATGGAGTGTGAAAAGCCGTCTAGAATCAGGCATCAGACATGCAACTTCAATTTGACCCCTATGCATTTTCGCAAGTGGGTCTTCCGCAGAGTGCGGGACGTAGCGGGACCCACTTTTAATCGCAGCTGTTCTTAAATTGACAGTGTATATTGCATATACATATGTTGTAGGTAGTTACTGCAGGATCACTGGGGGCGAAAACACATACATCGTATAATGCCCAGTATTCTAAGTCTCGGCTGCGCCACTTCTAAGCGATTCTTGCTGTTTCAGAACAGCAAAGACCTTCATTTTTTGTATCTGTGCTCGATACTCTGACTATTGACTTACGTTTTAAAGCCGGGTAGCTTACATCGTACAACTCGAAGGAAGGACCATCACGCCACTTCCAAGAGATTCAGGATAACAGTGATGATTTTCCTTTCCTGTATGCTCCGTGTTCCGTCTCTTAGATAGGCATATGGGTAACCATAACCTAGTGTTTGTCGGCTTGTGTCTTAAGGTCGGGTATAGGCAAGGTGAAGCGAGGGCCAAGTGCCCAGATATAGAGGTAATATGAGTAACAATAATTATTCCTTGATTTCGATTAAATCTGAAATTACATCTAAGAGATGCTGAATTAGATACAATATAAGACACCTAACCTCCCCACCTACTGCTGGAGAAGTTCCACCTCATTGTCCCTTCCAACTATGCTGTCCCAAGTCTATCTTTTACTTCTCCTGCTGCTGTCCTCTTGGGTAGCAGCTTCCCCTGCTCTCCCCAATCCACGTTCCTACCCGCAGCCGACACCTCACCCATCTCCTCTTGAGAAACGTGATGATGGAGACGTGACGTTTCCAGCCAGTCGATGTGACTCTCCTTGTATAGTCAACTTTTTCCCAGTTACTACGGTATTGACTATCTCTGCTCCAACTCAGACTGTCTGGGTATCGATCTTCAAGGAGTTTGTGACCTTTAACTTTCCCGCGATCACCACGAGCACTGTTTTGCAACCAAGTGCTCAAACATTTATCAATAATGACCCGGTTGCAACCCCAACAATTACACTCTCACCAGCGGAGGTGGGAGTATTGACAATTTTCGGCAATGAGGACACGCACGCCTACCACCATTATGAGAGCATCGCCATGTTTTTGAATTATATGGTCGTTGACGATGGTCCAGTGGAGTATCGGGAACTTCAATATACCCAGTATAACTTGAACAACGATTGCGCGCTCATCACCATGGCTTATTTAATGGAAATATCATTACAAGATCTCCTCACCTACACGGGACTGGCGCCTCCGGGAGCAGATCGAGATGGCCTTTTCCCCGCGGAGATACAATTATGGCTCCATCACACTGGCCGAAACTACGCGCAAGTGCATAGAAATTTTCCTTTCGGTGCTCGCTGACTAACAATTGAAATAGAATCACACCATATTCATATACCCCTGAGAAAGACCTAAACTACATGATGAATGGCCTTGGTGTTAAGAAGCTTGGGGCTTGCTTCAGGCGGCATGACCTAACGGGGCATTGTGTTGTATGGGAGAACGACAGGTTCTGGGATTTCCAAACTGCAGATGCGCCATTTCCCTATATTGAGGAGGCTGGTGTCCCGGTCACGGACTACCTAATCCAGCGCGAGTATATCCTTGATAATGAAGAATTGGAACTAGTTGTGCCATATATCTTTTGCATATATTAACAGGCTTCTGATGGAATGATTGGATCTGAGGGAGAGCGGATATAGTGATCTTTAAGGTCCATCACGACAATACATTGAGACCGCCATTGTGACTGCCTTCATTTCTGATACGCCCATCGTCAGAAAATGGTTGGCCTGATTTATTTTTGGCAATTATGTTTCCTTTTACCTGTTTTCAACAAAATTGCATGCGCATGACGAACAAGGAGGTGATCTGAGGTACGGATATACAAAATAATTGATCTTAAACACAATTAAACAATTGAATAAAAATTATAATAGACACCTGTATATAAGATCATTTACATACCAGGCCAGGGGGTATTGGCATCTCCACAGCTATAAACATTGAAGTTGCTTCCCAGCCCTCGAAGTAATATCCTGTCTACCTTCCCCGGGCAATATGTGTTTTAATCTGCGCATGCGTAGAGTTGTAGTAACCTTGCCCTTTCAAATTGACGACAACTCGTTCTACTCGATTGTTGTGTTGACCATGCTTCACTTAGATTGTTGTAACCCCTCGACATCAGCCTTCTTTAAGGTCCTTCTGTTGGATTGCCACAACCATATCTTTCTAATAGTCAGACATAAGTTATTTTACAACCTCGTCGGATCTAAAGAATGGTGTGTAAGCGAGATAGATCTCGCTAAGGAGTAATGTAAAGGTACACTAGTTTTAGGTATAAGTTTAGGTGTAAGGCCTATCAACTAGGTGAGATATAATGACTAGAGGACATTATCCGGTACATATATATAGTGGGGCTTGCATGTACTATACACATACATCGTATGATGTATATCTAAAAACACGTATGGACTACTACCTCTATGTATAATACTACGCTCACATTATGACATCAAGGAGAATCAAGCTCCCCCCCCCAAGCTCAACATGCAACGCCCACTTCTTCATAGGTGGCTCGCTATCCGGTCCTCACATGGAGACTTTGACTGGTACCACCGGAGGTTTAACCATGAGGATGCCAGACTGAGTTGCTCTTGCGGAATAAACAAGAGGCCCGAACACATTGCGCTCTGCCGCCTAACGAAACGCCGCTTCCAGCAGTGGCCTCGCCGCCCCTCAGCCCGACCCTCGAATAAGAGGGAGGCCGTCGCATACCTGAAGTCACTAGAACCATAGGAATTCGCTGAACTCCTACAGGTCACCGACTTTTACACCCGCATCTGTAACCGCTAAAGGTGATGCCCGGCAGTGACATCGCCGGATAAAACCCCAACAGGCGCTCTACACCTCTCACCACACCTCTCTCTCTCTCAGAACCCCCTTTCCTTTGTTACCGAACCCACTGTCCTCTCACCTTTAGCCCCTGGCCTCGAGCAACTCAGCGGGAATCACCCCGCGCCAAGAACCAACGCCGGAAGGCCTGAACAACCTGCGCTGAACAATCAAGCGCCGATGGGAAACCATCTTCGAATCAATCTGCATACATTTCACATGTCGGAGAAGGACGGGCAGCCAACCGGCGAAGACGCCGAATCATTTAGAATGAGCTGCTTTCTATGGGCGCACAATATGTGCATAACTCCATAGCTTAGCACGTCTCTATAATCCATGGGAGGTCACAGGAGCACGGGCTTCGCCCATGTTCCGTCGGACGTTAAATACTAGGATTACTCTGAGACACTTCGAGGTAACTCTGACCAACAAGTCTACTTGACTTTATCCACTTCTATTTCTCATTATGATCTTAGATGTTTGATTGATGTAAGACAGACATATTCCAAGCTTCACTACCATTGCTGAGATTGAGACATGATATATACAAGTTGCCTACTCAGAGTATCTAGGCAGACTATATATCTCCCTCGCCCATCTGAATATGTGCAGCACATTCTGCCTCAAAAAATTGAAACAATTCTCAACATTAACATGTATTTATCCAAAATATATTATTGCCATCATTATCATACTGACTTTCTTGAAGAAAGAACATTGACCAAGTGGCTTAGATTTGATAGCCGCGTAAAAGAGACAGTGCTAAGAATTTTGTGTTTGGAGAGATTCAAATATGCCTCAAATATTGATGATCATCCGCGCTTGAAGTTAATGAAGAGATTTTGAGAGGATAGCGATGTCTTTGTAACTCTCAAGGTTATCTACCTAGCTGTGTACTTTGGAATGTTTTTAGTGCTGATCATGATCGACCCCATCACGTGCGACCCCAGACCCACATCCGCGTCAAGCTCAGTGCCAAAACATTCCAGGAAGCTACGCTTAACTTGATATAGCTTCTTCAACAGTTCACGGGAGCACAACTCCATTGATTGTACAATCTCTAATTAGCTTTCTTACATTTACTTTACTACATTTCTTGCATATATTTGCTTCCTTTCACTTTCACTCAACCAGCGCAAAACAATTGAACAGTCATGCCACCCAAGCGCAAGTCTGAACGCGCTGTGAGCGCAAATGAGTCTCTTGAAACACCTTCCAAAAGGCTCCGAAACACTGTAGATGCAACCCCAGTTTCTGCAGCATCGGCTTCAGTGGTAAGTGCATTATGCAGGGGCTGATCGTCGCGTCCCTGGCTTCTCCACTCCAACCGTTGGAACCGTTGACACAGAGCTGACATCTTTGGAACAGGTCGATGCTACACCCCAGACAGGCGAAAAGAGAGGTCGTGGTCGTCCGCGCAAATACCCCGAGAGCTCGACTCCTAAGCCTGCTTCTGACGCCCCTAAGCGTGGCCGTGGTCGCCCACGGAAGATTGTTTCTGAGCCAGAACCTGAGGTTGTAGCTCCAGCAGGCCCCAAGAGAGGCCGTGGACGCCCCCGCAAGGACTCAGGTATGGGAATGTACTGACATATTGTGAGTGGTGTATGCTGACCTTGCACTGTGTTATCAGGCGATGCGACACCCGTCACACCGAAGATCAAGAAGAAGGATGGCCGAGGACGTCCCCGCAAGGACACAGGTATGGGAATGTACTGACATATTGTGAGTGGTGTATGCTGACCTTGCACTATGTTATCAGGCGATGCGACACCTGTCACACCGACGATCAAGAAGAAGGATGGCCGTGGAAGACCCCGCAAGAACCCTGTGCCAAATGGAGAAGCTGAAATCATCGAGTCGAAGGTCAAGCCTACGGTCGATATCATCCCTGAAACTGGCCGCTCTTTCTGGTTGATGAAGGCAGAGCCTGAATCTCGCCTAGAGAAGGGCAAGGATGTGAAATTCTCTATTGATGACCTAGCTGCTGCAGATGCACCCGAGCCTTGGGATGGTACGTTTAATCTGTCTCGCACGCTGCATGTGTGAACTGTTGCTAATACTTGAATAGGTGTGCGCAACCACGTCGGTATGTTGTCCTCATTGAAGCCATGGTAGCTACGGCCACAAGAATTATACTCACTGTGAACTAGCCAAAAATCTCATGCGGGATATGAAGAAGGGAGACTTTGCATTCTTTTACCACTCAAACTGCAAAGTACCTGGCGTTGTGGGAGTGATGGAGATTGTTCAGGAGCATTCCACAGATGGTTTGTCGCCCTCGAAACTATACTGTTTGATCAGATTGCTGATCCATAACCTATGACAGAGTCCGCTTTCGATTCCAAGCACCCATACTACGACCCGAAGTCCAAGCGAAATGATCCCAAGTGGGTTGTCGTCCACGTTGAATACCGCCGCAGGCTTGGGAAGCAAGTCACACTCCAGGACCTGAAGTCTCATGGTCAGACCGGAAAGCCGCTCGAGAATCTTCAAATGATTAAGCAAGCCCGGCTTAGCGTGTCTTCTGTGACTCCGGCACAATGGAAATACATACTGGAGCTGGCAGGCGAGGAACCGCAAGAGGAGTTCACCAAGAAGGAGTCCAGTGCCGAGGAGGAATAGGCATGAGAAAACAAGCCGCTACATGCAAGCGATGCACAGAGTTTTATTCCATATAATTCTCCCCCAAGTATTTCTATCGATGGCGTTGCCGGTTGAGCATGGTTTATCTGCACAAACGAATTGAAGCTTATTTTACTTGAATCGATGTGTCCACTAGAGATATGTGCAAGGTATAAACTCATCATATCAGGCCGATTCTCTTGGATTCATTCGCAACTGCAGCCATGCCATTGCCATATGGGCCGATCGCGTTGATTTCGAGCAGACCAGTCCCCTATGACCGACATGTTACCCTGGTTTCGGCACGCTACGAATTCCCGACAAGGCACGGGATGGTGTCACATCGCTTTTGTCACTGCGTTACTTGCATCCCTCACACATGTGCGCCAAGTCCAGTCTACCGCGTTTCCAATATATGCGACCGTTGGCTCCACCGCAGCTGTGTCAGAATTCTCAACCATGGAAACACCCGTCGGACCCTGCGGGTTGATGCATGCGATATGCAAGGAGTCGCGGAAGACGGCCTGAGCATCCGGAAGCTATGAAATATTCGACGTGTTTGACGCTATGTATGTCCCTGCAGCGCTACAGCGCTGGGATGCCTTAGGCGTCAGAGAGAATATATTGGACCTCGGGTTATAAGCAGAAGTGAAGTGCTCCAAGAAGGGAATGTCTCCAACGCCGAATACGGACTGTATAGCCAACCAGAGAAGAAGAAGAATGCAAATCAAACAAACAAACAGAGAATGGAGAAATGTTGACTCGGAAGAGTAAGTCTATCCGGAGAGTGGAGCATCTTTATCGGCTTATCAGGCGGGGAGCTCTTTGGGTCACTTCCAACTTTCCAGGACCTCTCCTATATTATTCCTCTCTCTCTCTCTCTCTCTCTCTCTCTCCATGTTCCGTATTCACCTGCGCAGTCTGTACAAAGCTCCATCGAATCTCACTCGCTTCATCACCCCGCATCGCACATTCCACAGCTCCCCCTTCGTCATGTCCGACATCTCCGTGCAATTAACTGCCCCGAATGGGCGCAGCTACACCCAGCCCATCGGTCTCTTCATTAATAATGAGTTTGTGGCTGCTAAATCTGGCGAGAAGTTCGCCACTGTGAACCCTTCGTATGTGCCTCTGAAGTGTCTTGTTGGACTGTGATGAGCTGACCGAATATCTAGCAATGAAACTGAGATTACGTCAGTGTATGCTGCCGGTGAGGAGGATATTGATATTGCTGTCAAGGCCGCTCGCAAGGCTCTCAAGGATCCCTCCTGGAAGCTACTGCCGGCTACTGATCGTGGTCTCTTGATGCTCAAGTTGGCCGACTTAATTGAGCAGCACAAGGAGACACTGGCCACCATTGAGACCTGGGATAATGGTGAGTAATATGGGAGATGATTGAGTATCAACGAATATAAGAACTAACATATATTGTAGGCAAGCCGTATCAGGTCTCTTTGAATGACGATCTTGGTGAAGTCACCAACACTCTCCGTTACTATGCGGGCTGGGCCGACAAGGTGTATGGTCAGACTATTGGCACCACCCCAGCTAAATTCGCATACACCCTCCGCCAGCCTATTGGTGTTGTTGGCCAGATTATTCCTTGGAACTTCCCTCTGGCGATGGCAGCATGGAAGCTGGGCCCTGCGCTTGCGTGCGGTAACACGATCGTTCTCAAGCCTGCCGAGCAAACCCCGCTCAGCATTTTGTACTTGGCTGGTCTTATCAAAGAGGCCGGTTTCCCACCGGGTGTTATTAACGTTGTTAACGGTCATGGCCGTGTTGCTGGTGGTGCGTTGGTGAACCACCCCGGCGTCGATAAGGTCGCCTTCACTGGTTCCACCCTTACCGGCCGCGAGATCATGAAGATGGCCGCAGGCACTTTGAAGAACGTCACCCTTGAGACTGGCGGTAAGTCGCCACTGGTTGTCTTCCAGGATGCGGACCTCGAGCAGGCCGCCAAGTGGGCACACATTGGCATCATGTACAACCAGGGTCAGGTCTGCACTGCGACATCGCGCATCCTTGTACACGAATCTGTATATGACAAGTTCGTTGAGCTCTTCAAGGAGGTTGTCCGTACCACCAGCAAGGTCGGCGACCCCTTCTCTGACGACACCTTCCAGGGCCCTCAGGTCACCAAGGCCCAGTACGAGCGCGTGCTTGAATACATTGAGGCCGGCAAGGCTGAGGGCGCGACACTCGCTTCTGGCGGTGTGCCGCACAAGAACGTCGGTGATGGCCGTGGCTTCTTCATCGAGCCTACGATCTTCACCAACGTCAAGGACTCGATGCGCATCTACCGCGAGGAGGTGTTCGGTCCCTTCGTTGCTATCGCCAGCTTCTCTACCGAGGACGAGGCCGTCACCCGTGCTAACGACACCACATACGGCCTTGGTGCTGCAGTCTTCACTCGGGATATTGAGCGCGCCCACCGTGTTGCCTCCGATATCGAGGCCGGTATGGTCTGGATCAACAGCAGCAATGACAGTGACTTCCGCGTGCCGTTCGGTGGTGTCAAGCAGAGCGGTATCGGTCGCGAGCTCGGCGAAGCTGGCTTGGACGCGTACTCGCAGGTCAAGGCGGTCCACGTCAACATGGGCACCAAGTTGTAAGCTGTTTATATTAATGAGAAAATGGGTGATCTCTTGTAACTAAGTTGACCTATGTTTAATGACCGAACCTTGTTCACCTCATCTCTGCAAATCACTGCAAATATTGTATATGTATTTGATGCTTCTATATTATACATGTCTCTGCCGTTTCACCTATAGATCCCAATTCGCCAAAGATCATCTCGATGCATCGCCTCCACTTCTCGCTCTCGCTCAGATATCCACATTCACGAAGACCGCAAAAAAAGAAAAAAAAGGAAAAACGGAAACCTCAAACTCTCCAGTGGGGGGCACAGTCCAGGTCAAATCACTCGAAATGGTAGATCAGGCCTTGCTGCAGTGACGTGACAGTCAATAATTGCCGCCCTCATACCCGCCAATTGAAAATTGTCCCATAAAAAAAAAAAGGGAACGAAAAAAAACCCCAACTCCGGGCTCTATGTCCATCACCGTATATTCATGTCAAAGACCCGAACACAATTGATGCCCAACTTCTTCTCTCCACAGCTACGATGACTGCAGGGCTTATCTGCATGCAAGCCTTACCAGTACCATATGGGGGAGGGTGCATTTGAGCTTTGAGCCGTTCCGTTGAAGCTAATTGGCTAGCCGTGCACGAAACACGTTCATAGTTTTTCAGGCTTGATCATTATTCCTATTACGGAGTACATGTCTTTGATTCTCTTTAAATTGGAACTGATTTATCCATTCAATTCCCACATATCTTCGTGCATGATCCATCACTTAATCAAGGTGATACAACCTTGGAAGTCGGCTGCAGGCACATTCTCGCACATGCATGTCAAAATTGCAAAGTCTTTATTTTTACTATTGGCGCCCGATTTTCGAGTCAGGCAGGAAAATCGGACTGCTATTTGAACTCCGGGATTGGTAGTCAAGAGTAAGTCCAGGTTCCAGGTTCCATGTCTTAGCACCAGCACAGGAATCTCTTGCATCTGCATGCAGAGTCGGTCATGTGAAAAGCCACTGGAAGGTGATATGTACTTTGGTGAGAATTATTTGGGCCTGAACTCTAGTTTGCCGGCTAGCTGCACGAATTGATGCAGAGTGGAAAGTTTACGCATACGGAGCACCTCCGTACGGAGGGCTCCGTAGTTCATGGGGATTTCAGACTCAACTATGTGATGATTCGCATTGCAGGCACGGGATTCCTGCAGGAGATTCAATAGCGCATGGGATTGAAGAGTCTGTTTTTATTCAATTGCCGAATGGACTTGGGATCCTTGTTGTCCTATGAGTTCGTGAAAAAAAAAAAAAAATGAAAATGACAGTATCTACGAGATTACAAAGGTACATGATACATACTAGTAAAGGTACCCCAGCCAAAGTGGGATAGCCCTCGTGGGGGTGTCTTGGCATCTCCCACTTCTCTCATCTTTCGACACCGTAATTCCCTCTTCAATATAAATCTGTGGACAATATACGGACAGACGGAGCACCAGTGATCCCGACAGTTGACATTCCGTGATCGGCTAGAATTCAAGAAGTCAACCATTGCGAGCCTAACATCTCTCTCACCCCTCTTCTCAGTTCTCAAATAGCGGTGTCCACTCTACCGATCGGCATGTCTGAAATTCAGAGGTGGACGGTCACTGAGGTTAGTATTTCATGCTATTCGACATCTTCTGATTCGCTTAATCTTTTTATTTCCTTTTTTTTTTTTGACTCTGGTTTCTCGTGTCGGTCAGATGTGACGATTATTTTGTCCCGAGCCTGTCAGAGCACAGGGGAAAAAAGAAAAAGAAAAAGAAAGGCCAATCACAGCTAACTCCATCAGCCGTACCTTGACATTCCAGGAACACTCCTCGAAGGCCCCTTTTACGACGTGGCTAAGAATGAATTCCGTTTCGTGGATATCTGGGACCAGAAACTATATCGACTCGATCTGGCAAAAGGGTCTGACTCATTGACGGTCATTGATACCGATGCCTCTCTTGGGTGGGTTCTCAATTCCCGAAATTAAATTATTTCGCTGACGGGTCACCACGTGGACTTTTAGCGTGACCGCTAATATTGCCAGGTCCAATCAATTGATTGTTGGGGCCAAATATGGATTTGCTCGGCTGGACCAAACCACCGGGAAGCTCTCCTATATCCACGATACCCGTGAGCTTTGGGGAGAGGATGGAGAGAAGGCAGAGAGGTAAGCATTAGAAGGGAAAAAAAAGACATACGCATATAACTAAAGAACGCCGACTAACCCAATTTGTAGGATGCGTTTCAATGATGGCGCAGTCGATAGCCACGGACGATTTTGGGCCGGAGCTATGAACGACCCGAAAATCAAGAAGCCAGAAGCAGAAGGCGTTCTATTCAGACTAGACCCAGACCAGACGGTGCACCACATGTTGGCAGCGGTGACAATCCCTAACGGGATCGGGTGGAACCTAACCGACGACGTGATGTACCTGACTGATTCGCCAACAGGCAAGATCTTTGCCTTTGACTTCGATGCGTCCACTGGTGCCATCAGCAATCGTCGAGTTCACTTCGATATCGGCAATGCACTAGAGCCCGATGGCTTCGCTATTGATGTCGAAGGCTGCATCTGGACCGCTGTCTACGGCGGCGGAAAGGTCTTGCGCATTTCCCCGGCCGGAAAGATTATCGGTCAGATCGATCTCCCGACCCGCAACGTGACCTGTCCAGCCTTTATCGGCACTGAGTTGTTTATCACTACCGCCAAGGATGATCGTGATGATGACCAGCTGCCACAGTCGGTTAGGTATGGGGGCCGGGTTTTCAGAGTTGATGTTGGGGTCCGTGGAGTGCCCAAGAATGAGTTTCAGTTTCAGTAAGGTCTGATGGATTTGTGTGCATACATTCTTGGACAGTACATTACACAGAGTACTCGGTACATACAACAAACATAGCACAAACTGCCGGGAGTACATGCTTAGTTCGATTCTTGGTCTATTCTTATTCTTCGTACTTTTGCCTGCATCCACAACGCAACCTACATGTGCGTACGGAGTACGGAGTAGAGAAGGATCAATGGTGCATCACTAGTACATTGCATTTCCCGCACCGAAATTTGAGTCAAAAGGCGGTCATGGTCCCAAAGTACCAAAGGACGCAGTCCCGAAATCCGGATATACAGTGCAAACTTGAGTGTAGATGATCAGCAAACGGGCGAGCACGCCGGGGTCCGCGCTGTCATTTTCCGGCCACCTGGGTCAAGGTAGCCTCAGCCCACGCAAGGGACAAAATCCAGGTAGGCTAGGGTTAGAGAGGTTTATAGATCGAATCAGGTTCTGCATATCGATCTCACATCATGTCGACCATATATAATCTATATACGGAGTACAATGTAGAGCTTAGTTTCCCTGATTTCCGTCCGATTTGAAACCGGGCTGAAGTTCGAGGCCAAGGAACGCGTGGGTAGGTCTAGCACTGCCACTTCTTTTTTTTTTTTTTTTTTTTTTTTTTTGGATCTGCCCTGCAGAGCGCAGGCACGGAGTGATAGGTGGTGTGTTTCAATGTGCTTATATGCTTTTGTGCTTTTCCGAGGACTAGGTATGTGGGTTCGAGGGAAGATCTACGGTACCTGTCAAGCGGGGGATATTCGGGTGATCTAGATTAGACAAAGCTATTCTTTTACATTTCTTTATAGGAAAATGCGGTTGCAGCGGACACGAGATAATCGGAAATCGGTGAACAGGCTGGAAGTAGAAAAGGGGAAGAGTATCCACTTGAAGTTAACGATAAATTAATTGAAAAAGAAAAAAAGCACCCAGTGATCGATGAATCCATTCTATCGGATATCTTTTTAGCTTCTCCGTTTCTGCATAATTCAAATAGTCCGATGACACGCAGGAGTTCGGGAATACCTAAAACTACATAACAACCTAGATGGGAAGGGAGTTTGAGATTGCAAGCCACTAGAGAGAAAGCTCGAAAAAAAGACATGCACAATAAACGAAATAAAGAATCCGCTTCCAAATTCTCTAGACTAATATTCTAGCCCCCAATTCAACCAGTCAAAATCACCGGATCTATCAGACCGCAATTGTCTTTTCATCATGTCCGATGATTCGCTCAAAAAAAGGAAAAAGAAAATATATAGCGGGTACTCTGCTGCAATAGACTGACAGCTCCCGTTCAAACTCTGTCGGAAGCGACCTTGGGATTTGTGCATGACAGCAAAAGAAGATCTATCGCAAGCCTACTTACCCACACAAGTACAGACTATCCAGATCAGGAACCGGAGATCGTGAAACATTTCCGACAATGCCGCAACGTCTGAGGATCAAGAAAATACTAGTCAAATGCCAAGAACGCGCTTCAGCTGCATCAACTCGCCTGTATTTTCACGTTTTGTTTACCCCCCTCCACTTGCTACACTAAAGCGATCTCCGCTGCTTATTTGAGGATTCCCACGCGGACTCATTATCCCATCTCGGACAAGCTTGAGAGGGCCCGGAAACAGAGCTATCCACATCATGCATCTCACATCATGAGGCTAGGGGAAACCGGACCCCTTTCCGCTTGGTCCGATCGTGGAGCATCAAATCCAAGCTTGTGATAGAGAGAAAGTTGTCACCTGGTTACTTGGTTGCTGTTGACTTGTTTATTTACCTTTGACTCGAATGACATCACCCCGGGTTTAGATGTCACACGAATGAATTTTGGGGTGAACGAAGCGTTAAGTTGATTTTTGGATCTAACTTCGACTTTATTGACTATGTTACTAATGACGTCAAATCAAGTTATAGACTCGTAAAGGTGTCAAAGCCCTTAGCCGAGGAACTGCCTAGTTAACGGTCAACGGTAACGGGCCCCTTTTGCCGGGACATGATGCACAACATATTCTCAATTAAACCTTTGGTAAATTAGAGAGAGACCTTTACTTCTCTTTCTTCATGTTCTATATCGAAATTAAATATACTTCAAGGTTTCCCCAACCAAACTCTCGGAAATTGACAGGACCATGGCTAGGCTTCAGGCAACCTTGGAACCTTGGAACTATTGGGAGATTGCCTATACCCGAGTGGGTATAGATCAGATATAGTTCGGCGTCACATTTCATGCCAATACATCACCTAAAAGGAACCTTGGAACTTTCTGGATTCCACCTTCTTACCCACTTCAAACCTTCCGAGCTTGACTCTTTACGGGAAATCAAAATAGAAAAAAAGAAAAAAAAAAAAAAAGAAAGAAAGAAAGAAAGCCAGACTCCACCTGTCCCTGTCCATGTCCATGGTGACGGCGCACACTTGCAGCTCCCGATGATTCGTGCTGTGCATGACGATCGCTTTCCCCGGGTACTTTGTAAGGGTATTCTCTATAGCTGTTAAAATAGGGGGCTAATATCAGTCATGTACAATATTGGACATATTGGACATATTGGATATATTCTATATCTACTTCGTACTTCTATTTCTGTTATTTCTTTTCTTTTTTTTTCCCCTTTCTAATTTACTAAATAAATACTAAAAACTTAATAAAAAATATACCTAAATAAATAAATAAAAATAAAATAAAATAAAAAAAGAAGCCCAATACTCCGGGGGTAGACTAGGGCGGTCTCCATAGGAGATCCTGCCCAACTATCCGCCAGACTGGGTCGGACAGAGAGACAACTAAGTTGTCTTGGAGCCATCCAGACCAGGTGATGGATCATTCTCTCACCGCTGCTATTCAATTCTTAAGCTTGTCGCCCCCATTTTCTAATTTCTGACTTGACTTTCCTCTAGCTCTTTTACGACCCTCGGATCTTTTCCGTTTCTTAGCTTTCCTAGCTTTTTCTAGCTTCCTTAGCTTATATTATCTCTCCTCGGTCCTCAATTGAGAATCGAGTTTCATTGTTCTATATATCTCTTCATCGTGGCTGCCTTAGGTATCAGTGTGTTGAACGCACCATATTCAGGCTCACATTCATCCCATTTGTCACTTTACTCAGATCGGTATCCATCGCCTGCACCCTCCCTCTCTCACCCTCGAGAACACAGCGACGAGGAGAGAGGGGGGTTTCGGTCATGCCCTAACTCCCGCCCCATCGTGGGAGATTTGGCTTCTATGTCGCAGGATTCTCGACGTGCAGGTTCATTGTCCAGAGATGTGACTCAAGATGACCGTGCCAGTGACAATGACCGTGCATTTACAAGCCGAAATCCTGCCCGCCGGCCACCTCAACGACCTCGACCCCAGTCATGGCATCCATATGGACCCGTGGAGCCGCCACTGGAATCCATGTCATCGCGACCCATTGGGGTTCATTCCATCTTGAACCACCCACAGGCAGCGGCTGATCTGACCACACTCAGCCGTGAGCCGCTGAGCCTACCGGGTCCATCTTCCTCCCCTCGCCCCCAAGGGACTTCCCCGATCCGCTCAGGATATCCATTGGTCTCGCAGCCGTTATCTCCTAGGCCCCATTCACGGCCTTTGATGAATCCAGCATCGCCTTCGGCACGGTTTGTTGGCGGGGGCGGCAGGGCTTCTGGTCAGTCAAGTGTCGCACAGTCACCGCTAGTTCCTCACGAGACTTTGATGGGCCCACGCCTACCCGTCACTAGTTCACCTCTGCCTATAGAGACGGGTCTACGCCCTATAGCATCTCTCACTGGCACTCAGGCTCTGACTTCGCTGCATTCTCGACGAACAAGTGCAGGCCCGGGGCCTCTCACCAACCCGAACTCCCAAGAAACAAGTCCTAGCACGCCTCATTCAACTTTCAGTCCCTTTGGCCGTGTATCCCCAGCAGCGACCAGCGTCTCCCTCCCACAAAGCACCGCATCATATCCCACTGCGCCTCCATATATGACAATGGACCCTCTGACTCGACCCATACCCGCAACAAAAGGCCCCAGACGCCAACCTGAACAAGCCCCCTCCCGAGCCGGAACACCACAGGCCAGCCCCCTCCCAGTGGGCATGATACCGTGCGTACTAGACATGCGATCTGGATCCTCCAGCCAAGCCGAAAAGCGCAAAGCCAACAGCGACGCATCACGACGGTTCCGAAATCGGAAGCGCAACGAAATGCAACTCGAGCAGCGTCTCACCGCACAACAGGATGAGATCCAGCGCGGCGTAGAAACAGTCCGTCGCCAGAGCGAGGAGCTCCGCTCCCTCATCCAGCAACGAGACCACTACCGCTCCGAGCGAGATTTCTACCGTGACCATATCGGCCGCACAATGTCCCTAAGCGCCTTACCCCCAAGACCTTCTTCTCCACGCTCCGCTCAACCAAGTCTCCTCCCCGCATCAGAACCGGGCACCACGGCGTGGTCGGGCGCTGATGCTGCCCGATCCGCTTCAGGCACGCAGCCGACTTCGGCGGGTCCGCCACAGGGAAGAATGCTCGATGCAGTTCAGTCTCAACCTGGTTGGCCTGCAAGTCCTCCGTATTCTTCGACCCCCATCGCACCCGCCGGACGGGCGGTTGCTGGCCCGCCTTCCGGGTCACCGTCCGTTACTGGAGGCCCGCTTCCTCCACTGCAAGGACCATGGTCACGTCCTTGACGCGTGTTTGCCGGCTGAATCAAAAGACAACTATCATTTCGTTCTCTCTTGTCATTTGCTCCTTTCACTTACACTCTTAATCCCCTCCCTCTCTTGTGTATGCTGCTGCTACCAGAGACAAACAAGCGGTCACTGGCATGGCCGCTCGCAGTTAGTCTATACTCCTTTAGTGGCGTGGCACAAAAAGTGCCTCTTCCTTTAGGCTGGGTGTGTATAACTATCGATCTGCATTTCTTCCTGGCCTCAAAAGACTCGTCGGGTTCTGCAAAAGTGAAATCTATACTTTTCTGTCCTCGCTGTCATTATATTAGCCTTACTTCGTCCATCCTGTCTCTCTTTGATTTTCTCGCTCTTTTTGTGTATGGATTACACAGCGATGATACCTCCATTGGCGATGTATTGAGTCATCATTCTTGTTTTAAATTGGAAAATATAAGATCTATTTTGAACAGAAATTCTATGCCTCATATGAAAGCCAGCTAATTCTCGTAATTCCCTGAATATCATGAGGCTCAATCTGTCCGTACTAAGACAATACTCGGATCCCGAAGTCTCAAAAAGCTTAGCCTGCAATGTAACTCTGAGACATACAATATTTAGAAGTGATTGGTTGACCGTTGATAGACCCAGCGATGCAGGGCAAGGTGTCACAGAATTCATATGACATCATAAATATCTTTTTGGTGCTGTGTAGAAGGTAGGATTCGTACTTCTCGGGCTTTCACTTCTCGGGCTTTGGCTTAACACCGACAGAAAGCCCCGCGGTGATAGAGGGCTTATATCCGACTTGGAACGTCAGATCTCTCTTAAATAGTTATATCAGGAGCAACTGAGATGAATATAGTATTTTAAAAGCTGTACTCACAGTAAAGTAGGATTACCCGTGACTCGACTCAATCCCATCTGTTTACCAGCCCCTTTCCCACATCCCAACCAAGCAACTGCGACGGCATGTCTCAACAAACCATCATTCTCATCACAGGTAGGCCATGAACAAAAAGCCAACCCCCAGTCCCAGAGACTAACTCTACCCAGGCGCGAATTCAGGAGTGGGCTACGCAACCGCCCAAACTCTAGCCTCGCACCCAAACCACCATGTGATAATGGCCTGCCGTGACCTCCAAAAGGGCCAACAAGCCCTATCGGAACTCCAAAGCAAAGATCTCAAGGGAACACTATCCCTACTCCAACTGAACGTGGAAGACGACACCTCCATAACCCAAGCCGTCAACACCGTCAACAACCAATTCAACCGACTCGACATCCTAGTCAACAACGCCGGCTCAGCGGCACCCAACAGCACCGGCCGCGCGAGAATGAACCTGATCTTCTCGACAAACGTGATCGGCGCAACTATGGTCGCAGAGGCTTTCACGCCCCTCCTCCTCAAATCAGAGAAACCCTATGTGATCCAGATCTCCAGTAGTCTGGGCTCAATGAGTATGGCAACTGATCCCAGTAGCGAATCTTATCCGGTGCCTTGGGATGACTACCGCACGAGCAAGGCGGCGCTGAATATGATGACTGTTCAGATGCATAAGCGGTTGCAGAGTCATGGTGTGCGGGTTTTTGCGTTCTGTCCTGGTCTTGTGAGGTCGAATTTGAGGGGCGTCGATGAGGCTGCTGTTAGTGCGCGTGGAATGGCTGGGGATCCGTTGGAGTCTGCTAGGGGGATTTTGGGGATTGTACTTGGGGAGAGGGATGGGGAGGTTGGTGGGTTTATTAATAAGGATGGTCAGTTGCCTTGGTAGATGGTAGATGGTGAATTGGATGGATTCTTTTGAAAAAGCTTGTAAATAGCTTTGAACAACAATTTAAAGAATTGAACTATCAAAGATTGAAGTTGTTTCTGGGGTAGATCAAATTGATAGAACAATATGATTGGCTGCGGAAGTTCCGGTGGGAAGCCCCTGGAGTTCCGGTGGAAGTTCCCGAATGGTCAACTTGTCCGGTGGAAGATGATCGTCCACTCACCGCAATTTCTAAGCAACTTGAAAGGTCTAGACTAGAAAATTGGGATCAGGAACAACCAATTATCACCAATTATCACCGAAGATTTCCTCGGATCCTCAAAAATGCGGGGCCCCGACTTTCCCCACGGATGACGCGGATGTTTCTCGCACCTTCATATTAAGAGCAGTCCTCCAAATACAAGTTGGGCGAAGACATCTGGAAGGAACATTGAAACAAGTAACTCCAACGACTATCAGAGTGTATCAACAGTCAAAGCTCCAGTACGAAATCAATCTCCAGTGCACGTGTCTGCCGAAGTCAATCGAGTTGCTCTCACTGTCGGTGCCTCCAAGAATCAAGGTAATTACCCCGAGTTCCAAGAGAGGAACTACCTATGGATACTGCCCTAACGCTAATCCCTTTAGCAGCAGACCAAGGAACCGGAGTCCGTGCCGATGGATCTACCGCCTTCTCTTAGTGGGCTTCTCGAGGCCTTTTCCAATGCCGAGGATGTAGATCGGCTGGAACGAGGCGGGGATGATCTAGGTACGACACATGTGCCAAGCATACCCCAATCTCCGCATCATCGCTGACATTGTCAGGTCCCTTTGCGCAGTTTGTCGCATCAGGGAGTAAGCCGATATCTGACCAACCACATATGACCTTGACACGCAATGTACCACAGACATATCCCTTAGACAGTTATCTTACGACGATAAATGAGCTTCTCTCGCCGCAGACCCCGGATCTTATTCCGGGGGAGCACAATCAGCCCTTCGAACTGCAGCGAAGTTTCCAAGCCCCGCTTCCGAATATCTCTGAAGAAAGTAAAGGATATCTACATTTGAAAGGAGCTCTCAGAATAGTGACCATTGAACTTCGGAATGAGTTGCTTGGGGCTTATATCAAATATGTGCATCCTCTCTTGCCTGTCATTGATTTGCAATGGTTCTTATTCAATGTCATGGTCGAGGATGAATCCCAATTTCCAAGTCCGCTTCTTCATCAAGCTGTCATGTTGGCTGGGAGTGCATTTATTGAGCAGGAAGCTGCCATCAAAGCTGGGTTCTCGTCACGGAAAGCATTGCGAAGAACATTATTTGCGCGAGCTAAGGTGAGATATCTGGGGACAGAATCCATGACAAGTTTGAGACTAATTTTGCTCCTATCATCAGCTTCTTTATGAATTTGAGACCGAGCCCAACGCATACACCCAGATCCAAGCTTTGCTACTCATGATGCAGTGGCATGGAAGTGGAGGTGGCCACAAAACCCCAACATACTGGTTCGATCTCGCCTATTCGACAGCAGAGCGCGTCGGTCTCCTTGCGAGTTTAGAAACAGGTAGTTTTTCACACAAGCACAGACTGTGGTGGTGTCTCTATGTGCGCGACCGCATTCTCTCCCTCGGCTTCCGTCGACCACTACGAATCCCAAACAGCGATGTCACAATGTCGCTGCTAGAGGCTACGAAATACTATTCCTCTGAGCCATACCATGAACTCGTGCTGGTTATGCTGGGTGAAGCATCAGCCATGCTCAACTGGGAAAACCAAGAGCGAATGATGCTTCTGTTCATCCAGGAGATTAAGCTTGCTCATTGCGTGGGCGTCATCATCAATCTTCTTTACCAAGATGCTTGGTCGCCGTCGCCGTCGGGAGACTGTGAATACTCCATGGTACCCAAGTCAAATATCTCACAGGCTGCCATAACGGGATGCGAACAGCTTCTGAAAACCTGGATTCAGAATCTCCCTGCCCCGGCACATTACTACTCCCCGTCACTCTTGCATCATTGCCATACAGAGTCTCCGGAGATCGTTCTTCTCGTGCATCAGGCTTTCCTGTATCTCCTCCATCTCACTGCGATGTCCATACTCTGCCAAGCTGCGTCGTGCGGAGGAGATGGTCTCAAGACCACTATAGCCTCGGAAATGAGAGGCTTGACTTTGCAGGTCAATGAGACTCTCAATGAGCTGCATGACTGCAGGATGCTTCATTTTCTCCCTGGAAGCACTATTACTATATTGATTATTATTCTTGAGGCAAGCCTTCCTGATCTGAAGGTTTCGGATGATATTGTGAGGATGCAGGCCATGTCGAACTTGTACACCTGTGAGGAAGCGGCTGGGCATTTACTACAAACATATCCCGCGGCCGAGATTGTTCTCTCACAGGCGCAAAATGCTCGTGGACATCTCTTGGGGTTGATCGCAACTTGATACAATTAAAAGCATTTAGTTATTTTAGCGTACAATGAAACATGAATCCAATCAAGATACTATTTCCTGTATTCATATACGCTTAGGGCGAACGCTAAATTCGGTTCCCCGCGGTTATTCGGCCTCGAAATTGCGGGGACCCCAGTTGTGATCTCCAGTTACACCCGTAGACAGACCTTGCATATTTCGATTTGGCATGATTGGTTAAAGCACTACTATACTCATGGAGGAAGATAATGATCTGTTGCAAAAATCACTTCGCACATCACGAGCATGTGACAGATGTCGTCGCCAGAAACTCAAGGTAGATATCCCTTCACGACCCTGATTGGGAACTATGGTTCTGACAACATTTGTGTAGTGCGACAGCTCACGCCCTTGTGTGCTCTGTAATCGTGCTGGACATAAATGCGAGACGTCGCAGCGCACAGCGAAACGGGCCCGCAGACAAAATTCAGGGGGCAGAGATCTGCATGTGCATTCTGGAGTACACAAAACAATCGCACCAGCAACACACAAAAATTCCCACTCCTTCCATGGCGCTGGAGGGGTCGGAATACCTTCTACCAGAGATGATTTAGCATCTCATCCAGAACGCTCTCCGAAAGAACCGCAGTCTGGTGCTAATGCGTCCGCAATCGACTTCGCTAGACGAGTCTTCAATGAGGAAGAAGCCGGTCGGACTCTGACCGGTGCATCAATCCCTGGTGATACGGGAGATCCTACATTGGACAATTCATTATGGCATTTGACAGAGGTAGAGCTTCCCCCAGAAGCCGTGATGTTAGCCATGATTGACGCCTATTTCGACCGAATGCAATGGTTCATCTTGATGCTCCACGAACCCTCATTTCGACAGACTGCACGCAGAATAATATCCCAGACTTCATGGAGACGTCAAGATCTCAGTCCTACCATGGCTGTCCTGGCCGTGGCTATGATTGGGCTGCATTCTGTGCTACCAGATCAGAGATGGCCTGGACACGCATTGTTGCGAGAACATTCCGTTGACGGGGAGAAGCTGATGCATGGTTTGACCAATGAGCTCCGACGGAATCTTCTCGATATCTCAATCGACTGTCAAATTGAAGCTGTTCAGGTCTGTTTCTTGGTGTCATCCTATTATGTCTATCATAGTTCGCCGAGTATTGCGTGGACTGTCTCTGGTATGGCTGTGAGGTCTGCCTATGCCCTCCATCTTTATACAAAATCAGCCCAATATGAAAGTCCAGTTGTGGATGAGATTCGCTCGCGCTGTTGGAATCATGCTATTGTCAGCGACACATTCGCGTCTATCATCTATGGACGACCTTCCTCTATTGATACTGGACTTGTTGCTTTGCATTCGCTGAGAGACACGGATGACCTGGCCATTGATCCACTTCTACTGAAAAACGAATTGATATCTGGCGACGGAATGCCAACAACGACAGCTGGCTTTTTCGCTATGAAATCTGAAATCTACAACATCATTCGACACATTCTTTCGCGGTTTCGTCGTCTGCAATTAAGAAAAGAGACGATAGAAGAGGACCTACTGGCAATTGCAGAAGCCGCACAAGACTCAGAGGAACAATTAGTCTCCTGGCGAAAAAGGGTTCCTCGATTGTTCGATTTCGAGTTTTGGAGCTGTGACAATCGCCTAGAGCAGTTCCAACAACAAATCGAAGGGTTACCGCAACGTACTAAATATCAAGCAGAAACGATCATCTTGCAGGCGGCTACTCTCCAATTGACATACGATGGAGCTCTGATACAAGCCTGTCGACCATTACTCGAGCAGAAAATTACCAGTTCCTGCTCGCGTTTGGTGGTAGACGCAATCCACGAGTCATTAAGAGTAGCCACTGCAGCTGCACTGCGAATATCTCGCATTCCGGTCCTCCGGTTCAAGCACCATTTCGCCGAATCCTTCGCTTCTCTACAACAATTTACCGCAGGAGTCATCCTTTGCATTTTGCCAACTAGCCAGCCTTTTACTACAGCCGCGCACGAGGCCAAGGCTGGAATCATGCGTATCATTCATGCTAGCGCAGCTTTTGGGCCACATAATCGCATCGCCAAGCAGACCGCACAGCTTCTGACAGAGTTGCTGAAAGTAACTATCGAGCGAGAGATGTCTGGTGCCTTGAGAGGGGGACTCGAAACAAATATTCCCAGGGAAATGTCTGAGAGGGGTGCCATTCAGAGTGTACAACAGTCCCGGATAGACCATACTGGGAGCCATTCGCCGTCCTCGCGAGACGTCTTCCGTGATCATCCTCCAATGTCAACAATTCACGCACCACAACCTCCAGACACACCCCAATCAATACAAGACCATGGTAGGGTAAATGAAGGACCAGTCCAAGCACCCGTCGAACCGTCTGAATACCCGTCCGCGAATATCTTCGAACAACTTGACGATACATTCGGTGCCTTTGGTGAACGTGAGTGGAGCCGAAGTTCGAGCTAATAATAATAGGACCTAGCTAACGTGTTGGTAGTTATGTTCAATCTGATACCTGACGACCAAAGTAGTGCTTGGAATTGGGGACGTACGGTCCCATAGTGGAGAATCAGAGCTGTATGAACGGAAGGAATCGATCTAATACCTGGTCTGCATGATTGAGGGTTAGGAGGGCTAAGAGGACTAGTATAGCCGCGAGGAAATGGTTCAAAAAGGCGATAAATAAAAGGAGAAAGAAGGTGAAAATGAGACAGGAGAAGAGGGTTTCTTGTTCCATAGTGGATTGTTATGGTGTTAGAGAGACTTGGCTATTACAAGTGCTATGTTTGTATGGAGAACGGCCGAGGAAGTGCTCTATACAGTCCTTAGAATTGATAGCAAAGGGAGAATGACAGACTAGTTGCTATAGATATCTTGAAGGGGGAGTTCGACATTAACTACAGCCTCTGGGAGATGGCACCGAAAATGCTACACTACATCAAACAGTCTCTGGACGGTAGCAATTTCAATCATTGACTGCATGGCGCGATAGTCTATTTATATGATGTCACCCAAGACAATTATTTGACTGGTATAGTTTGTCCTAAACATACTCTAGGTAACCTGTAAGGCAAAGTGACAAATATATCGCATCCCCAAGTGCAATCAGTTTGCACTTTGTTTGCTATTTTTTTGGTGTACTGAGACGTAGGCGTTTGCCCACCTGCGCAACTGCTGCCTAGGTGTTTGCTCGGTGTTTGCCAGACCTCTCTTTACCTCAATTTTGCCCAATTCTGTCTCTCTATGAAGCTACACCGATATTTACATGGCAATGAGGTGTCTCCGTCTTACCAAGTCCATCGACCGCAGTATCTTCTTTCCACGGGTAGATAGTGCTAGGTGTGGCCGTATAATCACGGATGTCTGGGTGCCTGAGGCTACAGATGATTTAAGGTTCTGAGGCTGCAGCCTCAACTGTAGTTAGCTACAAATCTACGAGTCTATACGGGTAAAAACCCAGCCCATGCCCCAGAATCCAGCAAACTACAAGTTAGGAAGAAACATAAGGACATGAACTTCACATTACACAAGCATAGCTGAGAGGGATGCGGGAATATAGCACACAAGAAGAAAAACATGGTATGAGATGCAGAAACTCAGCCGAAAGACAGAATCCAAAAGGCCCATATCAAGATATCGATAAAAAATTAAGCCTTATGAAAACAACAAAATATTATTTCCGGCTTGCAGTAGAAAGAAAATGCCGTCGGCACGCGATTCCATTTGAAGAGAATGCGCTTAGAGGGCGAAAGCAGCGACAACACCGGCCATGACGGCACCAACGCTGATGGCGTTGCGACCAGCGCCGTTGAAGACGGGGGACGAAGCCGAAGGGGTAGCGGAGGTGGTGCTGGTAGGAGCGACGCTGGTGGTGAGAGGGATGGAGGTCCAGGGGCGGCTGGAAGGAGGACCGACGGGGGAGACACCGGTCTTGGTGAACTGAGGGGCGGAGGTGGTGGTGGCAGCAGCAGTAGTCTCGGTCTCGGGGCAGATAGTGGTGGTGATCACGGTGCTCTCAACGACGGTGGCCGAGGCGGAGGTAGTAACCTTAGAGGTGGCGGCCTCGGTCTCGGTGGCCTTGGTGGTGGAGCTGGAAGCGGACTCGGAGCCAGGAGCGGCGGAGATACCGAACTGGGTGGAGTACTGGTACTGGCCGGTACCCTCGACGACGAGGAGCAGACCGTAGTGGGTGACGTCGGCCTCGAGATCAGAGCCAGGGGTCCACTTGAACTCTCCGCTGTTGGGGATGGACTCGGCGAGAGTCTTGAGGGGGAGGACGTTGGTGGTGGGACCGCGCAGGAGGATCAGAGAGACGGGGCCGACGGTGGAAGGAGTCCACTTGATGGTGTAGGTCTTTCCCTCGGGGACGATCTCGTTCAGACCAGGAGAGGTGATGGCATTGCCGGAGGGATCCTTGGTGTAGTCAGGAGTGGTGGCGGCAGCAGTCAAGGCCACGAGGGCGGAGAAAACGGTAGCGATGGAGAAACGCATGTTGATTGAATGTCGAGAGTGACAACGAATGACTGTAGTGGGAAATAAAGAATGGCTATCGTTGAAAAACGAAAAAAAAAAAGGATTGTAAAGAGTGGACTGAAAAGAGAGGAATAATAAAGGAAGAAGAAGGGCGAGGCTAAGTACACTTCAAGGATGTAGGTACCTCCAGGGTGGGTCTACACTAAACCAAGTCAACAGACCAAACGCGCAGACCAACCATATCTCGTCCTCATTTCCTCGGCTACTTTCTACTTTTTGAATTTAAGCTAAATGTGGCTTTGACTTGATCCCTGTAATACTTGTAAGTACCGAGTACTCTATACGAATTATACCCATCACACCCTGCCATAAGCTCTATAAGTAATTGAATGTGACAGTTTCATGCAATTATGATCTTGTCCTCGTGGGGCATGCGGGTCGGCTGTGGCTCAGGTGTTATTGTAATATAACGCTAGGCTGTGTGTTACAAGTCAAGTAATAATCATAATGGACAGGCACCGATTTTGATTGGTGGGCG